AGTAACGCGTTGAAGACACGTTCTGGAGAGGAAAGGGTAGTCTATGAAATATCCCCTTACATAGCAAGGGTCTATGATATGCGAGCAGATTCGGCGATTATTATGCAAAACAAGTCTGCGTCTTGACTTTGAGATTCTGACCATTCAGCGGGCGCCTTCTATCGTTGTTGTATTACACAAACATGGCATCCAAATTGACCAATCCCGTGACAGTCTCTTAAGACCACTCCGATTGGTTCGCCTGCGGGGTCGAATACAATTTACAAATATGATATCAGGTGTTCAACTGTGCCGTGCTCAGACTATAGGAAGGGGACGGAGATTAAGGGAATAATGAATTGTGGTGGAGCAGTTTTAAACGTCTGATTTAAAACCGGTCGAGGTTAGTCTGAGCGTCCCCTGTTGTCTAGCGGTGCCCTCTGTGTAACCAGCGTTGCTGTGCAAGGGGATTTACATAGACTAGTAAGGGGCCTAGTCTCTGATGGCCCGAGCAGAAGCGAACATTTATTCTCTTGATTTAGGGGCCAGCTTTTTACCACCCGCTTCTTTTTTAACACTCTTCTCGGCGGTAATAAAACAGCAGTTTAAAACCACCAAAGTGACGGCCTATCAACCAATAGGAATAGGTAAACTGTCACAGGGATGTATTAAATGTTAACAATCGTATCAGTGGGCATGAAGACTTTTGTGTCTTCTTTTTGCCCGATGTCTTTATTTTGAATATCGCAGCAACCAACTGGGGATCGATAAGTCATAAAAGTCTTTGTGCTTTCGGTTCGTAATCAAAATGCCTCAATTTGCTTTAAGGCAAACTTTGGAAACTTCAAGAAGACGACTAGGGACAAAATCCAGGAACGAAGGCCGCTGACGCACTGCAGACATCTGTCACTGTTTAATGGTTTTATTGTTACATCTGTCATCGCGATGTATTGGCTCAAGTTGATCAGGGCCGGACACCAGGGGAGCATTAACGACGTACGACTTGAAGATCACTGAACTGATGACACTACCATGACATGTGCGAGGAGAGGCCTCAGGCCGCATTCGATATATATTTTATCTGAGGTGAAAACAAACAGACACAGTGACAACTAATCAATCGTAATGATGACAACACAGGAATGGCACTCTGACAAATTCCCAACATCTGGGAAGGTTTACCATAACGGTTCAACTCAGTCCACGGTAAACATTGTGATCATGACAATTGTGAACACAGTCACCAATTTTGACAGGTTGACGGGAATTTTGGAGATGTTTGATTACATTAATTCTCTCATTCTGTTATTGGAGGCTACAGGGAACAAAATAAATTGACAGACCTTGAAAGGTCATTAATTTTGTAGCGTCACACTACCACAGAGCCTTTTTTTAAGTGACGTCGCAATAAAGGCATGCAGGCAATAAGTAAACAACCATCTTTTCCTCAAAAAAACATTGGTTAAAGTGGTCAGAAATTGCCTCAGATCGCACCACAGAGTATCTAGAATCGAAAAAAAGCGGGCCCCGAACCCCACACCGTAATTTTTTGGACCCACTTTAAGGGGACCAAATTGTTTTGGCTCCCCAAAAATTGTGTTCTGGATCCGCACTTGTCTCAATCCTGGATGTAAATAGCATCTTTAGGAGATGGCAACTCTTATAAAGGTGCTGGACTTCATGGTAGTAAAGAAGCACTTTATCTTTTCGATGATTCGTACATGGCAGACTACACAAAGGCCCAGGAGTCAAAGCATCGTGGTGTGTCTCAAAAGATACACCTTCATGGTCCGGCGACATGGAAGCCACCCTACCTGATTTTTTTTTTTGCAGAACGACGTGCAATCTTCTCAGAGTCTGCATGGAGCAGCACGGAGACTGTACACAAATTTGAGTGATGCTCATCAGCTGTTCTCGTCGTCGAAGGCAATTCTCACCAGCTCAGTCCTGAATCAAATGATGAAGTTGAGGCCTCTGAGATCCACAGCCTCCTAGCAGGAGGACACGGATACTTGTGTCGTCCTTTTAACCTGAACTACGCGGTTGAGGCCGGATACAAGACTGCTGTTGTTCATACACCAGAAGACCATCTTCATCCAACAGCTGCTATGCTCACGATATCAGGCCTTGACTAAAGTGAGATGGGCAACTATACCATTCTGTGTTTGTACAAATAGGTAGAAGGAAACACGGCTCAGTTTACGACACAAACTACAGTAACTAATAAAACATCGAGAAAGTAAAAGTACCCTTTTCGTTCTAAGAAACTGGTTCACTTGTACGTGTACGAATTCCACACAATGACCTAGAACAACCTCTACTTTCTACAATTCCCTTTGTCCCCCACAATCATGTGTAGGCAAGCAGAGCAGGGTCACTGGTGTAGCCCAATCCCTTGGCCGGTACTAGTGTACTGCACTTCCCAACATTTCAGGATGCTTTCTGTCATAGGAGTGGAGTGGAAGCTGAGGCAGGAGACTTATTAGTTGTTGGAGGAATTGACCTGCTTGGTCTACGATCATGCTCGCCTGTGTCACGTTGACGAGGCGAGGACATTGACGCTGACAAAGATAATTGGGGATGAGGATGAGCAGCAAGTCCAAGGTTAAGCTCCCCCATCTACCTCTCTGTAAAGACTCTCTCATCCCTTATATCAACCGAGTAAACTACAGGGTGTGCCAATGGAAGTGGTCTCACATCCCCATTAACGACCCTCCCAAGCCGGAGGATGGACATGGTGAAGGTGAAGACCGATGGCATCGTCGAGCTACTTTGGTTACTCGGTCCAATACTTTCTCCTTCACTCGTACTACGTGGACCTTCCGGAAGTTAAAGACAACATGGTGAGGTGGTGTCAATGACTACAATGATGTGCCGGATTTTGATGATGACTTATTTCCTTGATTTGACTCAATCAATAAGCTAGCGTCATTAGACATGGGTCAAAAGGTAGACATTTCTTGCCGGAGATATATAGGGGATTGGGCTATTTCTGCATATTTCCCCCATTTTATAGATAATTTTACCCACATGGCATGTATACAATCTTAAAACTGGTGCCTCAAAAACGTTTCCTCGTGTCATAATAGGAAAAGTGGGTTTTAGTCTCTATATGATTTTTAGTTGAAAAGATATGGTAAACCTTGGGTTTTAACCAAATTTTACGCGCAGCATAATCCAAGATGGCCGCCATACGACCCCCGTTATGCAGCTTGTTTCGATGGGAACATCAAATTTCGATTATTAGACACCAAAAGGATTATATCGAAGTATGTTTCATTAAATTTTCCAGGGAATGCATGGGGACATTATCTACCAACCAGGCTACTCAGTATTTTTTTTGCATTTGTGGAGGATGCAGGGTTAAAAACATGTACGCTGACCTCTTGGATGTCATCAGCCCAAGTGACCTAAATACGGTGCTGTCAGTTGAATCTCCCATAGGCGAATCCTCACTGCTGGCTTAGATCATGCCGCGTTTTTCGTTTTACAGTGTGATATGGAAAAGCGGCGCTGGGCGTCTCACTGATCCCTTCTCTAAGGACTAGCTTGGGGCGCACTGCCCTCTACCTGCGGACACATGTTTCTTCACGTTGACTAATGAAACGGCACTCGATCAAATACCAAAAGTCTTGATCTCGCTTGTCACATGTATGAAGCCCAAAAGTGGACAAGCCAATTTCCCCATTTCTTGTTACCAGAATTTCAGATTGCTTTTTTTAAAAGCACCACCCGTCTTTCAAAAACGTCAATTTTCTACTAGCAGAAATTTTAATTTTACTTTGGCGACTCTGTCGGTGCCCCAAAAGTGGACAAAAAGTCAAATTTCCCTACTGGAAAAATAATTGGGTTGAACGTTTTGATATGTTTAGACAAAAGTTGTTTCACTTTTGTCTATTGACGCATCGTAGGTGTAGTGGCTAAACTGATTGTCCATTTAACAAACACATGAAGTAGATTTTGGAATGCATTCCGAGAAATGTTTTCATAACTACCGTGCTCAAGACAACAGAATTTATAGCCACTGTTTTATTCAGGAAAATGCACAAAACAAGGGTTAATCAGAGTACATTTCTCTATATATGCTCACATTGGATGCAACTACATAGCGGGGGGGGGGGGGGGGGGGGGGAAGAATCGTCGCACCCCAGTCGGTATGCGTTCTTTCAGCAAAACGAAAACCATTCACACACACCCCTATGTGATCTGTTTTCGTTTTGATGAAAACACTTGGCTTTTTCTGATCCGTGGACAGAAATTTAAAACGGTGCTTGTGTTAAAAAGTCCGTAAATTTAAAAGTACATGAGTGATTTGAATTATTCTTGTACTAAAAGAAAGGTTACGAATTGAGCTTTTTTTATATTTTACTTACCCTGTAAATGTAAGAAACATGACTTACTCAATCAAGTAAACGTGCCATGTTCTGTAACTCTCTGAAAATGCGATTCATTGACTGTCAGACGTACGATCTATGACACTGTATGAATCATGGAATAATTAGCAAACATGGTAAAATGTATCATCTTAGCAAATTCAAGCGTTCATGAACCTCTTGCATTGCGTGCCCGCTCTAAAAACAGGTGTTGTCATTTTTAAATCATTACAAATAAAGTACAACAATACGTCTACTTATTACGGAGAAACAGAGACCTGCCATCAAACATGAACGCTGCAAGAAGTCTACAATTCAGTCCACTTTGGTCCCGACATACTGTTGACAAAAAAACCTGGCAAGCTAAGCTCACGAGAAAGACATTTGGTTCAAACTAAATAAGCCCTCTCGAAAGGATACTTTTTGGGTAATGAATTTTCACAAAAGTTTTGGTGTGGCAAACTTCAATTTTAACATTTAAGCCTAAACAACGAGTGTGGTGCTTTCATGCTGCTGTTCCCCATTGCTCACATTTTAGTTAATATTTTCCACAGAAATTTCCTTTTAAAATAAAACCACCGACTACTGAATCTTCTGACAACTGCTCATTAAAGAGTTAAATCACATGAAAAGAGAAAATTCTACAGATAAGGGATATCAATTTTATTGAGAAATCTGTCTGGGATCAATCAAATGTTGCATATCTGTCTGGTTACATTTTATAATTATTCAGGGTCAACCTTTGGAGAGACAACCATTTCAACATGGATAAACGTTTATTCTTGTGGGAGCCAGGTATTCCTAATTAGGATAATGTCATAATTACAAAATGTTCAGTTAAAAAAAACATGAGGACACATTAAAAACTAGTTCGCGCCGGAAATATTTTTGCGAAAATTTTGATTTTCGAAAAGGGCAGGATATAGCAGTATCGTTTCAGTTTGCAGTAACACCATGTGGTAATAATTACTGTCGCCAAGTAGATATTTAGTTCTGATAGAAACTGGTCCTGTTTATTATCAACTTGCGCTAAGTAGTTTTAGTTCTGATAAGAACTTGTCCTGATTTAAGTTCCAAAAGAACTTGTCTTTAAGTTCTAAAAGATAAAGCAGCCAACTTTTGATATATAGCCAAACGCCACAAATACTGATTCGCAAGAGTCATTTCAACAGCATTTCTACAATATTTCTCACTGCAACCTCATACTTTTCAGCACTCCCGGGTGTACCCAGGGAGCGTAAATTGTACAACAGGTAGTGCACAGTGGCCAAGTTCAAGTACAACACACAGTCTGCCTCCACAGACTTCTCGGACTTTGTGTGTGTACAAACAAATAGGGGATTAGCGTGTTTAGACGTCATCCGGAGGTGAGCCGAGGCATGCTTGACTTTTTAACTTGTCAGCCGTACCTGTTGCCTGTGTGTAGAAACAGCCAGGTTGTGTTAACATGTCATCCAACGCGAACTGGTTTAAAGTGAAAACCACTTCCGTGCATAATACTTAAAACACCAACTGGTCGGCATTAGCCTTTTTGATATGGGGGCACAATAGAAGAGCACGATTTGGTCTGGGTAAGCTCTTCAATATTGGACAAGATTTACCCAAATCAAACAGCACCTATTGTTTCCCAGAAAACGCATCATCCCCTAAGACTACTATACTGCACAAAATGTATTAAACTTATGTCTCTTATCATGTTCAATTGTTATTTTATATAAAAAACAACACTCCTCGGATTATGTTTTCCAAGATTATATAGTTTGACCCTACCCTTACATTGTTTACAAAGGGATAAATTCTGTACTTTTGTTTGCTTTTCAGAAGTTACCTCCATAATAATAGGCAGTGTGAAATATTGGTTTTGCACACAAAGTTGACCCTACACCCATGCCAACTTCTTATACCAAAATGTTTAATGATGCCTTTTTAAGTCACTGTGTAATACTTACACTGGTTGTTAAAATACCTGCTTTCCATGCATGATTGTCTAACTTTAAGAGATAACTGATTCATTTAATCTAAATATAATTCAAATCTATAGCTATTTCAATTCGAAATTAGTTGAAACTGTAAAGTACTTTGGTTGCTATGCGTATAGTACTTTGGTTGCTATGCGTATAGTACTTTGGGTCGCACAAATGAAGATAGCAAAAATAGTGAATACCATATGACTTGCTCTTGGCCAATCAAGATACAGAATCTGTGGGTGAGGTGTTAATATAACTATAGAGTATGCATATAGTGCCATGGATGAACAGTACTCTAAAATAGGCAGAATCCTTGTAGCCACTTATCAATGATTCCAATATATACATGATTTTCACACAAAAGTAGGCTAATGAAAATGAACTAAAAGCACATCTGTTTAGAAGGAGTTTTCCAGGAGCACTAGGTATGCATGCCTTTGGTGAGTTGTGTATGGTTTTGAAAGAGAACCAGTCAAAGTGAAAATTGTTTCCTGTTTATATCTCCACAAGAAAGTTACATAGAACAAAGCTGTACACACTTACACATTTCTCCCATCTGCAAAAGTCATACCATAAGATGATGTATGATGTAAAGATGTAATCAAGTCGGACAGATCAATCCCAAATCTATCACAATTCATCTAGTCTGGAAAAAACTGACTAGATATTCAAACCAACTGGGACAAAGGCATTCCTTTGCCACATTGTTTCATCCGCTGTTACATGTACTTCAAGTGTAACCCCGATTTGTGATTTGATTTGTGATTTGATTTGTGATTTAATGGTGAAGTTGACATGTGATCAACTTGAGATTTGAAATGACTGAGATGACTACAGCTATGCAACTAGAGCTAATGTGCTTCCCAAAGCACGGATATCAGCCTAATTTGCCGTTTTATCGGTTTGTCTGAATAGTGACTCGCACTGACCACAAGGTGATCATTGCTAAATGTGGCTGAGATCGGCAAAAGAATGTACATAAGTCTGTAGAGAGTGTGGCACTGTGTGTGCAATTGTCTGTCAACACAGCTGACCTTGGGCACAAGGACAATATTGGTTTTGCATGCCACATAACATCCACAGTATCGTGCATGGTTTGAAACATTCCCAGAATTCCTATGTTTTTATATTGCTTTTTACATGCGTTTGAAAAATGCAAAACTTGAAATAACTCGACAACTAAATAAGTCAAGAATATGAAATTTGAGAATTAGAGATAAAAAATACACTGAACAGGGCTGCAAAGATTTAAAATGTAAAACAGCTTTTTAATTTTTTAATAAAATGACCCCTACTGACCAATAGGTGACCGCTGGCCAAATTCTGTGAACACCTTTTGTGAGGCTTGGTCTAAAGATACAACTGACCAAGTTTTACATCAATTGGGTCAAGACTGTGGGAGAAGAAGCATTTTGTAAATATTCATTAAATGACCTCTAGTACCCCTTTAATTACCAGTGGCCGGATTTTACGAACATGGCTAGGTAGGGCATGTGACAAGGTTGAATTTGGCCAAGTTTATTTGAAATCGGCTGAATAGTTTAGGAGTTATGGCCATTTTTATATTGGTCACGTGACCGTTTGCCCGAAGAAAGAAAGAAAGAAAGAAATCGGACGATCACAGTATACCAGCGTGCTTCGCACGGCTGATATAATAAATGGTATACAATACAAGCCCGTAGGCCTGAGACATGACGACATCACAATTTGATCAAGTGCACCTTCTTATGGGAACATGTGCATCTCATCCCCACTTGGTTCGTGATGTCGTGAATATCTCAGGCCTATTCCAAAAAGAATGCGTACATACATGCAACTTTTAATGTCTTTGCTGCAGGGCCAAGATGTGCTAAGTCATTGTTCAATACTGGATTTGGATTTTTTTTCACTTATTGTAGACAGTACTGATCCCTGACAAGTGCCATCAGGAGTAGAGGGTTCTATCAGAATCATTGATGAATCAAATCCAACCTGTGGAATTTTGGCACTCAGCCCCAAGAGACTGAGCATAGCTTATGAACACATTACCTCGGGGATCCTCTGCACAAGGATAAAAGACTCATCTGAGCTTTTGTGCAAAATGTACAGAACGATTTGTCTACATGCGTGATATGCCGCGTCTGCGCATAGAACATGTAGAACAATGTGCGCGCCATGATCGCCGACAGCTGGCGTCCTGACAGAAATGTGACCACTGACTGCAGTTGTGAGCTGAGTCCTGTGCACGCGCACGCACGATGCGCAAGTGCCATATCACACCTCTAACCAGAAATTTTGGGAAGTCGTTTACATGTAGCTTGACTAAAGTGTGCATGAGGTATTTTTAGACATCCTTGGGCCCATGTCTAAGCTCTAAAAAATGGATTTGATTCAGTTTGTTGAAACCATTAACCAGGCTGCAGCAGCTTGATTGCATTTGCAAAAAAATGGGACCAGCTGCATCCACAAACACCAAAATCCGGCCTTGGACAAAGACTAAGATGTTCTCAGAGTGGATTCTCTAATTGTAATTTACTTCCCTTTAGTCACCCAAATAAAAGTGTTGCACCTTGCCTCTGGGTTATCCTTGTGCCCTTCAGGTCTGGGACAAACATAGAATTTCTTGCCAAGATTAGGGCCCGGTTTCTTCACTGTTCTTAAGAGACAGGACTCACTGTGTCCCTTACATGTGGGTGCCTGAGGGGGCCCAGAGAGAAGCTGTTTCCAGGCAACAGAGGAATTAGTCTTTCCCCGCTTAGATCCATCTGTCTGAGAGGAAGTCTCCAACATTTCTTGGGACCCACCATTAGCGTTTCCCCTCTCAGCTTTCAAATCCACAGGAGGCATTGATGTTGCTTTGAGCAGCTCTGGCTGTTTAACAACATCAACATCTGTTCTCCCCTTGTTCTCAGAAACATCTTCGGGTGGTCTCTTCTTTTGGAAGAAATTCATGAGACTGCCTTTCTGTAATTCACTAGGATTTGTTTTCAATTTCTTCTGGGACCTCTGACTGCTCGGGTCACTTCCAGTTCTTTTCAATCCCGGTTTGGAGAGATCCAACATTGTGCGTGTTTTATTATCTTTCTGTCTGGGCTCATCTGGTTCTGGTTTGCGAGCGAGAGCCACTTTGCTCGGCGACAGCTTCTGAAAGAAAGACAGCAATTTCTGCTGCTTTCCTGAGAATTCTGGCATGTTGCTGGAACACAGCTCTGGGAGCTTTTTAGAGGGGACCGGCTGACAAGTAACTCTGGCTTTGACAGGACAGTGGTCTGAGCCCTCAACCTCGGGCAGGATATCACAAGAGGCGATCATTTTCTCAAACAGACCCATGTTGGCAAAGATGTAGTCAATTCTTGTGCCGTAGTTCGTTTGCCGGGCACCAGTCATAGTGGACCAGCAAGTGAAAGCCTTTTGTCTGGTGGGATGGAAACGCCTGAAGGTGTCCACAAAGATACCAGATGATGAGTTGCTTGACTTGGGTTGCTCTTTATGGCAGCTGCTTTCATCGTCATTTTTCAGCTTCAAGGATGCCTCAGATTCACTTGCTGGTTTTTCAGGCGTGTCATCGTGAAGGAAAGAAGTGAGCCACTGTCGACTGGGATGTTTTTCAAAATCCTTTAAAAAAACCACCAAAAACTAAAACTAAATAAACAAAATAAATAAATTCATTGGACTTTAAACTGCCAATCCTTAGATTTCGAACAAAACTTTTATTAAGAAGATTTTCTTATTACTAAGACACTTCAAAGATGTACATGTAATAGGCCTATACTTCAATTTCTTTCCATAACATTGAAAAACAAAAAGGTTTGAAAAAAAAATTCCATTCCAAACAGAAGTGTAAATTAGGAAAAGAATTCAGAGAAGTGACTATTTCCCCCAATTTTCACCACATACAGCAGGAAATTGATACAGGCCATCCCATTTTTTGGTTGAACAAAGATTATTGACAGTGAACAATATCTACATTTACTGTAGAATATAGTGGCATAATTAGAGGGATGAATGACAGGAAATTATATCGGAAAATTAGAAAAGAGAAACATCTTTCTCTTTAATTTCTTCAAATAATTCCATAAAATATGGTGCAATAATTCTTCGAAGGAAATTTACCAAAAATACATTTTCCAAAAACTGACGCACATTAGAGGAAATTGTAATAATGCTAAAAGCAGTACTTAGAAACACAGACCAAAAAAGCCATTGCACTTCTTCCTCTTTCGTATCGAGGAAGTCAGCTGGAATGCAAGAATGTTGCTCTGCAATGAAGCTGGGTTATTTAGTTAGTTAGAAAAGCGGAGAGTGTACCGTGTGGTTTACATGAACAACTTTATACTGGTGTTAGTTGCATAATTAATAGAGAATTCTCAGAAATTTCAGCCAATGGTTAATACATTTGGTAACAATTTAACAACTTTGTTCACAGTTAAAAAATTGCCAAAAACACAACCTGTTTAAATAAAAACTTCCACGGTTCGATTCGGTGAAGACGGGATGTGAATTTACATAAATTGTAAACTGCACATAATTACAAATGTATGTTCACCTCACTTATGTATTTTAAAGCCGGCATACAAATTTCTTTTACAGAATTGCAGTGTTTCTGAGATTTTTTCCCACAGCATTACAAATTATTTACATCTGAATTTTCTGTGATGTTGTGAAACTAATGACGTTGAAGATTTTATGATGTCATAGAAGAAACCACAATGTTTTATACAGGCATGCAACTGGGAATTTAGAAAAAACGAGGAAATTCGACTTTGTACAGTGTTTTTGAATTTGCAATGGCATTCATAAGAAATAAAAAAACAAGGAAATCAGCGGATCCGAGGAAAAGTCGCATGCCTGTTTATAAAAAGGAACAGAGGGGAAAATTTGCAATGTTGCAAAAGAAATTCACTAATGTAGTTTCCCTTTGTGGCCTTATCTGGAATTTCAAGGCTACTTTTAGAATTCTATCTTTAAAAGTACACTGTTATTCAAAACGTGTTGCAATATTGTGTATGTTTTTGTTGCTACTTTAACTTCCCTTCTGATTTGCCGCTGGTGTCAATGGCCATGGAACTTATTTGTTTCTGTCAGCTTTTACATGTAAAAAAAACGGTTTAGTACTGCAGAAAAAGAGAGCGTTCTGGAGGGAGTAACAGTGGGGAGGATGGTGGAGGGCTGCCAACTTTTGAAGATCATGAGGGAATTTTTGCACCACATGTTACTCACCGGGCCCGGGTCACAGTTGTCGATGCGTCTATGCGAGGCATTGATGTCGCCCACCACCACAACGTGCCTGGACAGTTGAAATGTGATATGGAAAGTTGAAATGTGATACAATGAACAATAAATCATTCACCATCAGACAGGAATGACTGTGTAATCTTAAACACGTGTGCGTTATACTGTAAGACTGGGAATTTGAAATCATTTGACAGTTCATTGCCACAGCTGTCAGCGTTGTCCCAGCAACACGAACACTTAGATAACTTATACATCTGTACAGTACATGTGTGTTTGTATCAGTAGTCCGTGTGTATTGTTCGTGTTTGTTGTACCATAAGTACTATAAGTACATGTATATAACTAATAAATAATGCATGTGTCTTATAAATATTCATGTTGCCATGGTCTTATCTTTTGTATCTTAGTTATGGTGTTCTTGGTATTCTTTAAAAACTCCTGCCTGTCATGTGACCCGCAGCCCGCGCATTTAAAAAAAGACATACGCCAAAAAGAAAAACGCCGATCGCTATCAAACTGTATGAATATAGCATTTTGCCGACTGCAAACTTGCACAATATCGCCTAGACCACGTCTTGAAACCGGTGATGAACTCCAAGAGTCAAACTGGACTTTGATCTGCCATCAGACCGCAAGTTTAAGGTTTTTATTTCTTTTAAATAAACATGCTTTTGATTGTGTTATTTAGATGGCAGTAATATATTTGGGGCGTTACTTGATATAAGGCGTTTATGTAAATACCCTTAAGACATCGTGTTTCTTAAAGATAAAATGAGAATATAGTTTCTAGATTAATTCTCTGTTTAGTATCTAGCTTAAATTGAGCGTTTATTGCCTTTTATTAGAGTCCTTTAATGGCTCTATGATAATTTGGCGATCATTTAATAGTTTGATCAATTTTGATATAACTATTTTCAATGTTAGGGTGTACACATGTACTTCTTAAATCCGCAATTGTAAATGTTGCAGATGGCAAACTGGCTTAGCTAGAAGCCGTTATTCCAAAAGACCGTCGCTTGAGGCAGACAGGCCCTGCGACAGGCTGACAGCAGCTACCCAGCGTCACCGCCGTCTAGTTGGTCGACCGTGACGCCCGGTTTCTACATCACCCGGCTGCCTACAACAGAGGCTCCGTCGAGGTGGCTGCGCTCCGTCAATCCAGCGGTCCAAATGAGAGAGAGTACTCCACCCATGGCATGCCAACGCAACTTGAGCCGTAAACTATACGGTGGGCCCTAAATATTGAATAATTATTGCCGGCTTAGAGTAGGTTTAATACAATAGTATTAAAGTTAATTTAATTAGGTGATTTAACTATTTGTTCATGTTTGCTTCATTAGGTTCTTCTTAGCGTAGGTTAAACTTCTATTGAGTTAATTTGGTTAATTTAAATAGATTTGGTTGATTATAACTTCTATACTTCAAGCTGTTGACTTTTCTGCATTTAATTCATTGATCCATTTGCTTTACCTAAGGTTAGTTTTATACTCATCTCTGGTATTGATCTACACTATTTATTGGGTTACTATCGCCTCATCCTATAAATAATATTCGTAAGGATTTGTATACATAATATTTGTAAAGATTATTCGTCGCCTATAAATATACAGTTTGTGCATATTAAATAATTTGTAAATATACAGAACGTCTCAGAGGATCATTCTTGGTGTTTGCACGAAGTTGTGGGTGGGAAAACCAGTCTAGAAAATTCCACTGCAGTAATTTCTTGGGGCAGTTGTGACAACAGCACACCACCTGACAAACTCTTCACAAAACTGGTCCATACATTGTAAGGCTACATGTACTCTTGTTAAAGGGAATGTACAACATTTACAAGTTTTGCTGCAATATTCAGAAATAAATGGATTTGGAAGATTAGTATGTTATAGCAAATATTGTTACACTGGCTTGTTTCACGTTTTGGGTTCGTAGATGCTGGAAAAACCAAGAAAACCAATCATATTCTTGTAGTCTGGTTCCCTGACCCTCTTAAGATGAAACGGAGCAATTTACAGACTTTGGGGAATTGTAACATCAGAGAATCCGTCTAGCAGACTTGTACCTCTTCACAGGTGTGCAATCAATTGCAAAGAAAATACACATGAACTAAATATGAAAAATTAGGAGCACTTTTTGAAAAAAGCCAGTTTTCTCCAACGCTGGTTGGCTGACCAACATTGGAAAAATACAATTTTTCTTGAAAATGTCAGCACACCAGGAGCCACAACTTCAACAGGATGTTGTCATTCCCTAACAATCCAGTAAGGTATTTCGTGATAATTTTAATTATTTCGTTTTTTGATGTTTGCAAATGTTGTATATTCCCTTTAACAGAAACACTGTATTTTAGCTTTAAGTATTAAAATACATAAAATGAAATGACAAAATTCGAGGCCACTTAACCCCTACTAGCCTAGAACCTGTGTTCTGTGACAGTACACTGAGGTCAATTTACCTTCCCATCCTCAGACTTTTACTCCATAGAATAGTGCATCAAAATTCCGAACGGGGTCAACCCAATGTTCCCCAATAACTATGTTCCCTAATGCCGACGTTCCCCGAAATCCTTAGGATTAGGCCTAGGGTTAGGGAACATCGGTATTGGGTAACATAGGCATGCACCCATTCCAAACTAGTCTAGAGACTTAGTGTTGTCCACAACCTTATGTACCGAGAAAGATTCCCCTTTCCTTCTCCTACAGGATCTGTCCCCATATAACACACCCACAAGCAATCCTAAAATGTACATGCATGAATTATTCATAACCATGAGAATCCAACGCTCTCATTGGCTAATAAGCCGTGCAGCCATTTGCAACTCCAGCATGGAATCATTCGTTTCTGACCTCATCAGCCAGACATGAAGGAACTCTCTCCATGTTCTCTGATAAGCCTGATGCTTGGCCCAAACCTACATGTAACTGAAGTTAAAATTTCTCTGGTGCGTCCTCTTTTGAGATATAAATATTATTGTGTATTCACTTGTTAATATGTGTGTAACATACATGTATATCCACTGTTCTGATGGCTCTTATTTATTTGCTAACAACTCCCCTGAAGAAATGTTACAGTAATTGGATGGATTCAGAATATGGTTTCTATTACTTTACATTAGGGTGTTGTCCCAAGGGTGGCGTCCCAATTGTGTCGTGAAGAGAATGTGCCATTGACCTACTGCTCAGTGTTTAAGGAGGTTCCTTGAAACAAAGTTCTTTAGGGAATTAGGGATTGTTGTTTTGAACAATGCCGAGATAAATACGCTTTTGACCAGCAAAGGCCAAGACTTCTGTTTGCAAAAATACACATGTATTATCAATTCCAGCAGTTGACATATTGGGACATTTCTTGGAAATCAGCAGCCCTGTCATAATCAGCCAATAAGCTTCAATTCACAACATAAACTTGAACTTCCAAAGTCACTTTTGAGAACCCGATGCAAAAAAAAAATGACTGGGCACAAGGGATTCTGAGTTTGAACAGCTGTGAAATACTGCATGCCAAAAAAAAAAAAAACCCAATAAAAACCTTATGTGAACATTTCTGTCATTTCTCAATTCACAGAGGATACCACATGGAAATGGCCATAGAAAACTGATTGTGAAGAGAATGCCCATTTTGGGGGTTACGCAGGTCATACCTTGTATAAAGAGACGGTGCCGGAGTAAAAACTACATGAGTAACAATATCCAAAATGCAAATCCAAACATCCTGTTTCGTGTCACGTTTTTCGACCTAAACGAAAATCCCTATATTGGCCCATGGGAAGCTGTGAGGAAAATTACCCAGGGGGGGGGGGGGGGGGGGGGGGGAGGGCACAGCATTATTTTCCAGAAAACTACTGCGATCAAAACATCCTGTTTTGGTTGTAAAACATTGCCTGACAAACACTGTAAGTAGAAAAAAAAAGGAAACCCAAATGTCGGGACCATTATTTAGTGTAGTTCCGCATGTAGCACTTTTAAAATCTAGGATATGGAAGCCCAATTCATAAGCTTTGTTTTAGTACAAGAATCATTCAAATCACTCATGTACTTTTCAAGTTATGGCATTTTAAACACAACCACCATGTTAAAGTTCTGTCCACGGATCACAAAAGGTAAGTGTTGTTTCAGCAAAACGAAAACAAATCACAAAGGGATGTGTGTGAATTGTTTTCGTTTTGCTGAAACAACACTTACCTTTCGTGAACCTTTTTTGTGATCCGTGGACAGAACTTTAAAATGGTGGTTGTGTTTAAAATGCCATAACTTGAAAAGTACATGAGTGATTTGAATGAGTCTTGTACTAAAAGAAAGCTAACGAATTGGGCTTTCATATCCTAGATTTTGAAAGTGCTACATGCATAACTTCACTAAAACAATAGTGCCAACATTTTTTTTTTTTTTTTACTCACCCTGTTTTGGAGAACGAAACACATATGAAAACTACCAACTTTTTTTTTGGGGGGGGGGGGAGGGGCCATATAATTTTATTTTTAATTAAATACTAGCATTGTGATCTCAATATTCTGTTTGGTGGCTATTTTAGGTCTTAATTTAATGCAAATCTAAAAGCAGATGGAGCATAGTCAAGTATATAAGGTTCAGAATCAGAAACCTATTTATCTCAAATTTTACATTTTTTAAAAATATTTTTTCCAGTAGATAAGGGCATCCCTTTTTATTTGTTTGGTTCTCATTTCCGACCGACCCTATTTTGGGCTCCCGGCCCAAGGAAAAACAACTTTTTTGTTACCGCCGACACTGTTTTGAACCCCATTAACCCCCCCCCCCAAATAACAAATTAAAAAATATCATGAATACAAAATTCAGGCAATCAGGCTCTATGTTGTTTGAAAAGCTATTGAAAATGGACACCGGATTTTTCGCGGAGTACGCTGTACATTTGTATAGCAACCAGTGGAATCCCAGAAGATGAGAGGATGATGCCTCTCATCATATTAGGTGTCTGTAGTGCACCTTTACTGGTACCTATGTCATGGCTGCCACTACAGCCAAAACATTACACGTTCCTGAGCTGCTTGCTGCAGATATGGTTTTAATCAGTGATCAACTCATGATAAACATGGGCACCTGATCCCATAATCTGGAACCGGTTCCTGACATCAGCAGTCGGGTACTTGGGTAGGCCTATCCGGTTCCGATGCGCACCCGTAGGTAACTCCAAACCACTTATTCCTTTGGCTTAGGGACCATCTCAGACATCCCCAATACTAACCTGCCAGCCTTAACCAAGGCTTCTGCCCTCAACTGAAGCAGGTTGTAGAACTGTAACTTGTAGTCCATACGTTCTTGATTCTCTCGGTCAGCTCGTGGGCAGTACACATTGATCACCACCAGGTCATGTGATATACCGTCCGCATCCCTATGGGTGAAGAAAATGAAAGGACAACCAATCCAGTGTTACAACTCTTGCATGTGGTGTGTCCCATCCAAGGGGCTCTCAAAAGTGGACAAAAAAATGACCTCTGTTCACGCATGGAGCCCATTGCTCAACGCACCTTAAACGTTTTGAGAAAAACCAGAGCATAGTTTCTGTGTCTGATGTCTGTATGATTTTGCTGATGGCAGTTCTACTTTGCATTGCATTTTATCCCAGATTCAATTGTGGACCAGCTAGAAGTGTACTAGCATCCAACTCTAAATTTACTGCTGAATTCAGGGTTAGGTTGGGTTTCCCCCGTCACATATTTTAAAATTGTTTTCTTGCCATTGTTTTTCTTTTAAATAAAATGCTTGTCACAACAATTTCACAGGATGTGTTGTACCCGTCCAGGTTTCATTTGTACTACAAATGAAATTCTGTAATTCTCATCTCATCACTGTAACTCTCATCCACACAAGCGCACTGCACCTCTTTTTGCAACACTAAACACGCCCACGCCCACCGATATTAATAAACTTCATACCGGTATATTCATGTTCAACTTTACTAATAACTGTCTTCCTTGTTCCTTCTCATGCTTCTTTACAACAATTCAAGACACTCATGGGTATTCCACCAGGTCACGAAACCAACATAATTTATGTTTACCTTACACTCGCAGGTCTCACTACATCACTTTGAGATATTATGACCCAAGTCTCGGGAATACTTAGGGTGAAGTCATTTGCACTCAATCGTCCGTAGGCTAATTTAAACATTTCTATAACAGAACTATAATTTCCCATAATGTGACATAGCAACTCCGATTTACTTCAATTTTTTATTTTTCTGTAATTGTATTACCTTCTTTAAATTACAATTACTTTGTTCTTTCTTTGCACAATACTCTGTACTGTCTGTCCGTTTGTGTCTGTCTCTATGTGCTGTCCTTCTTTTTGTTTGCCTGACATGCTTGTGTTGACCAGTATGTTTTTTTGCCCTTATCATCTTTCCTTGTAGTTTTCCCGTATTTTGTAAGGCATTTCTAATGATTTCTTTACACGCTCCCGACTTCTTGAAAATGCCTCCATGCTTACTTATTCCAAATTAAAAATTTTCCGTAAATATATTACTTTTTCTTATTGCTAATTGTATTTTATTTAATTTAATATTAATATGATTGTAACTGTCATGATTTGAAAATATGGTAATAAATGTCTACTTGAATTGATTTGAATTGAAGTAAAATTTTCCTAAAACTTTACAGCAAGTACATTTAGGTACGTTTCCTGCTGAATACATTTTCTTAGTGGCCTTGCAATGACCAAAGCATCAGGGTGTACCAGATTAATGCCTACTGACAGGTGAAAGGACAGGCACATTGTGCAGGGGGGATTATATGACTCATCTATGTATGTTTCACAATATTACAACACAAAGTTTGTGCATTGATACAATTTGTTTTGAAGAGGGAATGATTGTGCAATTGTCAAGGTGAGTTTCAAAAGATTTGTATTCCCAAGAACAGATTTCTGGACCCCAACAAATGCCATAACTTTGAATGATCATCGTCAGACTCTGTTCTTTCATACATCTTCTTTTGACAGCCCATGCTTTGACTACACAAATGTGGTTTTTTTTGTGTCAAAATGTGATGAATTGATTAATAATATCCTTCACAGTTGTCCTAATTCTTCAGAAGTGAGTGTTAGGTGCCAGGCAGTTCATGGTACTAAAGCCTGGCAAACACATTAAGGAATACAAGGGAGTCATTATTTTGTCATACCCATCCATCACTCCACTGAGGAGGAACATGTTTAATGAAATGACCAGTTTCTATGAACTTTATCCAAGTCTGTTTCAATTGTTCCTTTTCTATTCTGACAATAGAGGGCTCCCTAACAAATAACATGCAATTTTGGGGCACTTTGATTGATGATTTTGCGTTTTAGATTTTTCCTGCAGAAATTAGGTTTTCATTGGACAAACAAAATATCTTTTCTTGGTTTTTTTTGGCAAAGTAGAGAGCCAAAAGGTTACATGTTCTTGGGGTTTCCATGAAGTTGGGAAACTTTTGTAAGATCCTGCCATAGTAGATGAAGTATTAATCATAACCACCTGGGCCCTCTTTTAGGAACCATCCTCAATACTGCAAAATCCTCTGAGAGCTATGTAAAAATTGGATTCAGCCTCAATCCTCCAAAATCATCTGTTACGTCTTGAGTTTGTTCTGAGGAGGGGCAACCCTTGCCTCAATCCTTCAAAATCCTCCAGCAATCACTGTGATACATTGAGGCAGTGGAGATGATATCCAGAAGCAGTGCGAATGATACCCAGGACAATGCTGGCCCCCATTATGCATGGCTGAACATAAACAATGCAGGGCACATCCTATGACCTGAATACAATGCATCCTCCAACATCAACTAACCTTTTTTGCCATTCAGACTCAATCCTCCAAAACTGCCTGATTGATTTTGGAGGATGGAGGGTTAGGCCAGGGTTGCATAAATATGTCAGCATATCATCTGACGCACAGGAAGGTGCCATCACAAGATTTTTTTTGCCAGTTTCTGGGGGGGGGGGACCCTGGATATTGTCTGACAGACAACTCACAAGGAACAGCCTACGTATGTATACAAGTAAATATAGAAATATCAATGTTTCTGTAGGCAAACAAGGGTATATTATTCAAGAAAAAAAAAGTCTCCAGCTGGGAAAATACTAGGACAACTAATTGTACATGTACCCTACAGGAATGTGTCAAGTTCCAAAATGAGCATTCTGAGAGGAATATCAATATTCTTAGTTTTGTTACTGGAGTAATCCTCAATGGCATTAGAATGCCAAAGTAAAACAAAACACCCTTCTACTGTCTGGACAGTCACAGACAGTCAAAGAAATTGATCTTTTTCCACTGTCCTGTTTATACACAGGCAAGTCACCAACAGTCAGATCATATTTCTTGGAAGCACTGTGACTAGTCAAATTCCATCAATAAACAAAGCAGGTATTAACTGGTAGGTACAGCTGGCTTATCAATCACCTACTGTCAAGGCAAATCTACCGGTATATTGAGTTACATAAATAGTCACAGCCAGTCAAGCCCGCTTTATGTAGGCAGGGAGCTCTTAACTGTTAAAAAAGTCACTGTCATTGATTATGACTGCTGGGATGGCTATATATAATTTGCCACCCAGAGAGGGAGCTCAGTTCACTTCAGACTGAGTAGATGGTGCTTCGTCACCTCTCTACAAATGCACACCAATAGGCCGAAAACCCATCCGCCGAGCTCATAAATAAAAGTTAGACCCTGAAAATATTCTATATAAGGGAGTTCTGAGAGCTATAAAATTTGGGGAACTGTATATGGCAATGAACCCCTAGCCCAGACTTGGGGCTTGCAATTCTGAGCATATTCGATGCAATTGGGCTCGAAAGTGGTGCAATTTTGCCATGTTGTGAAAGGATTTTTCAAGATTTGGGAAAAAATCAAGACTTTTCCACTTTGGGAAAAAAAGGGGTGGTCTTCTTTGGGTGAGAATTTCTTGAAAAGTCAATGATCAACCCACCAAAAAATTGAAAATAAAATAAAAGATGACATGTTGATCATCATTTTTCTGTGCAGATACCTGTGAGAGTTCTGAGTACTTTTAAAAGAATTTTAAGTATGGGCTACAAATGTAGATCAATGGTGACACAGCATGTGTGCACTGGTTGCCCGTGTATGGCCAGAAGTATGCAAAACTAATTTCACTCTGCATGTGCACAAACCTATCATGTCTTTGCATGCGGGCCAGGTCCTGTCAGCACATGACTCCCTCTCAATGGTCCCTCCAGACTTCCTCTTAGTAACCATTGAGGGGGTAGTTGTGCACAGAGTCTATAGATGTACAATGTGTTTGTCCAACTTTTGATCACTTGCCTGACTGTGTGCTGTGTCATGACAGCTCGACCTTCGCTGTCCAGCAACTGAAGTTCTTCATCCGTGAAGGATGTCTGGTTGCCATAGCAACCAACATCATCGGCCCCTTTAGCGAGCCTTCCTGTAAGGCCCTCTTCAGCCCTTACAGGGGTGGCACAGTCCCGACAGTAGGTGGCTACACCTGCGTATCAGACAAATGGAAGTAACAAGAATTGATTGAAGATCCTATTATTATGAAATGCACATACTGTGGGAAGAGATTACACATCCATCCAAGGGGGATCCTTAGTACAGTCGACTCTCGTTAAAGGGACACTAGGTCCTGGAACAGCCCAATTGGGCTTCAAAACGCGCTATGAATGAGATGATGTTAATTGGAAATAACATTTAAAAGTAGGATATAAACATCAACACAACCATCCTTTCAAAACTGGGCGTTTTTGTGTTTTTCCTGTATTATGCGTGCAAAAACGAATTTCAGGGTCCACTTTTGCTACCCCATAAATTTGAGCTGTTTGGTTGCTAGTTGTGATTTGATTCGTAAAGTGTTCGCCCTTTGCAGACGTTGAAGAAACCCCATTTTTTGCATTGGTGATTGGTCACCGCTGTTCCTGAGACACACAACGTGTGTATCGTGCACTGATAACGACACGAAAAACGTATTCGTACTCCGTCATGTCCGATGTAAACAAGCGGGTTTTTTTTGTCTTTTCTTGGGAACGGTAAGACATTAGGTTGGTTTCCTTTCAACCAGATGTTTGAAATAAGCTAAGTAAACAATCCAAAACATCAAATTTTCGGGGATTTCAGGACCTAGTGCCCCTTTAATACAAACAAATGTTTATTTTCTCAGAACGTTTTTAAGAGGAGTGTTGGTCGCATTCATTGCGCACATAAATGCACAGTCAGGACCAATGCTTTATGTTCACTATAACTAGAGGTTGTATTAACAGAGTTCGTATTAACAAGAGTTTGATAAAGTCTCGCACCGCCACCTCCTGATGAAAGTTGAGCACTACGGAATACGAGACAGCACCTTGGACTGGATCCAGGATTTCCTCCATAAACGATCCCAAGTTGTCCAAGTTGATGGTCAGAAGAGCACCGAATCCCAGGTAACGTCGGGAGTACCACAGGGTAGTGTCTTAGGCCCCTTATTGTTCCTAATTTTCATCAATGACCTACCTGACTGCGTCTCAACTTCCACAACAAGGCTGTTTGCTGACGACTGTATAGTCTACAGACGTATCTCATCCTCTGAAGACACAACCAGCCTTCAAAAAGATCTTGATGCCCTCCAAGATTGGGAGTCCAAGTGGCTGATGAGGTTTAATGTAAAGAAATGCCAAGTCCTTCGAATCACCAACAAATGTAAACCCATCCTTGCATCATACACCATTCATGGACACACCTTAGAAGTATCCAATTCTGTGAAGTACCTTGGAGTTCATCTCGACTCTCATCTCACCTTCAAGACCCATGTGGACACCATCAGCAAGAAAGCCAACCCCACCAGGGCTTTCTTGTCTCGCAACCTCAGACATTGTAGTCGTAAGGTGAAGGAAGCTGCCTACACAACATTTGTAAGACCTATAGTGGAATATGCCAGCTCTACATGGGACACCAACACTGAGCGGAACACTAAGAAGGTGGAACAGGTTCAGTGTAATGCAGCCCGCTTTGTCACAGGGGATTTTGACAGGACAAGCAGTGTCTCTGCTATGCTACAGGATCTCAACTGGCCATCCCTACAGGATCGACGTACTCACAGTCGCCTGGTTATGATGTACAAAATCAACTACAACTTACTTGACATTGATGGGAACCAATATCTTACCCAACACGCTACATCAACCAGAGGCCACAATTCCCGATTCGTCATCCCACACACCAAGTCTTCAGTATACACCAACTCCTTCTTCCCACGCACTATCCGGGACTGGAACAGCCTTGCGGTAGACCCAGCGGAGTACAAGTCCCTCGACGCCTTCAAGCTGGCACTGAAGGATCACCCACTGAAGTAGACAGCACAACCAGCTTTTTTTCTTTTTACTTGCACATCTGTACGTGTACATATTTCTTTGCACTTGTCTGCACTTCTTGCTTAGACCCATGCGCAACACACAGTGCATTTATCCTCATGCATATGAGGCTGCACTATAAGGAAGGAAGGAAGGAAGGAAGTTGACTGTAGCTCAATTCTGAAAGATGCAATCAACTTCTTCTAGGAAAGTGTTTTTGTTTACACATGCACATCCAAATTGGAGCATTGTATACTGTACAATTTGTACATAAGGCAAAATTTTGTTTTGACTGATTTTGGCTGATACCAGTTATCTATAAAGCTTATGCGTAACCCTTCAGTCCCCTCATTCTTTACCAAGTTACAATCATCATGACCGCTTCATTTTGGCCTAAGTTATAATAATGATACATGTACCTGAATATCCAGATCTTTTTCTTGAAAAGCTGAAAAATGAGCTGTAGCCATCTACATTAGCAATGGAGTCATCCAACAGGTCTCCTGCACACAAAAAAGAAACCAAAACGGTCCATCAGCAAAGTAGTTTTGTCAAAAAAGTTACCTGGAGATCTACACTGCATGTATTTGAATGAGATGAAAATTAAACTCTAGCTGAAAGTAAAATAGCCACATACATAATTTTTTTGTTGAAAAAGGACAGGGTTTTGATATTTGAGGAAAATTATGGGGTTTAAAACGATGACGGCGACTATGAAGCAACAAATGTGCACACACTGACAATAAACATGGCGAGAACTGTGTGAGCGTGTGGATTCACACGGTAGGCCTGAAAATTGTAAAATTACTATTAATATCATTATCAAAATCTGGTAAGACTCTAGTCTGAAAATTTGGGACTTTCAATACTGTGTATGAGAGTCCCAAAACTCAAGGTATCCATATTGTGCAAAAGTTTGTGCTGCATAATAAAACCAGTGTGAATCAAATGTGCAAGCTTCTTACTCACTAGTTTCTTCAATAATCCCTGAAACTTTTGCCTCGCAAAGATGCTGTTGTGAGCATTGCCTCACCAAAAATTCAGCTTTTAATTCTAATTTTACAGAGAGTTATCGAAATCCAAAATGTTGATGTGTACTGCCATGCATTGTGCAAAAAGACTCCTCAGCTATAACATTTTCATCGTGTAGATAAAACAGCGCCCTTTTGTTGATCCGAGTAAATTCAGAATGTTTCATTTTTTAACAGAGGGCACTTAAAAAACAAGTAAGCTGCAAGGCACTAAGTGCATCTACCCACAATACCTTGTGAATCACATGCACGTTTCCAGATCGTGGAGAATGACATGGATGGTTTTTGAACTGCCAAAAACCTGCCTTAAAATTGGATTTAACTAAGGTCTCAAATTTCGCAGGTGACATGCATGCAACTATAGCATTTTGTGAATAATTTCTCAACTAAGAGAATGGTTCTGAAAAGAACCAGAGGCTCTGGTTCTTTTCAGAACCATTCTCTTAGTTGAGAAATTATTCGCACATGGTGTTTAGTATCTCCACCATGCAAAGCCTCAAATCTTACTTATAGCATTTTGATGTATGTGTTGTGTGGGCATTAATTAGCCGAATGGTGAGTTAAAAAACGTCAGTAGTAATTTTGCACGTTTTCATGCACTCACGGTCCCAGTCTGGTAAGACTCTACTGTTCAAAATCTTTAAAAAATAGGGTCAATATAATTAAGACTAGAGTAAGACTAAGAGAAGGGAAAGAATGATGCAACCTAACCATGCTGACGCTGCTTTTTTCTTCATAATCATATATCATCTCAATGCAGGTCAGTAATTGCAAACAAAATGATAAGACCATGGAGCTATAAGACAAAAATCTGGGACTTTGAGAAACATTTCCAAATTCCAGTTTTGTTGGGAAATACTTAAAATTTTCTTGACTCTCCACAGACTTTGTAAAATTGTAGTGTACACAACCGCTGTAGTGTCAGCCGCCGTCAGGTTGCAACATTCTTTCCAAACAAAGATTGCCTGCGGTTGCAAATGTCATTTTAGAGCAACAAAATCTTTTTAAGAATAAAGAAAGACTGGGAAGTGGGGTGTCCTAAACTCCACAACCCGCTTCTAAATTCTAATGACACATTTAACATGTTTAATATGAAATGGACCTAAAGTAAAGAGGGCCGGGGCCCCCGCGGCCGCGACCGCGCCCGGTGCGGTCTGGTGGTGTAGCGAAGAAGGCCCAACTTACTGGTAACTTTAGTTTCCTGTAAGCAGACGATGTCTGCATCAAGCGAGTTCAATAGATCTTTGATGGCAACTTTTGATGCCCTGATTCCATTTATATTCCACGTTAAAATATTCATTTCTGACAATCACAACAGAATAAACATCGATGCAAAAATCATTCGTGTTCGCGCGCTACGGAGGCCGCCATATTTTGTAAAGTCCGCCCTCTAGCGGTAAAATAATAATCTTCTACGGGCTACGGCTATGGCCGAGTATGGATTTGCATCTTGTTCACACTAGTTATTGCAGTCGTAGCCACAAAACAGCCAATTCGGATACGACCTTTTCGCTGTGTGCATGCACTCAGTGGCAATACGTGTAAATTTACTGCACCGTGCAGAATCGCTAATTACTAGGCCTAATATTTTCATAATCTCGTCGTTGGTTGCACCATAATGTCGAGCATCAGATCATTAAAAGTGAGTAGTTTGTGTTGGCTAATTTTGAGACTGGCATTTGTATAGTCCGAGTCCGAGTATTAAACTACCGGTAGGGCAGCCGTAACGCATTTCCCATTTTCTATCGTTACGGTAGACTGCAACTTTTATAAAAACATGACAAGAAAATATAAAATTAGAAGAAAAAAAGTGAATATGAACGTTATGAAATTCTGACTTTATTTCCCTTTTAAAAAAAATCCTCCAAAGCCTCAGGTTAGAAAAGGAAAAAAATTCGAGGGCAAAACTGGGATTCGAACCCGCAACCTCGCGGTGCAAAATCCTACCCTCTATCGACTGAGCTGTCGCACTGCTCACTAATGTGTGTGGAAACAAATAATTATATACCTGCGTGCGTATCAAAAAAGTATCGTAGAGGGCGCTAAACAATGACTGCCGTAACGATAGCCACTTCAAATAAACAACTGGAACAACCTCCCAGCCTACGTCGTAAATGCCATGAATGTCAACCAGTTCAAGAATAGATTTGACAGTTACTTGAAAGAATCTGGATATGGGGTCTTAAAAGGCATTAAGCCTATAATTGATAATCCCATCAAATCTTAAGTGTAAGTGTAGGACTCTACGGATCGCTTTTTAACATTTGGGACATGGTCGGGCGATAGTAGAGTCCTACTAGGTACATACAATGTAGCCTTGCTTTTTTTTAATACCACTTTCACTTGTACTCCCAATCAAAATCTTCAGATTTCACCCCCAAAGCAGTCACAGGGCACTTTGATTGGTCACCTGGATTGGTCGAAATCTGAAGATTTTGATAATGGTCATTGATACCACCATGTATTATGAGGGAAAAATCGGATACCCGAACACCACTTACCTGCCGCCAAACAAATAAATGTTCACCTCACCTTGTGATTTCAACCAAGAGGAATCCAGGAAACAGCGGACATGCGAAAAAAAATTAGTAAAAATGTGTTTTTAGAGCACATTTTGCATGCACATGTAGTGCAGATCTGAGTTGAAGCAGCCGGTCAAAACTGATTGAAGTGTCTGGAACAGCGGTACATTATACGCATGACATCGATAACCATAACGTCGCATGAGCCGGCCAATGATAGTGCAATACGTCATTATGAATATTGTGGCGGGAATATCTGTGACCCGATCCGTAGTCCCTTTACCCAGACAACCTAGCTAAGGATCAGTACCCCAGCAGCCGGGAATGCAGGCCCGTTTGGATGGAAATATACCGCCCTATACGCGTAGCAGCACTCACCCATGCCCCTCAACCTCAAAGATGGACAAGGACAGACAATTAAGTACACAACAGTCAATGACCTCAATTACTGCTTGATTTATTTACACAGAATCAATGTCATATGATGGACCTCTCGTTAAATTATAATGTTAGCCTCTAATAAGTGATTGGTCTCCGAGCCTCTCAATTATCTCTGTAGGGGTAGCCTCGCATTAGCCGCTACGGTAAGGCAGTGCTGGGCAGCACGGCGATGCCTGGCTGGGGATAGCCTCTGAATCCCGGGTAAGAACCGTACGCCTCTAGCGTTCCTGTGCGCCTCCACTCTCCCGCCCTCCACCGTTTCCAGTCGCAATCCTTCCTCGAGGCGGCGGGTAGATGAGCGCGCCCTTCCGGCTCCGTCACGTTACAATCGGCAGATCGCTGTATGTCGCTCCGCCTCCAGTAGCCTCCGCGGACTCCGTGCCTCCTTATGCCAGCCCGACTTCACCGCACCACCCAGCACACGCCCGTCAGCGCGCGCAAGCTAATTTGCCTACCGTCTCTTCCCCGTCGATGATCTCGGCGTACGCTCGGAAGGTTGTGTCTGAGATAAGCCTAATTTGTGACTGTGTGTGTCTGAGCTGAGTCTACCTGAGCTGAGTCTGTCTCGCAACTGCCCCGGGGCCTTATATAGGGCCCACAGCCGCGAGCGCGCCCTCTCTAGACTACGCTGCTATAGTAATTTGCGCCACAAAGCCTCCTTCTTAGCATGAACGTCCTCGTTCATAACAGCTAAAGAAAGACCTGATATTCAAAAGCAAATTACTCAAAACTTTCTTATCAAAACTTTTAATCTAAACAACGAAAAGGTCCATAACTTCAACACGTCGGCGCCTCTTTATACATGCACCTCATAAAAGAAACATAGTTAACTTTATAAAACTCTGAGAAAACTTGATAGAAAACTTTATAAACTTTTAAGAAACTTTAAGAAAACTTATTTAAAGGTTATAGAAAACTCTGTATAAACTTAAGAAATGATGGCTTAGAGAAACGAGCCTAATCAGTGCTGTTACTTCTTGCGGAAATCTTGGTCGAACTGGACATCGTACACCCTCTCCAACCGCTGCTCACGAACTTTCACACCCTCCTTGTACTCGAGGGTGGTCGACACCTCCTTCACTCGGGTAACCCTGCCCCTCAGTACCTCTTCCAGGGATGTCACGTGGATTGGGCGCAGATCCTCTCGGATGTGCGCAGCTGCTCCGTTGTTGGGTGCTGCCTCAGCCGCCTCATGTTGTTGCAACTCTTCCGCCTCCTCTTCACTGCTCTCCACGTGGTCCTGCTGGGCCATAAGGAGCATCCCCCGAGGCTTACCACCAAGTGGCTTACGCACTGGGGCTGGCACATCTTCTTCTAGCAAGGACAAAGAGGCCGGTGACAAAGACAGTCCTCCACTCGCCTCCGGTCCTACAATCGAGAGATCCAGGGGGCCTCCTTGAGTGATTGTACTCTGCTTAGCGACTTCCGCTTGGCTGGCGGTTCCTCCTGTGCCTCTGGCTCACTTTGAGTCGGTCGCTTCTCTCCCCGTGGTTGTTCGTCGACGTCGTCTTCCTGATGGAGTATACGTAGGGCCTCTGCCCACGTCTCAGCATCTCCAAGATCCTTCACCTTCCGTCCCTCTGGTCTCTTCACCACCATCCGTCTGGTCTCCTTTGCCGCTTTTTCTCCCTCTTCCGAACGTCGCCGCTGCGCCCGCTCTCTCTCAGTCTCCAAGGGGAGAAGATCCACCTCATGGATGTGGGCCTCGTGATTCTGACGGTAGTGTCTTCGCAAGTTATCCTTCCTCGTACTCTTGAAGGGACACCGTACGCACCAAGCGAAGATCTGAGACGGGCCATGACCCACCTGTCTATGTCGGGCCAGGCTGGTCCTATGCTGAAACGTCAGTGAGCACTCTTCACATTGGAACTTTTTCTTTTCCTGCTCCTTCATTGTGTTCAGTCGTCGTCACAGGATCATTCTCCGTGTCCTGCATAGTCTCTGTAATTCCGTCTCCGTCAATGCTCCCTATGTCAAGTACTGGGTCAGTTTGTGTGTCCTCCTCTACACCTCTGTCAGGAATCGTTTCCTCGTCACTCCTCTGGTGATGCCTCCCTGCAGGCGATCGCTCCTGATCCACATGAGGCGGAGTTTCAGTGACTTGTCTCAGAGGTTCTGTTTGCCAAGACTCCATAGGAGTGCCTTTGTAAGGCTTCAGTCTATCGAAATGAACCACGAGCATCTTTCCTCTGGGTTTGTCTTGTACCCTGTAGTTTACGTCTGACAGCTTCCTTATGATGAGGTACGGCCCTTCCCATCTTGAAACTAACTTCTGGGAGGCCCCTTTCTTCCTTGCATGGTTATACAACCAGACGAAGTCACCTTCCTCATAACCTGCACCCTCAACTCGTCTGTCGTACGACAACTTTTGGCGTCTAGCACTAGTCTTGGTTTGAGGACTATCTTCCACTTTACCTCCCTACCGTCGTTCGATTCCCATCGCCGACATAACACTGACTGTCTCATCTCTAGTTGGTCCCATTGCGACCAATAAACTTTGACCGCAGTTGCACGGGAGGACATGCTCTTCCAATCTGGCCTCTGACCTGACTCCTCTTTCCCAAGTACTACCCAGGCAATGGAGGGGTCTTTCAGCTGACCCTCCCGCAATTCGTCTGTGGTAACGTTTGGCTCGGCAACAACCACTCTCACATCCGCCGGCATAGGTGCCTCTACAGTATCGTCGTCCACTCGTCCACATTGCTTGCACGGTCGACGTGACAGGCCGTCTGCATTTCCATGTTTCTTCCCAGGGCGATGAACTATTTCATAGTTGTACTGCCCAAGCACCTCCAGCCATCGAGCGATCTGCCCCTCTGGGTTCTTAAAAGTGACTAACCACTTTAATGCCGCATGGTCCGTTCGTACAGTTATCTCTTGTCCGTATAGGTACTGCTTGAAGTGTTTAAGATAGACAATAATTGCAAGGAGCTCTCTGCGCGTCACGCAATAATTCCTCTCGGGCTTGGAGAGTGTACGGCTCGCGTAGGCAATAACGCGCTCCTCTCCATTTTGCACTTGAGACAAAACAGCTCCGATGCCGACTCCGCTAGCATCTGTATCCAATATGAACTTGCCCTCGGGTTCTGGGTATGCCAGTATTGGCGCCTCTTGCAGGTGAGTCTTCAAGGTTTGGAACGCCTCCTGGCATTCGTCACTCCAGTGGAAGACACGTGCTTTCTCAGTTAGCCTATGGAGCGGGCGAGCCACATCAGCAAAACCTCTGATGAATCTTCTATAATACGAGGCCAACCCAAGAAAACTCCTCAGTCCTCGGACGTCAGTCGGAGTTGGCCAAGATCTTATCGCCTCCAGCTTGTCTGGATCGGTAGATACTCCCTCCGGGGACACCACATGTCCCAGATACTTAACCTGCTGTCGGAAGAGGTGGCATTTCCCTGGCTTTAATTTAAGTCCAGCCCCACGTAACCTCTGCAGAACCTCCCTCAAACGGTTGATTTCCTCCATGATGGTTCGTCCATACACAATAACATCGTCTAAATAGACGAGCAAGGTTTCCCACTGGAGGCCACGCATTATCCTCTCCATGAGCCTCTCGAATGTGGCGGGGGCATTGCACAGACCGAAGGGCATAACCCTCCAGCTGTACAATCCCCCGCGCACAACAAAGGCAGACTTCTTCTGAGCCTCTTCATCAAGTTCGACTTGCCAATAGCCGGAGGCAAGATCTAGGGTTTGAAAACCATCTTGCCCCCGCTAGTGCGTCAAGGGTGTCATCGATTCGTGGGACGGGGTAAGCGTCCTTGATCGTCCTTTCATTGAGCCCTCTGTAATCCACACAAAACCTCTGCGTTCCGTCCTTTTTCCGAACGAGAACTACATTGGACGCCCACGGGCTGTCGGATGGCTCTATAATCCCCCGCTTTAACAAGTCATCCACTTGCTTGTCGATCTCCTTTTGCTTACACAGGGGTTGTCGCCTCGGTCTTTCCCTAACAGGTCTGGCACTTCCGGTGTCTATGGTGTGTTTCACCCTGTCAGTCCTCCCTATGTCGTGGTCTCCTCTGGAAAATACATCCGAGAACTCCGACAGCAGCCCAGAAACGGCGTAATGATAGCGCGTATCTAGCCCTTCAACGCTTCGCTTCCAGAGGTCCTGAAGGTGTCCGGGGACATGAACATCTTCCGATTCTTTTTCCATAGCCTCCTGTCGCACCTCATCGACATCTTCTTCATCCACTGGGGTGAGGCAGGCGGCAGTAACCCCACAGCGCAAAACGCACTTCTGCCTCCCTGGGTTCAATACCCGCACCGGTAATGTATCTCCATCTATGTTCACCAGTGACCTCGCAACTATAAGGCCCTTATCCGCTACCACGCCGCCTCCTTCGACTGGCTCTATCACACCAACATGAAACGAATCAAGTGACTTATCCATCCTCCCTGGTATAATGGTTTCATGTCCCGGCGGTATGACAGTAGTTCTGGCTACCGCAATCCTCGCGCATAACGCTGTTCCCCATCGGCTTGTACACTTGATGTGTTCTCCATGCAACACGAGCTCCAAGGCCTTAAAGTCCAACATTCCTCCCGTTGGTATGAGAAAGTCCATTCCCTGAATTCCTTGTGCCTTAACCTTTGCAAAAACTGCACGTACTGGAAAAACGGTTCTTCCTACCTGAACCTCAATTTGTGCCACACCCAAAGTTTCTATCGGTGTCCCATCCGCCTGAAACACTTTTAAGCCATCTGTTTCTAGCCTCGGCCGCCTCTCAGCTGGAATTCTGTAATACACCTCGGCTGAAATAACTGTATCAGTGGTTCCAGTATCCACAAGGAGCGGAATGTCAAGGGAACGAATTTTCCCCTTAACATAAAGTCCTTTCTTGGGAGAAATTGTTGGCACAAGTACCTTCCGTTCAACTTCCGGGATATTACTACTTGAGGTTGGTTTTAGATTGAGGGTTGACCCTGCTGTGGTTTCAGCCCTTCCTCGGGTCCTAGGAGAGGCTGATTGCCGTTTCCCTGAGGCTTAGTTTTATTTCTCTTCTCCGGACAATCTCGTAAAAAGTGTCCATACCCTTGACAATGATAGCACCGGTCCCCTGGGGTTGCACGTCGCCTCTGGTGGAAACGGTATACCCTGGTGTCACGCCTCTTCTTTGTTTGACCCACCTCGTCCAGAGTTTGGTCCGTCTGTTGTTCTGCGCCATGCTGAACGACATCCTCCACGGCGTCCTCCAGCACCCTACATTTTCCAGTGCCGAACTTGGGCCCATTCCTTTGAGCCTCAATCTTCTCGAAGTTTTCAGTTGCTAAGGCTGCCCGTATCGCCTCATCAAGTGTAGAAGGGTTGGCCCGGAATACCCCCTCTCGAATAGACTGACTAGCTATCGCATCAGAGAAGTGTCCTCTTGCAAGGCGGTCCCTTGCGGTTTCCGTAAACTCTGGGTACGAAAATGACGCCAATTCACGTACCGCCTGGCCGAGCTCCTGTATGGTTTCCTTCGGCTTCTGCCTCCTATTCCTTAACTCCAGGAGGAAATTTTCTGCGCGCTCTCCAGGTCCAAAACGCCCATCCAAAAGCTTGAGAAGTTCGCTGTATGAATGCCTCTTCTTCTCTCCGTCCCCATGGTGAAGAAGTATCTTCAGTGCCGGACCCTGGAGGCTCGCCGACAGAAACACCGCCGCCTCCTCGTCATCCCATCTATTGGCTATTTTACATGACTCAAAGTGTTCCTTGTAGTCTATCCACGGTTGTTTATCTCCGAAGCGGTCTGGTACAATCCTTGGGCGACCCGAGCTCTTAGTCAGCTTCTCTTGTAACTGCTTCTCACCGATTATTTTTTGATCTCGTTTAAGAGGCCATGGTGTCTCCTTATTAGAGGCTCCTGCGCCTCCTATTTCACGAGCTGGCTCCTCACTTTTCTCTAGTTCACTTATGACCTCCACTGGCTTCGGTAACTCCACGATTGCCTCCACAGGTGGCGTTGTGTCTCCTCTAATGCCAGTTGATTGTGCCTGTGGCATCCAAGACTTATTCTTCTTCATGATACTCCTTGGAGGCGTCCAGTTACCTCCAGTAGCCTCCTGCCCTATGTCCTGCACCTGGGAAATTGAGGCAAGTCCAGTGTGTACCCCTGAATCCAGCGAAGTCCCCTGACCTATGCTCTTCCAAGCATCCTCTAGTCGAGATATCCTACTCATTAGTTTCTCTATTGTAGCCTCCTGGCGTGAACTCTCCTCCATTGAACGCTGGAGCTCATCCTCCCTTCCTTGGAGGTCCACTCGGAGACCGTCAACCTCCTCCTGAAGTTCCTTAGCAGTCTGGTCTGTCATTATTAGTTTGTGTCTTCGTCTTAGTTAAATTAAGGGTCCTATTTATTAATTAATAATTGTCCTCGCCTCCCCAAGGATGAGAACGTGGGCAAATGGTAGCTAGGCGTATAATCCCACTTCTGACACCATTTGTGGCGGGAATATCTGTGACCCGATCCGTAGTCCCTTTACCTAGACAACCTAGCTAAGGATCAGTACCCCAGCAGCCGGGAATGCAGGCCCGTTTGGATGGAAATATACCGCCCTATACGCGTAGCAGCACTCACCCATGCCCCTCAACCTCAAAGATGGACAAGGACAGACAATTAAGTACACAACAGTCAATGACCTCAATTACTGCTTGATTTATTTACACAGAATCAATGTCATATGATGGACCTCTCGTTAAATTATAATGTTAGCCTCTAATAAGTGATTGGTCTCCGAGCCTCTCAATTATCTCTGTAGGGGTAGCCTCGCATTAGCCGCTACGGTAAGGCAGTGCTGGGCAGCACGGCGATGCCTGGCTGGGGATAGCCTCTGAATCCCGGGTAAGGACCGTACGCCTCTAGCGTTGCTGTGCGCCTCCACTCTCCCGCCCTCGACCGTTTCCAGTCGCAATCCTTCCTCGAGGCGGCGGGTAGATGAGCGCGCCCTTCCGGCTCCGTCACGTTACAATCGGCAGATCGCTGTATGTCGCTCCGCCTCCAGTAGCCTCCGCGGACTCCGTGCCTCCTTATGCCAGCCCGACTTCACCGCACCACCCAGCACACGCCCGTCAGTGCGCGCAAGCTAATTTGCCTACCGTCTCTTCCCCGTCGATGATCTCGGCGTACGCTCGGAAGGTTGTGTCTGAGATAAGCCTAATTTGTGACTGTGTGTGTCTGAGCTGAGTCTACCTGAGCTGAGTCTGTCTCGCAACTGCCCCGGGGCCTTATATAGGGCCCACAGCCGCGAGCGCGCCCTCTCTAGACTACGCTGCTATAGTAATTTGCGCCACAATATTTATTTTCTCATGAATATTTAGTTTATTTCAATGGATACTTCAAATACGTCCAAAGATTGATCATTGCAACAGCGATCGTGCGCAGCCTAGCGGTTAAGAGTCTCGTGTATCAAGCAAGTGTCCGAGGTTCGAATCTCGATGAAGTAAGTGACTGATTGATAAATAGAAATTAAGGAAAGGAGGGGGTGAGAGTAGAGGAGGGAAAGTGGAGGGAATAACCATAAAAGATGTAACTTTTGGCGCTAGAAAATTAATTGAAAAAAGTGGTGATCGGGTATCCGATTTTTTCCCTTTATGATCCAAGGACCCTACTATCACCCGACCATCTCCAAATGTTAAAAAAGGCGATTCGTAGGGTCCTAGTTACCGGTTACTTGAACTACAACTGGTGGGAGTAGAACTCATTTTGAAATTTTGGCTTGGATTGGTCGTACTAGTGCCCTAGCCAGCTGACCGTATGCATTACTGCTGTAATATAATGAATTACTAATTCATTATTTACTACTCATGATTCAGCTCATAAATATTGCCCAAAATGAAGATAAAGACTCGACGAAATACTTTATAAATCGCTTACTGGCTTCTCAAGGTGTCAATGATGAACTACTGGGGCTTCAATGGTACTCCAGACATTACATGTGTTGCAAATCGATGAAATCAACTAGTTTTCACCATCACAGTGCACACCGCTTGAAACGAAATGAATCCGCTGGAGGCTGAGATCGTGATTAACTATGCATGTTGGGACGATACATCAACGACTGTTTGGTGAAATTGAAGAAGAGGCACTGTGGCTACAGGCACTAACGCAGTCGCAATGCGTCTTCTTCAATTTCACCAAACAATCGTTGATGTATCCTGACATGCACAGTTGCTTTTGGCGGACCCATCTCTGTATGTGGCTGATTCATTTCAGTTCTAGCAGTGTGCATTGTGATGAGGAAAACTGTCCGTGTATGGTTGAATGTTTTTGTTGTTGTGTTTGCAGGGTTTGGTTGGTCTAGTGACTGGTGCAGGGTCAGGTCTTGGCAAGGCAACAGCTCAGCGTCTGGTCAAGCAAGGTGCTAGGGTTGTCGTCTATGATCTTCCAAACTCAGCAGGAGATGACGTGGCCAAGGAACTGGGAGACGACTGCAAGTTTGCTGCTGGAGACGTAAGAAATTATTCTGAAAATAAAATTAGTGAAATCCATCCAGATCACAACCTTGTCCTAAAGAATTGAACTCTCAACAAAATCCAAATGAAGTTAAACAAAAATTCATCAGCTTAACCCTAACTCCCTAGGCCTTTTTGCTAGGATGTAGCCTCAATCCTGCAAAATCCTCCAATGGACCTCATGGAAGAATAGCATATAGCCTCAATCCTGCAAATTCCTCTGTTATTTCTTGAATATGGTCCATGGAGGGGTGACCACTGCCTGAATCCTGCAAAATCCTCCAGCTATGACTGTCAATAGGCTGAGGCAGAGACAGTGACACAAGGCAGAGACAGTGACACAAGGTCCGGCCCAAGACCTTGACACAGTGCGTACTCCGAAATCAGCAACGCACTTTTGCCATGGAAACTCAATCCTGCAAATTCCTCCAATTTGCAAAAAGTATTTTGGAGGATTCAGGGCGGTTAGGGTTAATCCTTAATTTTATTTACAAAATAATGCACCAAATTTACTTGGATGGGACTCAAACAGAAGTCCTTCTGTTAACTACTGCAGATGTCTTATCATTCAAATATTGAGCTTGTTAGGTAGTATGTGTGCTAGTATTGAAGCGAACTTTGATTCCCAAATAAAAAATAGCTTTTCATTTGCACGGTTTGCTTGGCTTGGCATCCTTTTATTCTGCATGCAGTCTGTACTGCAGACAAATGGAACTTTAAAGGCACATAGGATCGTTTGCATTTATTCCAAAAGTAGCCTACTCAATTTTTATCAAAACCACTTACTTGGATTAAAGATTGTACTGGTACTAAACACCCTGTGAAATTATTCTGTCTGGCATGCTGTCATTTAGAAGACATCAAGAAATGTAGACCTGTGATTCCCAACGACCAGTCTGTTGATCGATCGTTGAAAATAAAGAGTTATAGATGAAATTCTGTTTGGTGATCAAAAGGTTGTGCATGTTTCTCACTTTTCTTGAAAAGTGTAATATCCACTGAGACAACACTTCATCAGGTTGAACAGGTTTGAACACTCTTCTATTGATTTTGAATGGCATTAATCTTGGAAACGAACAAGAAACATGAAATACAAATGATCCTCATTGTATACCTTTAAACTTGTGTTTGTGACCCTATAAAGTTTTATTTGTCACATTGTTCCTGTTCACTTCATGTCTTGCACCTACACAGGTCACATCAGAGTCTGAAGTATCTGCTGCCATTGCAACGGCAAAAAACTCATTTGGTCGGCTTGACCTAGCAGTCAACTGCGCTGGAGTGGGAATCGCTGTTAAAACCTACAACTTCAACAAAAACAGGGCACATCCCCTGGCTGAGTTCCAGAGAGTTCTAACTGTAAGTTTCAATATGACGGATGTTTTTTTTTAATTTTTGTTTATTTTTGCTGAGTATAATGATTTTCATTGTGCATCCTCTACTGAATAGAGTGCTGTGGCCTCATGGTCTAGTGCATTGAACATGAGTCTTGTGGGTAATTCTGCAGGTTGTGGGTTCGAGTCCAGCCTGGGGATGCAGTGCGTGTTCTTGGGCAAGACACTTTGTCACTCATTGCTTTTCCCCAACCAGGAGTAAATGGGTACCTGCATGGGCAGAGATTTAGCTGTTTGCACCTTGTTAAAGAGCAATTAAAGGGAGCTCAGATGATCTTTGAATGTTTCTAGTAGTCCGATTTGCAGGGGTAATGCCTTGCGAGCTCCAATTTGGTGGATGTGTGTGTTTTAAAATCCATATTGTCTTCGGTCATTATTGACGCACACAATAGGTCTCGTTCAAATGACGTCATTTCCTACAGACCATCCACGTGCATTGGCACTTTGAGCGTCAACTTGCACAATGTGCGTTAGCTGCGTCGTATTTCGAACACATTTCGAGCAACAAGCGCGTGTATTTGGAACATTTCCAACACTGCGCAATGCGTGCTTGATTGCGTAAAATACGCATTTGCAGTTCTTCTATAGAAATGGCCGTCATTGAACGAGCCCTATTGTGAAAAGTTCTCATAAGATTGAACCCATTATAGCACCTGTACTACATTGTGTCATGTATTTGAAGAATCAATAAAACCACAGGAGTGCTTTGGTGTTTTCAGGTGCTACAGTGACTAAAAGGTTAAACTTCTAGCAGAATTTGCCCAAACTATTGCCAATAGTTGATCTGTGAAGATGACGTGCTTACAAATGTCATTTTCTGTGTTTTAAAACACACTGTGGTCAAATCTCAGATTTAGTCCCCTTGTTGATCACTCAGGTGAATGCTGTGGGTAGTTTTAATGTGATCCGCCTGTCAGCTGGTGAAATGGGCAAGAATGACCCCGGCCCTGATGGGGAACGTGGGGTCATCATCAACACGGCCAGCGTGGCTGCATTTGATGGTCAAATCGGACAGGCTGCATACTCGGCATCCAAGGGGGCTATCGTTGGAATGACCTTACCCATTGCGCGGGACCTTGCCTCACAAGGGATCAGGGTCTGCACCATAGCACCAGGTGAGTACAGGTAGTGTAGTTGGCTTGGCCCTCCCAGAGGGAAGTCAGTACTCAGAATATGTAAAACCCTTTACAACCCTGTAGGTCAGTTTCAGGTGATGGGACATTTAAACTGTGTCACACAGAGAGTCACTGCACATAAATTGGCATTGTGGAGAGCAGTGAAGCGTGACCGCATCTGCCTGCTCGCACTGAGCTTTAACTACACAAAAGAACTGTGCAGGGATTTGAAGTGTTACCCATGCGCCACCAGATTGTAGGTCAACTCACCCCTGACTGACTCGCCCCCTGACCGACTCGCCTCTTACAAGCTCGCCCCCTGACCGACTCGCCCCCTGACGGACATCTTACAAAAAATATAAAGACTGTGCGGAGGGGAACACATTGCCCGTTCGCATGAAGCTCAATGGAGGAAAACAATTCAAACGCCATTTTGAAGGATTTCCGGTACAAATGCAGGAAACTATGGATTCTTTATGAAGAATCGGGGTTGGAAACACCTTAGCACAGCTGTACCGATATAGCGCAGCGTGATTTTGGCTCCATTGAGTTTCATGCCACGACCGGGCAATGTGTTCCCCTCCGCACGCTCTATATTTTTTTTAAGATGTCCGCGGAAGGTGCATAATTTTCCAGGGGTTGAGTCGGTCAGGGGGCGAGTCGGTTTGGAGGCGAGTTGGCGAGGGGGCGAGTCTGCTAGGGGGCGAGTCGGCCAAGGGACGATCTTGTAAGGGGCGAGTCGGTAAGAGGTGAGTCGGCCAGGGGGCGAGATGACCTGACACCCTCCACAGAAGATTACCGGTAATCATCTCAAAGGAATTTGAAGTGTGTGTGCTAACTCTTGGGCAAAAGTGGTTTTGCGAAATGTGAAGGGTTGTAGAGTGCAGAAGACTATGAAGGTTAAGGCCCATTCATACTTGACGCTAAAGCAAAGCAAATTTCACGTCGTCAACAATTGTCATCATGACGTTTGCCGTTACACTAACAAATTCACTTTGCACTGAAATTCACATGGGGCACTATGTGTCAAAAAAAAAAACATGTCCTACTTTTGATTCTAAATAACTGTTGTTTACCAATGAAATTAAACCAAAATTGGAGTGAGTTTCATCAGCTTTGTGCAAAAGGGTGAGATTTAACGGCATACGAAAAAAAGACACACTTTCAGAATATGCAACTTTCAACTTGGCGTCCTCCAATGTGGATACAGTGCAGCAGCAAGAACGGAAGGCGCGTGCTGCGGACGAAAGCTTCGGAAGGAATGCAGGATCAACCCTGATGTTATTGCACACCTGCTTGATCATTTGGAACAACACATGATCGTGTTGTCCCCTGTGGCTTGGCCCCTAACGTGGCGCGGCCCTAATGTGGCGCAGCCCCTGTTTTTGAATTTCAGACTAATTTACGACACTGAAATTGTTCAGAAAGGTTTAATAACAGCAACCATTATTAAGGTAAAAAGAACCAGCATGTAACTGAATGAATGAAAAGAAGTTTGCAACACTGCATGAAGAAAGTCGAGGGCAGTGTCAAAGTGCGCCATGTTAGGGGACTCCAAGTAATACTGTCAATCTTCTTCACATTCCCAGGTTTGTTCGACACCCCTCTCTTGGCCTCCTTACCAGAGAAAGTCCGGACCTTCTTAGCCCGGATGATCCCCTTCCCAAGCCGCCTGGGTTATCCTGATGAGTATGCCCACATGGTCCAGTGTATTATAGAGAATCCCATGATGAATGCTGAGGTTATACGATTGGATGGAGCCATCAGAATGCAGCCATAAACGGACTTCCACCTTCAAAATCTTAACTTTCCATATTTCTTTAAAGATGTACTGTCCTTGCTTCTTTTTTTTTAAACTGCTATATTTCCAGCAGTACAAAAGTTACTCACTTTTGAATGAGACTTCAAACGAATAAAATTGACCTATGTTAAGATATGGAACAATTACTTTTATTTTAAATTAATTTTTAAATATTTGCATTGAAATATTAACTAATTTCTTGCAGGGTAGACTGGTTCCTGCCCCCATCACAATAGATTACAATGTACGTGGGGACCAAGAACCAGTCTATTTGCAGGACAGATATGTTTGTGTGCAAAAGTGAACCATAATTCAGATGGTTGCAGATGCCCCCAAAAAATAGGGGGAAAAAAAGGAGTTTCTTTTTTTTGGAAATAAAAATACCAGTTCAAAACTTGTCAAGAGTAAAAAGAGCATGACAGTACACTAACTTAATGTTTGTCTGAAGAGCAGTAAAATTGTATATTATGTATAAAAATTTTGAGATAAAACTGTTGAAATCATATGCTTCCTTTTGAGACAAGTTTTGAATCAGTCAACAAGCATGATGGTCTTTTGACTAACCCTATCAATACAGTGTCAGTGCCCAAAACGGCCTAATCTGTGAAAGTAGCAGGTCTGATCAAAATGGCCATATTCATCCTCTTTGGGACAGCCTTTGGCGGGAGTTTGGCCTTCTGCACTGAAACAAACCAGACATTAAAATTGCACCTGTGCTTATGAAGCAATATAACTCAATTTACCCCCATGAACCTCAGGGAAGATGTCAATCAAATGGAAGATTGATGGCTGTTTTCATATTACAATGTATATTTCTTTGGAAGTGGTTGCTACAATACTGTAGCTATGGCTCCATGCACAGTGCCCCTTCGATGGCCAGAAAAGGAGAGTTGGGGCATGGAGCCCATACTACCCAAAAACTGCTTCCTGTTTAACAAACACATTCAAAGCAAGTGCATTCAAGTACATTTGTAACAGAACTCTTGTCCGTTGATACATTGCTAGGTGTAAGTGTGGTATTGTTTTTAAAAGTGACAAAGGGTGTTTTGGATGGGGTTTGGGAATTGTTGATATGTTAGAAGGACATTGTTTAAATATATCTATTTCAAACACAAATCATAAAGTGTTGCAAACAGTTTTGTGAATGTTGAACAATCAGATACGCACAGTAAGACAGATTAGACCTAAAATAATCATGTTTAAAAAAAGATAAAAACGTTGTTTATATCATATTCAAAACTTTTTTTTTAATGGTTAGGCAAAATGATTTTTTAATTGTTTTGCCAGACGCAGACAGATTTCACTTTAATCTATTAAACTTAGGGTTGCCAGAGTATTTACATGCACAAATTTAAGTTTATTGCAATTTTTATTTCATAAAACTTTACATGATGGCGTAACTCCATTTACATCACTTTTATAGGGCTGGGAACGAGATAGATTTCAGAATTACCTAGATGTCCAAACAGTAAGCGTTGTCAAAGAAATTCATGAAAGTTAAAAGTAGCGCAAGTCTGTGTCTTGTGGCATAACTCACAAAGTCAGTTTTAGTTGGTGGCATGGTGTACAAATAAAAATTGGAGAGAAACGCACAATTTGTCTTTTTAATTGCAGGGATAGTTTGGTGACCGATATGAAATCATACCCAAATATCTGTTGTAAAATCTACGCTTGTAGTTGTCCAATTTGTTTCCCCTCACATATTTGATACATTGCGCAGCTACTCTAACTTGGTAACGTAATGTTTTAAATGCAAGTTTTGTGAAGTCTATAGTAAATACGTTGGACAGCTGTTCAACGCATTATTTTCAGATACAAATCCATATTCTTTCATGACAGCAGCTGCAAGTCCAGTCACTGGATATTGTCTTACATTACTGAGCAAGGTGTTTTTTTGGTTCAAATGATTTCACTGTTTAATTTACTAAGTGTTCAGTTTTAAAATGAGATACTTGTATTCAAATTTTGTGTGAATGTGAAATATTCATACCTTTTTTTGTCTGCTTTTGAAAAATGAGTATTGTTCATTTCTTAAAAGATAAAAGGCATTAAAATATGTAATTTTAGTAAAAGAAAAAGTGTCATGCAGTCCCCCCCCCCCCCGAGTAATTTTGTTCAAGATGATATTGACACAGTATCCACAAATGTATTCCAAGCAATGGAGTATTTCCATTGTGTGCCAATCACACTGGATCACTGGAGTATCCATTCCAACCTACCTCAATGGACTGATCATTATGCCCAATCCCTCTGCATGAGCTACAACATTAGCCTCTTTGAGACATGACAGATAGAGGAGTGCAATTTAGAATGCTAATTTGGGGAAATACATACGAATATACCAACTAGTACATCAGATTGTTCAGTTTGATGATGATAAAAGCATGAAATCTGGCACACAGAGTATGTCACGGGAAAAGATTTTTGGCTGAAGGGCCATCGTAGATTTGCCCTTTTGAATCATGACTAAAAAACTGTGATATAGTTTCAGAACTTTATTTTCATATAAAACATGATACATATTTGATTCAGCTTACATTTAAATCTCTCCATTAGAGTACAACACTGTGCATTAAATGAATCGCTACTTACCAAAAATACAAAATTAAACTAAAAAAGGAACACATTTATGTGTAGTGATAAGACAAAAAAAACCAAAGCAACCCCACAAAAAACACCAACCCTACAAAAACAATTAAAGGCGTTTAAATTCTAAGTTTATATCAAACTTCCCTAAATTCCACCAATATTTCTGCAATGCAATTGTGATACAGCATGAGATTATCAATGCACTCTTTTCATTGGTCAAAAAGACATCAATTACAATATCACTCCGAATGTTCTAACAATACAGATATTTTTGACTCTTGCTAAGATATTCAATCTTATTTCCTTATATTTCTGTTTCGCAGATCTTGAAATAGGTCCAAAATTGCCTATGCAGGCCAAATCACAATTTGTATGCCCTCAAATTCTCAGGTATTAGAGCATTTTGAGGGCCATGAACTTGAGGATTTGTAAAAAAGAAGGGTGGAAGCCGGCAGAGGACTGTGAGCTTGTATATCTGCGCAATTTGGATGAAATTGGGCCCTAAAATGGCTCTATTTTGCAAAGGAGCGTAGGCGTCAATTTTCAAAATGGCGATGGGCTTCAGGACTGCTTTGGGCTGATCATCTTTGGATGGAATTTTCTCCCAAAAGTCATCGGTTAACCCCCCCCCAAAAAGAAAAAACGAACAGAAAGTGAAAGATGATGAAATAAGCTTTAATTTGATGGGTGTCTCAAACACCTTGGTGAGTTGTGAGTATTTTGAATAATTTGCGCACCAGTATCCCCTAAACGTAAGAAAGGGAGATTTAGGGGAGACCACTGTGGTAGAGGTATTCCAACGCATTGTTGACGACAAGGCTGATGAATCCTGACGCTCGCGCGAAGATACCATGGCTTTGTGCACATTCAGAATAAAAGAAGTTGCGTGAACTTCACGTTAAACATACATTCACGAACCAGTGTGTACTTGTTCTACATAACCCCCGAGGACAAACACACAAAGCGAGAACAACAGATCCTTTCATTCCTCGGGAGTTGGGTCTTTTGTTCAAAATGGTCCTCCGTAGTAGGTTTGTGTGGTTAGTCTATGGGAGAGTGTTATATTACAGGGACAAAGGAAAACACAAAGCATTGTCCTTGGGAGTATAGTAAAACAAGAGTGTGTGCTCACGTGATGTGACCCACCCACTGGGCTCTGGAAAGTGGTCAAATAGTGCCCTCTGTTGTTCATGCATGGAGCCCACTACATGTACACATAGAGAGTGAAGACGGTCACTAGTGTGCACAATTTAAAAAAAAAAAAACAATTTCAATTTACGTTCATGTGATAACTATTTATGGATATATACTGTTACACTTACTATTACACTTACTATTAAATGACGCATATAACTTTAATATGTACACGTATAATGAAGGCATGCATAGTTTGCTTAATGCAAACATGTTTAATACAGAGCACTATAATTGGCATAGTGATAAAAATGGTATTCAGATAGCTAGTACAATATTTTTTTTTTTACATATTAACACAAAAAAGGTGCTAGCATCATAGTACATGGATTTTGGAATGCAATTTGAAATGTTTAGGATACAAACATGATTTTGGGTGTTTTTTTTAAGCAGATTCCAATTTCCCATAAATTCCTAAGCAGAAAACTTCAATAACAACTTAATACAAACATGTTTAATTCAGGTGTCACCCTTCTGAAAATTGACATATTCAGCTGTGATTAAGAAATATTAGGAACAAAATAAAAGACGTTTTTGATAAAAACTTTACCAACAAGAGCATAACTTTCCTGTGCTGGGCAAATTTTTTTTCACATAGGCCCTAGTGAACTGTAAAGCCGGCCTCAGGTCAACCCACGATTTGCATGCACCACGACGGAACCGTCGGCATCAAGCACAAAAAATATGCTCAGGTTACAAAACTGAGAAATCGTGTGATGGTCGGAAGACATCACATAAGTTTTCTACTCTTGCGACTTGTGATTTTTTGAGCGCCAACTGATGCCGATCATTTTTACATTGTCGCAGTTACACTCAAGTTGCAAAAAATCGGGGACTGAGTTGTTCCCGACGGTCGTAGCTCAGACACAGCTTGATCCTGAAAAGTTAGTCGCTGATGACTGATCTGTGTCGTTGCAAGGTCGACCAGAGGCCGGTGTAGCGTGAATATCTGACTCCATGAAATGTAGACTCATTGGTAGTACTGCGCACGCGTGAGTACGATACCATGCTATTTTTAGGATCGTTTCGGGAGAGTGACCTGTCACGTGCGAGGGATTAACCAATAATAGGGAAAAAGGGGTCCGATTTTCATAGGAGTCGGATTTTCATGTGACACCGGCTTTAGGAAATAGTCACATTTTCACTATCTGAAGGTTTTATTTTCAACAGTATTCTTCAATGTTCTTTTGTAAAGATTTTTTTGGCAAGCTGCAAGTTGAAACACAGGCCCAGCATCAAAAAACATATTATCCAGTCATACCGAACAGAAATCTGGAGGTTTAGAATGAGTTTGGGCTGACATCGATACTGAAGACAGCAGTGGTGACAGAAAGAAGCTGATTCTCCTGCGTTGTGCTGAAGAGTTGCATCTCCAGACGGAGATCTGTCTCAAAAGGACCTGTCACAGCTCTCTCCAAATACAGAGTGCCTGTTTCATTGGAGGAGAATTAAAGAAGCTGAAGGATACTTGCACAAAACAAAAACAAACCAGTGTTCATTCACTTCTGAATATCAGTCATTCATTTGCATCTGAATTTGAGAATCGCTTTGAACACACCTTTCAATTTCGCTACCAGAGCATTTGATTCCATTTCAGTTCAGTCAAAGAAATGATGAAGCAGCACCTTTCGTTTATGTTCATTCAGATTTGTTTACAAGACTTCTTTTTCGCTTTTAGAAGGCGATTTCAAACATTCACCATTGTATTTCACTTTTAGTGTAATGCCATCGGCACCAGATACAAATAGGGGTTTCTTTTTCGTTAACGGTCAATCAAATTAGCTGTACCTGAAATCAAGTTAGAAAAGGTATGCTTGCATAAATAAATGCACAGGTAACGTACGTAATTGGCTATCTATTTCTCAAAAAGGATTTCACGGATAATCAAAACGATTGAACCTTTGTTGAATTGAAATGGGATTAAAGACGTGCATTCAAATTCAAGCCAACCTGAATGACCGAGTTTCAGAACTGAATGCACATTTCAGGAAATTGGCCGGGAAAACCTATATTAACCCCAAGCACAACTGCAGCAAATATGCAAAACAACTCCCACACATTTTATAAGGCAATACCCAATTTCGAAATTACTCACACACAGTAAGAAAATCGGTCAGGGCTGGCATTTGCACTTTTTCCACCTAATCACCCAATCTTTTTGCAAAGGCAGTGTGAAAATGCGCCGTGGGCCTGTGCTCGCTATGTTGGTGGATTGGTTGGTGGTTGGGTTGGTGGACAGTTTACTTGGCCCATTTTATCCGGGTGTATTATATTCAGTGGCCTAGCAAGGTCATTTTTATGGGGGGGGGGGGTAAAATTGTTTGAAAAGGGCACTGCACATCCGTGGTGAAATGTAGAAACGTTTTTTCCTTTAAGCGTTTCTCGTCATTTTGCAACTAACAAACCTAACCCCAAAATGCCCGTAAACCTGTTTTCCAAAGAGGGGGAAACCTTGTGTGGACGTGGGCAAGTCCACACAATGTATCTGAAAACTGGTTTATGTGGACAGCTTTTGCTCGGAATTAAGGCCCCCCCCAAAAAAAATAGTCAGTCTCTGGTCAGCGCGCGCATCGATTTAAATCATGTGCATCAATCTTTTTTTCCCCAAAATTTTCCACGGTAGCTCCAACAGCGCCCTCTATTGCCGCACCTCCTCAAATGTTTGTACCAATTCAAGGAGCACCAGGGAATGGGAAATTGCACCAATTAAGGCAAATGATCGAGGGCACCAAGGCAAATTACACCAACATACATGAGGACACAAAAAAGCAAACATAGTACCCTACCTTGTCTGTACAATCCAAGCTTGGAAAAAAAGAGAAGAAACTAGAGATCTATATGTTTGCAAAAGAACATGTCCCAGATTATGCATGTAAAAAAATCATATAAAATCGCACGATGACGTCATCATGACGTCACCTAAATTTTTACCTATAACACATCCCGGTCTATCTACATAACGAGTTTCAACCCAATCGGACTTACAGTTCTGTGGATATAGGACTTCAAAATATGTACGTTTGTGATGACGTCACGTGACCCATGATGACGTAATCATGACATCACTCTTCAGGGCACATCTATGCTATAAGGATTATGCTTATGCTGACTTTGAATGATGTACAACAAAGATGAATGGCAAAAGTGGAGACCGGAAAAAACGTGTACAATGTCTATGGGATTTTGAGGCGACAAAAAGAAGAAGGAAGAAAACAAATCAGAACAAAAACAAAGGCTTTTCCGCAACTTTGTGGAAAAGCTAAAAAAAAAAAAACCAAAAAACGCATTGCCGCATCAATTCCGGAACTTTGGTCTGACCAGAGACCGACTATTTTTTTTTGGTCCAAGTCCACACAGTGAATGTAAAATGCTTGTACACCCACAACGGAAGGACAAGAAAACAGTATGCCTCTTCGACTTTTGTCGCGGGGAAAAAAGCAGCTTACCCAGAGTAAGTTGGTGGATTTATTCTTGCAAGCCCTTGGATAGCACCGAGAAGACAGCACTTATGAAGTTATGCTGGTGATGGGCAAAACCTAACCTTGAATATTTAGGTCACACATGGGCTTTGATTCAACATTTGTTGTTATCAGTGAGAGTTTTGTGCCCTGATTTTTTTACAAGTTTATGTGATGATGCGAGTGCCAGGTTTGTACTCACCGGTGGCGAACCAATTTCCCAGCCTGTCGCGGTTTAAGTCCTTGGTCACACTGAACAGTCCCAGTTCATTTCCTTGGGTCAGTACGAATCTGAGCCCATTCGCCTGGGAAACGGTCAAGTCCCCAATCTGTAGGCGGAGCAACTGGAGGGGTTGGCGCAGCTCGCGGGTCAGACTCGGCAAGGCGATCTTGTTGTAGGTGATGAGCTTGACTGGGTCATCGACACAGTTGAAGTCGTTGTTGGGGCAGAGGGTAACTTTGACACAGCGAACTTCGTCGCCACTGTTTAAAAAAAGACAATAATATATATTGACAAATGATTATATTGACTAATCTGGTAGAAAAGCCGTTAACAATAATATATGGCTTTGGCATAACTAACACGAGTTTTGGGCTTGGGATAAACTATAGAATGCTCCAGGTGCATGTTCCTGATTTTGATTTGAACTAGAACTCGACCTTTTTTGACATCATGATGGCCTTAATAGGTCTCGTTCAAATGCAGTCCCTTCGCCAGCCCTGAGAGTCGGGGGGGGGGGGGGATAGAACCAACTAAGGGGGCCCACTACCATAAAAATACAAAAATACACATGTATGGCTTTTGCCGTTGGGGGGGGGGGGGGGGGAGGGGGGCAATTGCTCGCCAAGGAAGCCCAGCCCCACCAGGGTCCCCCCTTGGCGACGGGCCTGTTCAAATGACGTCATTTCTTACAGACCAGCGGCATTGCATCGGCATTTTGAGCTTGAGCTTGCGTCGTAATTCGAACACATTTCGAGCAACAAGCGCGCGTGTTTGGAATATTTTCAACACTGCACAATGCGTGCTTGATTGTGTAAAATATGCAGTTGCAATTCTCCTACAGAGATGACCGTCATTGAGCGAGCCCTATCATGACCGTCACTGAGCGAGTCATGGAGAGTCATATCTGAGCTGGAACTATTACTAATTTTGACACAAAAGACTTTTTTTTCTGTACATACTGCATGAAACCCAACAAGGATAAGACAACACTGTTCAAAATGTCCATTGGTATGATGTTTGTCAAATACAAGTGTACTCTACAATCTTAAGTGATCAACTTCGAACTGTTAGAACCAATAAATCTACAGTAAAGTTACATTACAAAATTTCCCAATTTATAAATTAAGTGCGAACATTATTGAAAACGGCACTAGGATGCTTAAAGCTAATGAACAGGGTGAGTCAAAAAAAGCGAAACCCAAATGTCAGGACTATTGTTTTAGTGAAGTTCTGCATGTAGCACTATCAAAATCTAGGATAAGAAAGCCCAATTCATAAGCTTTCTTTTAGTACAAGAATCATTCAAATCACTCATGTACTTTTCAAGTTACAGAAGTTTAAACACAAACACCGTTTTAAAGTTCTGTCCACGGATCACAAAAAAGGTGTGCGTTCTTTCAGTAAAACGAAAACACACATCCCTATGTGATTATTGTTTTGCTGAAAGAACACTTACCTTCTTGTATTTCGTGGACCGAACTTTAAAATGGTGGTTGTGTTTAAAATTCCGTAACTTGAAAAGTAAATAAGGGATTCGAATGATTCTTGTACTAAAAGAAAGCTTATGAATTGGGCTTTAATTTCATATCCTAGATTTTGAAAGTGCTACATGCAGAACTTCACTAAAACAATGGTTTTGGGTTTTACTCACCCTGTATTAAACAAAATAAAAGGGTGCTAGACTAAAAATACTATAGGCTCCTTGCTGTGTAACAATATTTTTTTATCTGCAACGCTGAAGAGAGTGAACCCTATCCAACAAAGTTCCATGTGCTTGAATGTCTGTGGTATTTCACTCCAGTTTATACTTACTTGGTGCTTCATTTGTCCAATTTAACCAACCCTAAGCCAGTCAAAAAAATCAACAATAAACCATCGAAAGATGCTGATGTTCTATTCAACAAGATTTTTTTTTGAACAAAGACATCAACAAAATGGGGAGGGGGGGGGGGTGTTGCATTAGTTTTAATGAATTTCTATAAAAATGTATTATTTTCACAGAGCTGTTCCCCCGACCTCCACTGGATCCGTGCCTGAGATAGCTCAGTTGGTAGAGCACGTTAGGAATAGGATTTTGGTTAGGGAAAGGATTTCGGGGAACATCGGTATTGGGGAACATTGGTATTGGGGAACATAGGTATGCACCCCACCCGTTCCTACACCCAACTCTATAAACAAGAGCCTATTGACAAAAAAAAAGATTGTATACAGGCATGATGGACACTTTAAGCAAACAAATTCAAGAACTGAATGAAGCGGAGACAACATAATATGCAGGCTGATTGATGAACAAAATCTTACAACGTCCAATAAGACAAAGAAGTCAAGGACAATATAACATTCATGAATATGAATCCTAATACTGAATGTGCCACATTGAATATAGCTTAGAGCATATGGAAAAGACCTCTATTTTGTATTTTCCTTTTGCTACAAAAAAAAACAAACTGAAACTGATGTAGATGTGACTGCACTTTAATGCTGTAGTTGAGTTCATCACAAGTCCAGTCACAAGTCCAGTCACAAGTAAATCACAAGCCCGGTCACAAGTAAGTCACAAGTCCAGTCACAAGTAAATCACAAGTAAGTCACACATCCAGTCACAAGTAAGTCACACGTTCAGTCACAAAAATCCAGTCACAAGTCCAGTCACAAGTTCAGTCACAAGTCCAGTCACAAGTCCATCACAAGTCCAGTCACAAGTCCTGTCACAAGTCCAGCCGCAAGTTCAGTCACAAGTCCAGTCACAAGTTCAGTCACAAGATTGGTCACAAGTCCGGTCACAAGTCCGGTCACAAGTCCAGTCACAAGTAAGTCACAGGTAAGTCACAAGTCCAGTCACAACAAGTAACAGAAAATGGGCAATAACACAGGCATGCCTTTGTCATAGCTCAGTCCGAATAGCTTGTGACCTGACATCGGACTGGATGATTTGTGATGGACTTGTGATTGACTAATGAGGACGATTGAGGGCAGAGGACAGATGCGACACGTTCACATAATGCACACTACACCCCACTACAACAGGGGTCTACCTGATGTTCCCAAATACCGATGTTCCCCAATACTGATGTTCCCCGAAATCCTTAAAGGATTAGGGTTAGGGTTAGAGGGTAGGGATTTCGGGGAACATCGGTATTGGGGAACATAGGTATGCACCCCTACAACATAATATAATAGTAGTTACCTTTCGGGGTCTGATTATGTTAAGCATGACGTAGCTTGCCAGGTTGTCACGACCTCTTCATTCAGCGTTGTGGCTAACAGTTTATACAAAACATGGATGTTCAAAAGTCCAAAACCAAAGAAACAGAATACTAGCAATAAAGGCGATGTTCAACCGAGGGAACCAAACATCCCCCTTCCATACATCAAAGGGTTTTCAGAAAAACTGACCAACATATTCCGCAACCACGGTGTCAATTAACACCTACCCCAAGCCGGTTAATACTATCAGGTCCTTCCTTGTACATCCTAAGGACAAGACTTCTGACTCTAATAAATGCAGTGTCGTACACAAATTCAACTGCCCCGAGTGTATGGATACATATATTGAGGAGCCCAGCAGATCTCTGGGGACAAGATTCAAGGAGTACACAATAACAAAAATAACCTCACAGCCGTGGGTGAACATTTAGTTCAACAGAAACATAACATCACCTTGGACAATGTACAAGTCATAGCACGAGGGGAACGCTTCTGGAACAGAAAGATCAGGGAGGCCATAGAGATCAAGACCAAGAGCCCAACACTCAACAGGGACGCGGGATATGACCTGCCCGCCATCTATGGTCATGTGAGCAGAGGGATTTAGCCACAACGCTGAAGAAGAGGTCATGACGACCTCGCAAGCTACGTCATGCTTAACAAATTCAGACTCTGAAAGGTAACCGTTATTTCTATTATTAGCATTTTAAATTAGGTTTTGCCCTTCACCGACAGGCAAAACCTAATTTGATTTACATCACCCCGATGCAAAAATTCCATCTTATGAATAGTTAATGCGGTACCCGCTGCTATGCACATCAGATTTGAACCAGCCAACTGATCCCGTTAGCTCGGTGGTCAAGTGGTAAGACATCTGCACTAGAAAGCAGGAGGTCGTGGGTTCCAGTCCCACCCGAGTGATTTTTTTTCCAACTAGGGAGGTAACACACTGAGTATACAGTGTTTATATGTTGGTGAAGGGCAAAACGTAATTTGATTTACATCACCCCAACGCAAAAAAAAATTCCATCTTATGAATAATTATTAGTATTATTTATATTAGGCTGACTAGCTTGATCTGCAAGAAATGAATTTCAGGACATGGCCTTTATTTCTCAAATTTCGTTGAATTATCGCCCTGCTCAAAGCCAGTTGTGGTTGTTGACAACACTGGAAGTGCTGTGCGCTGCGTCCGCATGCTATGTTCTGTTGACTAGTTGACTGTGACTTTCTATGCTATATATTGTGCGGTAACCAGTGAAAATGCTTGGATGACTGCAATAACAATATTATTGCAGTCATCTGGGTACTTTATTGACATAATATTGCAGTCATCAGATTTATTTTTACCACTGGAAGCCTGATATAAATAATAATTTAAAATATATACATGGGGTGCACTTGGTATTCAAACTCTGAATTCTTTTCTTGGACTAATCAATCTTGAGAGGTTTTACAAAAGACAGAAATAAAAATACATTTCAATAATCTCATTGTTCTTTGGTCAGTCATCACCAGGCCTACAAAGTTAAGCTGCAGAATAAGACACTCCCAACATTCAAGTTTTGTCCGTTCAACCAGGTCCTGTCATGCAGCTGTTGGAAGACGAGTCCCTTAAATCTCTCAAAATGGATACTCTGATATATTGAAGAAAATCTTGGAGACGTATCGCGCAGCCAAAACGCCCCTCTGGTAGACTTCCATCTCCACGTCTAAGTTGTACTCCTTGGGACCTTCGATGCTCCTCATCACATTAATGGTTGCCACATAAGCGCTCTGCATCAGAGCAAACTCCCCTCCTTGGTGGCCGTCCAGGAACTTAAAGCGGTAGCTGAAGCGACGGTCAGGAACAGTGGCAATCTTGAAGAGGACAGCTGGTGCCAGGAAGTTGGAGGAGAAGGCGATGTAGTTGAAGGACTTGGAGAGAGGAAGATTCTGACAGTCAGAGTCCAGGATTGAGCAGCGTTGGCGGACACACTTGTGAGAGCTGGGGAAGTAGTCAGAAATCAGCTACATATAAGTTTCAGTTGGTCTAGAGGTACAAACACTGATTTAATGAAATGCTTTCTCTGGGAGTGATGTATTTTCATTTGTGTTTCCTGCATTTTGGACGGATGAAGCATTTCAACTCGGAGATACGAAAACCCATTGAGTGCTATGATACACATCTCTTAAAAGAATTATAACATCTTCAAATGGCATTACAAGGACACAAAATGAATGCTGCAAAAAGAACCAAAGATATTATGATAAAGCCAAATATACAGGAATTTTGGATGGAGGAGAATGAAGAAAACGGCTATGTAGTCAATTCATAAATAATACAACAAGCTAATAAGGTAAAATTAAACCCAACTGACAAGTCATCAATATTAAATTGTCATCAACTTAAAATCTCGATGATTCTGTTTTGAGATATGTTGAAAAAAAGAGGTTTTCTTAGGAACAGCTAGGAGAAACAGGGAGTAGAAGTAGAGAAAGCAAAAAGTTACCTAGAGACTTCAACTGAAAACTATACATGAGAAAATCCAATCTGTGTTCTCCTTTATTTTTGGCATACTAAACTCAACCAAAAAAAAGAAAGTCCCCCTTAATACATTTTTGTCTAACTGAAAAACTACTGGGCACATCTTGCTCAAATTACGACTGATCAGTACAGAAATTCCTTAGCAATCCAGCCATACTCTTTGTTTGGCCCAAAACAGTGATAGTGTGTACAAATTATGCAATTTATGACAAAAAGTTGCACTTTTGTATATGTGCAAGGTAAGTGTGAACCACAACCTGCACTATACAAAAGTGCAACTATTTTCGGTATCATTTGTCATAAATTTCACTGTTTTAGGCCAAATAAAGAGTATGGCTGGATCGCTAAGGAATTTCTGTACTGATTAGTCGTTATTTGAGCGAGAGGTGCTCAGTAGTTTTTAAGTCAGACAAAAAGTATTGGAAGGGGGGAATTTCTTTTTGGGTTGGCTAGTGTAGAATAAGGTAAACTTGAAAAACGTACAAAACTCACCTTTGCCATGAAACGTTCATTAACAGCATGCAAACCATATGTAGTACCGTGGTGGGCAGGCAGACAGGCGGGCGTGCAGAAAGGGACAGCTATACATAATCTCTACTGGATGTCACTTAAACACATGATGTCACCAACTTCAATAAACGTGCTTCACAACAGCTAGACACATTACAGCCATCACAAGGACAACATACTGAACAATTTTGGACATTTGCTTGCCGTAACACTGCGTAAACATGCTCAGTATGCATGCGCCTGCCTTGTTGCTAGACCAAAACAGGCATATCTTTAAAAACAGGCACATCTTTAAAACAGGCATATCTTTAAAAACAGGCATATCTTTAAAACAGGCATATCTTTAAAGACACGGAAAAACTTTAAAAACAGGCACATCTTTAAAAACAGGCACATCTTTAAAAATAGGCACATCTTTAAAAAAAAAGGCACATCTTTAAAAACAGGCACATCTTTAAAAACAGGCACATCTCTAAAAACAGGCACATCTTTAAAAACAGGCACATCTTTAAAAACAGGCACATCTTTAAAAACGGGCACATCTTTAAAAACATCTTTAAAAACGGGCACATCTTTAAAAACAGGCACATCTTTAAAAACAGGCACATCTTTAAAAACGGGCACATCTTTAAAAACAGGCATATCTTTAAAAACAGGCATATCTTTGAAAACAGGCACATCTTTAAAAACAGGCACATCTTTAAAAACAGGCACATCTTTAAAAACAGGCACGTCTTTAAAAACAGGCACATCTTTAAAAACAGGCACATCTTTAAAAACAGGCACATCTTTAAAAACAGGCATATCTTTAAAACAGGCAACAAACAAATCTGGGATAGTCGGAATGTAAAAGATGACATCTTCATGTTTCTACAGGGATAACATTATCCTTGCCAGTGCTCGGCCAAATAATGACTTTTAATTTGAAAAAATACCATCATGTTATGTGCTCCTATACAATGCTCCTATTCAACATATGAACGCATTTGGTTTAATCTACTTCCATCTAAATTGATGATGCATGCTACTTAGTGAAGGTAATATCATGGAGTGAAATAATGTTTTGCAAATGTATAAAAGACAAAGCTAAACAAACACATGACATTCATTGACATAAAACTGTACTACGGTCATGTGATGCTAAATTTCACTGGACAGTCTGTTATCACTAGAAATGGTAACACGAGCAAAGCTTGAAAACAATAACAGGAAAGTGCATCTATGGTATGGTCTCACACACTGCCACATATGATATCACAAAACACAATCGATCTATGACATGCAGCACTCTTCCCAAGTTGGAAAAAGTTGATCCTTTCGAGAGGCAATTGACACAATTTTATCGTCATGTCCGTGCAACATGGTCGTATCTCCTAAAATGGTGTATGGCGTACTGTATGTGAAACGCAACTTTTCAATGTCAAAAGGTTGTATCTCGCTTAAAATAACCCGGATGTACACTCAAAGTCAATGGACGTTGCAATACGCGAGAAACGCCATTGTTGCACGGAGCGTATTTGCGAAAGATACGACTTTGTTGAAAAATCGAGTTGCGATCTTGTTGCACTGATGCGATGTATCCTAATTCATTGAAAAAAAACGTTCGTTCAAAAGTCTCTAAATGCATCCAAACTTATTTTGCGGTTATTGTATTCAAATTATCTTTTGCTGGTACATATTCACAGATCTGTGTACACATTTAACTATACATAAGACTGATGAGGTTGTGAGGAGGGGGGGGGGGCACCAGCCCCTAACCCCCCTCACCCCCCCCCCAAAAAAAATGAAAACCAACCCACTCTATCCCATTTCCACAAAATGTGGTGTGCAACTTTGGTGCACCAGACATGGAGGTAAAAACACTGCAACCAGCCATTATCCTTATTATATGGGCACTAATGTTTCAGTCTGTACTTACTTGATCTCCTTGCGGTAGTATTGTGGGCACTGGATATTCTTGCACTTGAATCCTCCTCTGGTATCGAAGCAGGCTGACTGGGAGCTACAGTTGTGGATGTTGCGTCGACACTCATTGATATCTTGGAAAAGAAAATTATTCAGGAAGGCATGAACTTAGAGATTTCATGATTGATTGTTTGATAGTAATTGTTATACAATGTGGTAGCTTATTCAAAGGCGGATCGGGGGGGGGGGGGGGGGGGGCAACGAGGGCCATGCCGCCAGCAACAACCGCCAGCAACAACACCTACGGAATCTTGTAAAATCTCACCCCCCTCCCCCAAAATGTAGGGAAACTAGTTGCGCGTGCATTACACAAGATTCCCAAGACATTGTTTCTGGCGGTTCATGGCTGATAGCAGTTCGTCATTATAACGCTCCCTCGCGGCTGTGGGTTATCGCGGTGGCGGTTTATTGCGTATCTACAACAACAACAACAACGTCTTGACCCAAGACTAGAAGAGAAACCAATGAAGCTACTCACCCCTGCAGTTGAATCTATTGAGCAGCTCATAGCCATTTGGGCAGGTACACATGTATGAGCCAAAGGTGTTTACACATCCACCCATGCAGCTGGCTCCTTGGTACTTGCATTCATCCACATCTGGAATCAATCAAGCAAAACTTTTTGCTAGCCTATTTGTTACTCTAAAATTTTGCCCTTAAATAGGAGCTGAGGCATTATAGAGACATTGAAATGTCTCCCTTATTCCACATGTTCCCCAAAGAAATGTCTGTTGTACTATTTATGATAGTTATCTGTGCAAATTCATAAGTGAATGTTTACTAGAAATAATTGTTCAACATTATTTTCTTTGGCTGCACGTGTTATTATACTTTTCTCATAATGACTGATGCTTCCTCTGAAGTTCTCACGTTGCGAGGAGTGACTAAATTTAACAAGAATAGAAACTGAAGCTTTGCAGGAGTGTGACAGAAAATAAAGTCATGGCAGCATCAAAACGTAGATTTGACATAACGTTTACCTTCACACCGTCTGGTATCGCGGTTGGCTATCTGACCACGCGGACATTGCTGACATCGGTATGAACCAGGCACGTTGACACACTGAGAGTTGCCGAAACACGGATACTGGGCCTGTTCACATTCATTGACATCTGAAGCCAGTACAAATAAAAGACAAAATTACAAAGAATCTCATTCTTATGTATATCACCAGAACACAAGGCTGAAGTATAGACAAATCGGGGCACATAATCACTATATGCACACACGATCCCCTTTCAATGGCGAAAGCATTGTGCAAAGCTACATGTTCTACCCAATCTTGGATTATCTGAACAATAGCTAGCGCAATGCTTTTGCCATTGAAGGGAACCTTCATGATGGAATTGACAATGTGCCTGAATTGGTCTATACACTACAAACTAGTAAAAACAAAAAAAGAAATGGTGTTACATTTCATTTGAACTTGGAAGATTAATGGAATAAGGTCCATGCGCCCACCCATTTAGAATCTTGAATGGCACAAAAACAACATATCAGTTGCCTCCAGTGCCTCGATCCTCCCCTTGAAATATTGGTGAAGTGCCCCCTAGAAGTTAAACCCTTGTTACGCCGCTGAAGGAAGGATATTCCAAAGAGACTCAGTACAAGCAAAATAAAAAACAAAAATGTGATGAACATCTAGCAGCAATAGACTAAGGACTGCTAGGAATATTATCTAGAAGAAATTTACACGATGAAGGACGCAATTCAGGGAGCTTTTTACAAATGAAATATTACTGAGCACACATGTAAGTTAGGTGCCGCAGAACCTCTTACGAGTGTAAACAAACAGTTTTGCTAAACTCAATTTTTCTGTGCTAGGCAAATTTTGACCCCAAAGGAGATTTAAGCACAAAAGATACTGAATATCCTATGGACACACTTTGTGTATACTGGTTTGCATGCCTAAGGTGTGTTGAGCACAACTTATTTTATTCTCAATGCGTGTAAGCTTCAGGCCCCATTGGCAATGCATTCAACCACTTGGCGACGGGATTATTTTTGGCGAAAATTTCCATTTTTAAAAAAGGCAAAATATAGCAGCCAACTTTTGATTTACAGCCAAACGCCACAAATACTGATTCACAAGAGTCATTTCAACAGTATTTGTACGACACTTCTTACCGCAACCTCTTATTTTTCAACACTCCAAGGTGTGCCCACAGAGTGTAAATTGTACCACAACAGGCTGTGCACAGCGGCCTTGTTCAAGTTCAACACACAGTCCACCTGCACAGACTTGTTGGACTTTGTGTGTGTGTACAAAACAAATGGGGGGTTAGCGTGTTTAGACGAAATCCGAAGGTGATTCGAGGCACGCTTGACTTTTTAACCCATCAACAGTGCCTGTGTATAAAAACAGCCAGATCGTGTTAACACGTCATCCAACGCGAATTGGTTTAGAGTTCCTCCCAGTGGTCATCCCCATCTCTCCCATTGTACAAGGTGTTTCAAAAAAAGGAAACCCAACTTCAAAGAATGAGTATGGACAGACCATATGTTTACTGGCTATAAAACTGGTATCATCTGAAAGCGTAATCTCTATGCTTTTCAATGATACTATGTTTAGGTTTTCTGAGTCATGCATCAGTGAGCATCATTGTCTTGAAAACTGGATGCAAAAATGCAGATGGTTCACTTTCATAAAAAAAACACCACTGGGCACGGTGTGCCTATTGTTTAATACGAAAATGTCTGTGAAATGGCTTGAATGTTAATCCTCGGGAAAATGGCACATTGTTTTGAACGTGGCTTGGTCAAAACGAGAAATTCATGACAAACAATAAAATCCAGTTTTGAAACCAACCCGACTTGTTTTTTGTTTCTTTTTATGCACTCGTGTCTTCTTCTTGAATACTTATTCTCATGCACACCATGCCTATTGTGTCTGTCATGAAAGTGAACCAAATGCAATTTTGCATCAAAATCTCATGACAGTGGTGTTCAGTGATGCATGACCCTGGAAATGTAAACAAGGTATCATTGAAAAGCATAGAGATTACGCTTTCAGAGGATATCAGTTTTATAGCCAGTAAACATTTAGTCTGTCCATACTGGTTCTTCAAAGTTGGGTTTCCTTTTTATTGCAACACCCTGTATAGACCGATGAGGGGCTACTTGTGCACGGAGCCCATACGGATTAACCTTGTCCAGCTTCCGATGATAACATCTTACCGACACAACCCTCTTCTTCAACGTATCTGTAGTTGAGTTGGCATCGCTGTTGACAAGCAAATGATCCCACGGTATTATGGCACTGCTCATTGTAGCGACAATTGTTGGTGTTCGTCTCACATTCATTGATATCTATAAGAAGTGAACAATACAGGGAGCAAATTAAAGCTATAGTCCATCATTTGCAGCCATCCGAAAAGTAACTGGCGTAATTATTGTTGAAAAACAAACTTAGTTGAAAGATAGTAAGGGAACTAAACTCCCTGTGAAATTATTCCTTCTGGGAAGCTGTCATTTTGAAGTAATCAACGAAAGAAGGCATTTCCAACGGTGACTCTTAAGAAGCACCGTAGGAAAATTTAAATTAGTAGTTCGTTTTGTTATTCAGCGCAGCGCGCACAAGTATTGGAACGACGCACACGCACGCGCGGTTGTTATAATTCGTCGGATCAGTGCGCTACGTCGCGTATAGCTGCAATTCAAAACAATTCAAAACATGATTCAGTAACTTTTGATTTGAGATTGAGATCTTAGAATGCTGTTTTTCTCGGAATGTACAGCTGAAGCTTAGCTGAAACTTCATCAGGTTAGTTGTTCAGTATCCTTCATTAGATTTTGAACCCTTTTGTTGCTTCAAACGAACAAAATGCACAAATTACAAATGATGGACTATAGCTTTAAGTCTCAACAAAATATATTCTCATGCAGTGGTGTAACTCCACTAATGCCACAACTCGGAGGTTGGTTGCACGACATTTCACTTTGCACAACATTTGAGGCATGACACATTTACAAAAGTCTTTTCAAAATGTTTGATTCAGGGACTAGTTTGTGGATTGAAATGAAATGGCACACACACATTGGTCCCGAAAGATGTGATTATCCTCATCCAAGATGTTAAGGTTATTTGAAATGTTGCTCAGATACGCCAAATTTTGTGAAATTGATAGAGCAGCTGTGCAACAAATCTTTTCAAACATTAAGGCTCCTTACCAAAAACTTGTCTCAATAAGATTCACTAACAACAGGTAGCTATTAAGTGGCCTCTCCCAATTCCATGGTGAATTATGGGGAAAAAACTCGACATACATGCGCCAAACAGGTATTCTTTTTCCAAAAAGTGACAAGGGACCAACAGTTTTTGTATTTCAAAAACTTCCATAGGAAGTTTGCTACAAATTGTGACCGACTTGAAGAACAATCTGAAAAAGACACGAGAGAAAATAAAAAAAAATGGAGGCAATTTACCGTCGCATTCCCTGGTGACCTCATTGAACTCCATTCCATTGCGACAGCCACACTCATATGCACCTTCGCGATTCTGGCACACCTGATTGGCTTGACAGTCATCCGTTCCCAAGGCACACTCGTTAATATCTGACCAATCAAAAACAAGAGGATTAAATAAATCCAAGTCAGGCTGGGTTTTATACTTGATATTCGCAATCAATGAAATGCATTAGAACATAACAATCATCTGATTGGAGACATATCCATTCCTATGAAGAAAAGAAAAAAGGATGAACAAAAAAAACAAACAAACATATGCTAAGCCAGTATAAGCCAGTAGCAAAAAAATATAAATAAATAAATTAAAAAAATGAATAGATCTAATCGGTGTGCTGAACGCATTATCTGCACATGTCCCACTAGCAAGTGATGCACTACACAGTCAGTCAAAAAAAGCTGAACCCAAACCCCCAAAAATGTATTTCATATTTTAAAAAATGGTCAGCACCAAGCATAATAATGACTGGAAAGCCAAGTTCATAAACTACTTTAGATGAAAAAAAATACTGAAATTGCTCCATCCTTTCAAAGTAAATCACCATTTAAACGCAATGACCCTGAAAGAATCGTTGTCATAATTGTCTTCAAAAATCACCAGTGATAAACCCTCAGTTTAAAAATTAAAATGTCCTTTTGAAGGCCCGTTTATGAAATTGCTTTCCAGTCATTATTATTTTTGGTGCTACATAGTTTTTTAAGTATGAAATATATTTTTGGGGGGTTTGGGTTCAACTTTTTTTTACTCACCATGTATGTGCAGACATAGCTTAACATCAATCTGAGATCATCCGGCAATCCCCCCCCCCCCCACGTCCAACCCGACTAACAAATAGTCTTGATATGGCTCTAGTACAAGCAGTGAATCCCAAGTTACATTAATGCATGGGCACATGACAAATTCCTTGCCAAAGCGTGAAATACACCAGCTGTAAAGGCAGAGTTTTCAGCTATAGTTAGTGAAAAATGTTTGCTTCATTTGGTTGGCAGAGCCATGAAATAGAGCTGAATTCATTTAACCTTTGTCCCATTTGGCAACTTTCTCAATTTCTGTCTTACCTCTGCACTCCCTATAGATGACACTGTATTGGAAACCCTGTGGACAGGCAGGATTGCAGCGATAACTGCCGTAGGTATTGACGCAGGCTTGACCACGAGGACACACATCAGCTTGCTCTTCACACTCATTAATATCTGGTTACAGAAACAATGTTAAGGACATTAATAAGTGAGAAACAAAAATGTGAGAAATCAAAAAAATTTCACAAATTGCACATCCCTTTTTAATATAATGTATAGAATTAGCTTAGTATTAATTTTGAATATATAATTGACATTCTTTTATTGGGAAGTGCAGGGGCATGGGCAATAATTTCTTTTCTCATTTTTAAATTGTTTTTCATTCATCAAAGTAGTTGTTTATAATTCCTTTTCGAAAATTAAAATGCAAGAAAATATGCAGACAAAAATACATGGTTATCAACTGAAGTACAGAAGAAACTTAACATTTACTAAAAGCAAGAGTATATTTAAAACCAGTGAAAAAATCCTTATAATTTTGAAACATTTTGTTAAATTACGCAGGGCTAGGGGGAAAGGGGCCAGGAATCGCCTCAGAGGGCTCCGCGCTCGCATTAGTTCTCGAAGCAAATGACCCAACAGTGTGCCCCGTCTGAAAAAAATCCTGGATTCCCGCCTGCTGCGCGATGTGTCGCAGAACGCGGCGATGCAGGTGTATAGTGTGAATTTAGAACTATCAGATACGGACTCATTGGTAGTATTGCACATGCCTAAGAGACGATTGTGAATGTAAAATAAAAGGGTAAAAGGGACCAGATTTAATATAGGAGTCTAAGTTCAGAAACAATTTGGCATTAGGTGGGTAAGAATATTCTGGTAGAGGACCAGTTTCGATTGTGACAGTTCCAGGAACGATTGTGACAAAGTTGCAGTCCAGACCATCACAAGTCTTCACAAGTCATGTCTTCACAAATCATCCAGTCCGAAGTCAAATCACAAGGAGTGCATACCTATGTACCCCAATACCTATGTTCCCCCAAACCCTAACCCTAAGGATTGGAGAACATAGGTATTGGGGAACATCGGGTGGACCCCGTCACATGCTATTCAAATGAACAGTGACAAGTGAATTCCCTTATTATTATTGCTCCCCAGTAACATGTTACCACACTTGCGAAAGGACTTATGTGAACTCGACTTGAACAGTGGGTTATGATGTATCATTACCGCGTGTGCATCCATCTGCGCTGTCTGCCTTGAAGCCCTGCCTACAGGGCCTGCATTTGTAACTTCCCATGGTGTTCTGACAGTAGAATTCCGGGGGACAATCGTCTGTGTCCTGCAAGCACTCATCAATGTCTGAACAATCAAAAGCAGCAGCCATGGTTAAGTGTAAGAGAATAAAGCAGGCAGGCCAGACACAATGCACTAGCATGTGCAACTGCTATTATTTTAGCAAGTTCCATCAAGCACCGGTTAGCGTATGGTATAGTTTTGCATGCTTAGTTTGTTCCAGCCAGTAATTGCCCTGCTGTGTCTCAGCTGGTCATACCGGTACTGCAATCCTCAACATCAAACTAAACACCGCAAAAAAAGTCCACACTCATTGGAGGGGCACAATTTTGAATCTGTTCATCTTATGAAAACATCATTTTAATAGACCTTTGATATCCCGTTTGCTACCAAAGACTGTAAATGGTCCAAAACTGACAACAGTGTATGAAAAATGATACAGTTTGAAAAGTTGCAAATTTAATGAATACGTTATTCAAGTGGACATTTCTGCATGACAGTGTGGCACTGCCTGAAACAAACGGCAGTGAATACCGATCGCACAGTGCTTGTATGCACGGGATCATGTGAAATTGAGTTACTGCGCTTTGTTCGGGCACTGTGCAGTCAATGGGTGCCAATGAATTACAGGCATGTGTGGATGCACTTGCAATTTTTCCTCGCGTATCTTGAAATTTGCAACTTTTCAAACTGCAGCATTTCTCATAAATCATTGTCAATCTTGGACAATTTACAGTCTTTGGTAGCGAACGGGGTATCAAAATGTAGCTAACAAAATTCCCCAGGGGTTTATATCATCGCAAGCACCACGAAGTGACGTATCTTCTATGGACTTTGTGCACACGATACGTCACTTCGCGGTGCGACCGACGATATAATCATCATCATAAAATGATCAGATGCAAAATTATGACCACTCCAATGAGTGTGGACTTTATTTTTTTGCAGTGTTTGTTTTGTTGTTGTATAATACCTAGAATGTGATACTGATACAAGGGATGTGATACAGCTACGGTTTACCCTTTGTTTTTTGGTACAGGATTGTGGGTATCCATACCTCTACATTGTTGAGTGAGTGAGTTGACTGTGTATCCGGTGCCACACGGTGAGATACGAGTGCATCGAAAGCTCCCAGGTGAGTTGTCACAGCGGAAGCCATCTTGACAATTGTGTGTTCCCCTGGCGCATTCGTCGACATCTGAGTGAAAGAAAAATGAATAACAAATTGTCACAACAATGAATGTTTTCCGAGGCTCCGACCCCTAGCTTTAACACAGTGCACTTTTGTAAACTGTAAAACAAAATTCACAAAGACAGAAAGAAAGAGATTTGCTTGGGAAAGAAACCATCCACAGAACGGCAGCAGATTTCACAAAACAGTGCATAACTTACGCCATGTGTAGGACTTATGCAACAAATTTAGTGTGCGGTTGCACAATAAACTTACGATTGATTTCATGAAACTTTGGCACAGCTGTGCAACGTTTTAAATAATCTATACTTCTTGGACAAAAACAAAAACAGCATTTACGACGGCTGTTTGAAAATATTTTTGTCTGAATTTCTTCGAAATTGTGTGGCAACTCTATACTCTGTCACAAGTAAAATAACAATTCTTTTACATCAAAACACAAAGCTGTGAGAGTCTAGTATAAACCTTGACAAGTTGTACAATAACAGGCTCCATGACGATCACAATTTGCTGGTAAAGTAGGTCATTTTCAGTAGCTAGGCAATAATCTGTGGCGCAAATGGACATAATTATGCCACTGCATAACGTTTCATGAAATTGGCTGCTGCTTCATATTTCAAAAGCTGCATGCAGCCATTAGTACATGTACCTACACAGAAAATGCCAGAATTCAAGATTTGGGTTCCATGATGTGCGATTCTCAATAGACCGCTTGCAGACGCGATCGATAATTGACGCGCGAAGGTGCGCGACGCCATGTTATGGGACAAATATGTGAGGCATTCTGGCAAAATGAGACAGAACTCGGCACAGGCCATAGTGGAGTTAAATGCAAAACACTGAATGGGGGTAATTTTTTTTTAATGTTCAGCTTTACTGATATTTATAACCTTTGATATAGCTGCCGCATATATTTTTAAAAAAAGTATAAAAATCGTGGAATAAAAGTTTTTTTAAGGAAAAAAAACAATTAGCATCTTCCATTTGCAACAACTACAAAACTCAAAACTTTACAGGCCGTTTTCTCAGTATTTTGCTTTTTGACATGCAGATAAATGCAGCCATAAACTTGTCAACTGAGTATCCAATTGAAGTGCAACAAACAGTATTGTAAGGAGAATTTCATTCTCTTTTTTAATACCTGCAAATCCTCACTTCGACTCTCAGTCAGTTGTGTCTCATTTTGCCAGAACGCCTCGCGTATATACAAACTTGCTGGGCTAAGGTTCTCAACTGAACATTCCTACCTCGGCACTGGATATTGTTAGATTCATCAAACACAAACTGTTCTCCCTCGGCGCATCTGGTGGTCTCGCAGTAAAACCCTCCTCTGTAGTTCTGGCACCGCTTGTGCAATGGGCATACATTTTCCTCCTGGCACTCATCAATGTCTAACAGGGGAATTAACACACAAGGTATCAGAAGTATTGTAGTTGACTTTCACAAGGCCTACAGTCCCAAATCAGCTCACAAGCTGTTTAAATGAACTGCGACAAAGACATATTGCTTATTACTGTTCATCCTCTGTTACTTACGACTAGATCTGTGACTTGACTATTGATTCACCAGTAACTGGGCTTGTGATGGTCTTGTGATGGACTTGACTAACTTCATTCTGTAGTGGAGTCCATCACTATTCCAGTCACAATTAGCCATGGTCCAGTGGTTACGGTGTTTGACTCATGTACGAAGGTGGGGTGTTCGAACCCTGCCAGGAACATGGTGTTTGTGCCCTTGGGCAAGACACTTAACTACAATTGCCTCTCTCCGCCCAGGAGTATAAATGGGTATCTGTGAGGGTCGAGGACCGATTGAGCGCTGATATCGGCTGCCGCGTGGTCCCATGGCCTGATGAATGGGGTAATAATTGTGAAGCGCTTTGAGATCGTTGATACCATGGAAAGCACTACATGAATACAATTATTATTATTATTAAATCAAAAAGTCAAATCACAAGTCCAGTCACAAGCAACAGGGGACGAACAACGGAGTGTGCAAGTCTCGCCAGTTCATATTTTCACATTTCATATGAATGTCTTGGCACCAAACATGGACTAGTTTATAGTCACTGACTCCCGTGCAAGAATTTACCGATTGGAAATTGTTATCTGCATTCTGCATGATTGATTATAAGGAGCGAGGTCAACATTTTTCATTTTATTATAGTCCTCAATTCGCAATATTTTCAATATGCTGAAAATTGTAATGCTTTCTTTCACTGGCCCCATTTCTTGTCCTTTTCTGGATAAGCCCAGTCAGGAAACAAAATCAAAGCGAAAAAAAAGAAGACTTTACACAGATCTTATACACGGTGCCCAAATGTACCGTATTCCCACAAAATCTTGCAGCTATCTGAGGCCAACTTGCATACTGTGGTGAAACTGGGGCAGAGTTGTGTAGGAGTCTAAGTCATGAATTATTCATGTTATTAATGGGCGCGTAGGCCAATCAGCAGCACGTATTGTGAATGCAATACATGTTGTGACACAGGCTGTTCGCGGGTCATAGCTGCGGTGAAAGGTTGGACTGATGGCGGCTGGTGTCGCGAGACAAGAAGTGCAGAGCAGCTAGCGATCGGCAGGTAGAGCTGTAGTGGGCTTAAGACTTATTATTGGGTCCGGATGAGTGTAGGAACAAAAGGGAGCAGGAGTTGTGAAGCTTGGGTTGGGAGCTAGTGGGAATCTGATTTTGTGGTGGATTGCTGGTCGTCTGTTCAACGCCGTACGGTGGGGTCAACTACTGGAAGGCGATCCCGTAATCATTGAGCTAGCTTGTCTAACAGGTTGACTCGTTGTAGTGCTCTGAGTTTTTGTGAGGGTTACCATTCTCGTGTAAGGGTTATCATCCTCGTGTGAGGGTTACTATTCCCTTGCCTGAGTTCTTGTGAGGGTTACCGTTCTTGTGTGAGGGTTAGCATATATTCCTGTGTGAGGGTTACCTCTCGTGTGAGGGTTACCATCATCTTCGTGTAAGGGGTTACCTTGTGTGAGGGTTACCATATATTCCTGTTTGAGGGTTACCATTCTCGTGAGGGTTAACATCATCTTCCTGTAAGGGGTTACCTTGTGTGAGGGTTACCATATATTCCTGTGTGAGGGTTACCATTCTCATGTGAGGATTACCATCATCTTCATGTGAGGGTTACCATCCTCGTTTGAGGGTTACCATCCCCTTTTGTAATCGACACTGACTTAGAAAACACTCCACGTAATTGTATGAGGGTTATTGCTGTTTCATTAGTGGTAGGTTATTGCTGTGTAATTAGTAGCGGGTTATTTAATATTGGGCATAGCATTCTGCCGCCTTACAAATATAACCATATTGAAAAGAGAAAACAAAAGGGCAAACAGATACTCGAATCCTACATTTACGAAACTACTCACAGGAAAATTAACAATTTCAAATGTCCCGGGCTGCGAATTTGTTGACCATCTCCCACGATGCACTGGGAAAAATGAACTCTACATGGTAAACTCTTGGTGGTGCACTGCATTGTGAATTAATTGCCCGGATTGTACCCCCATAACTCCATAACAATGGAATGCCTTTGTCAAAGTTCAGTTGAATAACTTGTGACTTGAATTGGGACTGGGTCACTCGATCGTGATTACGCCTCCCAATAACAAAAATCATCGCCCAACCACTGGAAACTTGCTAATCCTTTTTCAGGAGTGGCCTATTTTTTTCACAAGTGCCCTTGTTAATGTTGCACAAACAACTTAAATTGTGCTGCCATAAAGAGCACCACCTGTTGTCCATAAGCAGGCATGCAACTGGGAAATCACAAAAAAAGGGGAAATTCAAATTTTTCCCAGACTTTGTACAGTGTTTATCTATTTTCAATGGCACACATGGGAAGTAAAAAAAGAGGAAATCAGCTGATCCGAGGAAAAGTTGCATGCCTGCATAAGGGTCCACCCCAAAGAAAAGTGGGGTCAAGCCCCACCCCCTTCCCCCCCCCCATTTTTTTGTTTTGATTTTACGGACAGTGGAATGTTTAAAGATGATATAAGCACTGTTACACAGCGTTATTGGATCGATTAAGCAGCAATGTTGAGTTTGGTTGTTTTTGGATATAAGAGCGCTGTTACACAGCGTTATTGAATCGATTAGACAGCTACCTGTATGTTGCGTTTGATTGTTTTTGGATGTTTCAACATAATATAAAGGCACCGTTACACAGCCTTATTGGATCGATTAAGCAGCAATGTTGAGTTTGGTGTTTTTGTATATTTCAAGATAATATAAAAGCGCTGTTACACAGCGTTACTGAAGCGATTAGACAGCTACATGTATGTTGCGTTTGATTGTTTTGGGATGTTTCAACATAATATAAAAGCGCTGTTATATGCAGCGTTATTGAATCAATTAAGCAGCAATGTTGAGTTTGGTTGTTTTTGGATGTTTCAACATGATATATAAAAGGTGTTATGGGATCAGTGAAGCAGCATTATTGAGTTTCTTTGTAGCAAGGCTGCCGGCAAGAAGTACAGTGTACCTTCACATAGAGACGTTTCAACATTGTAAGTCAGTCCAGTGGTACAGTCCGGATTGCATGCGTACGAGCCGTCGGTGTTGCTACACACATGGCCCGCTGGGCAGATATCAATAATCTCTTCACACTCGTTGAGGTCTGTCAGAAGTCATCAATCATTTACATGACAACCAAACAGTAAGACTATAAACTTCCTTTAAAATCCACAAACAGAGTTATGCATAATGCACTTTTTCCTGATGTGTTTTACTTTGCTTAACATTGTGTAATAATTTGTAATGTATGCAGGGCCCCAATGGAAACCAGTTTTAAACTGTTTGGGAATATCCTGGGTAAAGAAATGTAATAAACTTAGGTGTTAAAAAGTCTGACCTGACAAAGTATTCTAAGATGACAATGAAATACACAAAAAGAACCCCCCATCCAATTTTTGTTCTTGTCTAAATAAGGCATAATAGGGGTGCATTCCACTCCAACAATTGTTAGAATTACGTGTTCCTTGGAAAGGCCCTTGCGAATGTGCCATCCCAATAGCGGATCCAGCATTATCGGAAAGGGAAGGGGCGTAGGGGGACCGAAAATGGAGGCGAAACCTGAACATACAAGCGGGCCATTTATTTGCTTATGTGGGTGAAAATTTCTGTCTTTGAAGTGATTAAATAACCAGTTGACAGCAGAAGAAACAGAAGAAAAAAACAAGACACACCTTCTTAAGAAAAAAAAAATGTGAAAAAAGGGGAGGGGGGATAAGATTGCAAATGCTTTTGGCAGACAGTTGGTCCCACTTGCAGGAACTTAGCCATTGTTGGTAATCGTTTTTTAAATTTTATGAATTTCTTATTTTAACTGGGTAGCCAATTCAGTGGCATCCACTGGTCTCCCATGGGGCCCAGTAAAGAGAAGACAATGTGAAGACATTAACGTTTTTAGGGGTGGGAGGAAAACCCCAGAAGAACATTCTGAGAAAAACCCATGGAATCAGGTAGGGACTGAAAACCCAATCCACATATTGGCCCGGGCAGGAATCAAACCCGGGTCACAGCAGTGGAAGGCGAGAAAAGTACCGCTATGCCAACCTGACTCCTTGTTAGCATACTTCCTTTATTTAACGTAGAATGCACCCCATGCACTGCTTGCACAACATAGATGTTGAACATAATCAAAGCAATATATAACCAGGACTGCATAATTAATAGGAACACAGCGTTTTGTGTTATTAACAGGAATCCTGACAAATGAACTCACCAATGCATGTTGTACCGTCAGAGTCCAAATCATAGCCGGTGTCGCAATAGCATTCATATGACGAGGCGTCAACAGACCGGCAAGCGTAGTCACAGGATGCATACAGGCAGCCCAGGGAGGGTGGAGGATTGTTCTCTGCAAGAATTAGTGAACTACATTGTACATTTCTCACAAATAAGAAGAATCACTTATCAATGGTGGATGGGTTCAGGCCCCATTATAAGCTTTCATTTTAGTCATTCGTGGAAACATTTCTTGGCAGCATTTCTATCAATCTTATTTCAGAAAAACATGTACCATACACTTCCTCATGTAATGTGATGCCCATTTTACAATCAATCGAAAGTAGACCTTGGACCTCTGGTTACTCTACGTTTTGTACTTTGTGTCAAAACAAAAAAATATTTCCTACTTTCAATCTTAAATAACGCTTTTGTTTAATTAAATTAAAATTTCAGATCATGTAAACAAGACATGACAAATTTTATGAAGCGAGTTTCATCATCTTGGTGAGAGAGGGTGAGATTTAAACACCATACGAAAAAAACACTCACTTTTTAAAATCCGCCACTTTCGACTTGGCGATCTCCAATGTCAATACAGCGCTGGAGACGGTTGCGGAAGGCACGTGCTGCTGCCAAAAGCTTCTGAAGAAGTGCTGGATCACCTCTGTTGTCATTGCACACCTCCTCGATCGTGTGTTGCGCCAAACGATCGAGGAGGTGTGCAATGACATCAGGGGAGATCCTGCATTAATTCAGAAGCTATCGGCCACAGCACAGCACCCTCTTCAGTGCTGTATTGACATTCTGAAAGTGAGTGCATTCTGTGTAAAGACAGAATACAGGGCGAGTAAAAAACAAAACGAAACCCAAATGGCCACTCACCAAGACAACTATATCCATTTTCTTGAAGCTCATATCCATCATTACAACCACAGACATAGGAGCTTCCATTGGGCTGACAGCGTTGCTCACAGGGGGACTCATCGCATGCGTTGGCCGGCTCTTCTCTGTCTGGAAGGTTAAAAAGAAAACTGACAAGCAAGTAGAAGCAAATCACAAACAGTGTGGCATCTTGTGTTTGCCTCATTGTTGGCCTCACATTTCAACTGCATTGATCCCAGTTTGCCATCCTCCAGATAGGTAGTTAATGTTGCTAGCATCATGACTTGGGGCATGATCCCACATGACCTATTTAGTGAACACTAGGCAGGCATGCAACTTGGAAGTAACGGAAAAATGAGGAAACTCTTATCTTTGCAAGACTTTGTACAGTGGTTTTCAATTTGTAATGGCAAAGTGAGAAGTGAAAAACAAGGAAATCAGCTGCATGCCTGACTAGGGGTCTTTCGATCAGACTGAGGGCTATCTCTGAAGATAGCTCCAAAGCTAGCAAGCTCTGCCAAAATAGTTGTCGTTTGGACACAACTTAACTCCGCCTTTGGAGCTATCTCTGGAGTAAGCCAGGGCCAATACTAGCCATAAAAATTTGTGGGGCTAGCTCCACTTTTAGCTATGTGGCTTATGACCTAGCTCCATCCTTTGCCGTTTGGACGCAACTGACCTGTCATTCAATTTTGTCTGATTCACCAAGTCACCCATGAACATATATTACATAACCTATGACCTTTTAGCTCCACTGCAAGAGGGTGAGATTTAAAACCATACGAAAAAGTTCTCACTTTCAGAATGTCAATACAGCACTGGAGACGGTGGTGAAAGGCGCGTGCTACAGCGAAAGCTTTTGAAGGAATGCAGGATCACCCCTGATGTCATTGCACACCTCCTCGATCGTGTGTTGCGCCAAACAATCGAGGAGGCGTGCAATGACATCAGGGGTGATCTTGCATTCCTTCAGAAGCTTTCGGCCGCAGCTCGCGCCATCCGCCACCGTCTCTAGAGCTGCAGTACCAAAACAATTAGCTCTACCAAAAGCTCTACCGAAAGATTTTGAAGGAATGCAGGATCACCCCTGATGACATTGCACACCTCCTCGATCGTGTGTTGCGCCAAACAATCGAGGAGGTGTGCAATGACATCAGAGATGATCCTGCATTCCTTCAGAAGCTTTCAGCTGCAGCTCGCGCCATCCGCCACCGTCTCCGGCGCTGCAGTACCAAAACAGGATCACCCCTGATGACATTGCACACCTCCTCGATCGTGTGTTGCCCCAAACAATCAAGGAGGTGTGCAACGACATCAGGGGTGATCCTGCATTCCTTCAGAAGCTTTCGGCTGCAGCTCGCGCCATCCGCCACCGTCTCCGGCGCTGCAGTACCTACAGAACTCAGAAGTACAAACAGGATCATTTCGGCAGTTTGCCGAATGATTCGTTCGAATTATGGAAGTATTATTACCTCTAATGCATGTCATGTTGTCAGCAGCAGCCAGAACATAGCCCACAGGACACTCACAGACAAAGGAAGTGATCAGATTGACACATTTGGAACTGCACAGTCTGTGGTTGTTTTCCCTGGCAAGGGTGCATTCATCCACTGGATACACAGAAAAATACTAAATTGCATTACCTAACATTTATGTTGCACAACACCTATTCCAGGTATGCAACTGGAAAGTAACAAAAATAGAGAAGAAATATCAAGTTTTACAAGACTTTATGCAATGTTTTTCAATTTTTAATGGCATTTATCCCTAACTCCCTAGGGGATGTGCAAAATCATATTGAAATTGGAGGATTCAGGACTGTTAGGGATAGCTATAGAGAATACATGTATACAACATTTGCTTTTGCTGTCGTTTTCAAAAATGGACGGATTTGGGGGTTCGTATTTTAAATCAAATATTGTACTGACTTGCTTCAAGTTTTGTGTTCAGTGAAAAATGCTGGAAAAACCAAGAAAAATATTTGTGTTTCTGTAGCCTGGTTCCCTGACCCCACTTAAGATGAAACAAAGCAATTTATAGACGTTGGGAACTTGTAAGGTCAGGGAACCAGTTGGCTTGTAGCGTTTACAGGTGTGTAATCAATTGCAAAGAAAATGCGGACTAACTAATTATGATAAATTGGGAGCAGTATTTGATAAAAAAAAGTTTTTTCCAACGCTGGTCAGTCGACCAATGTTGGAAATCGATACAAAAATACCACTTTTCTTGAAATGCAGCAGCAGCCAGAATTGATTAATTTTGGGGGGGAGGGGGGGGTACATAGTCAAAGAAAAGCTACATATTAAAAAGATGTAACATGATTGTCCATACCGAGACCCCACTTTATCAAACTCTAATGGCAGAACATTTTAAGCTCTTGCTAGCCAGAGCAACCCCTAAACCCCACACCAAACCATGGCGGACTCCAACATTTTAGCAATAGATTCGATATAGAATTACTCCAACACCCCCCCCCCACCTCAAAAACAAATTATGTCAATAGGAATATCACAATGTCCTGAATAAACAGATGAACTATAAATGCAAGACCAATAACTGTTGTTAACATTATTAGTTATCACCTAGGTAATAGTTCTACATGTATAAGGGCACTGAATGTATTCTTTGGGGCCGGAAATGGCTTTTTACAGATAGTCAATTCCTAAAAGACGATGGAGTCAAATTTCTGATTCTAAGTTGAAACCAATTCTAATTCCATTTCCACCTGGAGTGGCCTTTAGCCAACCCACTTTTTTTTTTTTTACTAGTGGTACGCAGTGTGATGTCTACAGGCAAAACATAAGTGTATCCACATGTTTTTTTGTTAACGGTACTGGGTACTTACTGTCATTGTTACTGCTTGCCCTTCCACAGCAATCCCGGAAGGCAAAATCACACTCTGTGCCAAGATCAGTGCCATCACAGGGTGCCGACTCATGGAACGCCTTAATGCCAAGCTCACAGCATTCACAACATGTCTGATACCAGGGAAACCACAAGTCACAAATTATCAGAAAGCCTGGTTCAGCAATTTCATTTAGTGCACATCATATGCACAGGGCCAGATTAAGTGTTTCGTAGGCCCTTGGCACCAGTGTTCCATAGGCCCTATTCTGCCCATGGCACCATCACCATGCAATTTCATGTTGATGCTAATAAGCTATACCATGGGCGTCCATCGCTTCTCAAAAGTGAGGGGGGGACATACCTTGATCAGAAAAAAATAATGAGAGTGCGTAGCGCGAAGCCCTTATTGCGTGGGGTTCTGGATTTTAGATGCTCTGTGGTGCGATCTGAGGCAATTTCTGAACACTTAAATCCTTAAGGGCCCCGAACAATTTCGGATTCTAGATGCTCTGTGGTGCAAAAGACAATTTAACCAACATTTTGAGGTCGGAGTAATTGAATCAGCTATTTGGAACTACAGAATCAATATAGACTACATTTTTATTCGGAGATGAAAAAAAAGTATGGGGGGGGGAATGATATGATACCGCCCCCCCCCCCCTTTAAACCAAAAAAAGTGGGGGAGCTATACTGAACAAGCCAGGCCAAACTGGTAGCTCAAAAAGCCTGTAGGCACACTGTGGTATTTTTGTAGGACCTCAAATTTTTTGTTGGCCCACCCCCTCAATCTTTTGTAGGCCCTAGGCACAGTGCCTACTGTACCTATTGGATAATTCGGGCCTGCATAATTATGCACACATGAACACAACTTAAAGGGAATATACATCATTTGCTTTTGCTGTAATTTTCAGAAATGGATGGAATTGGGGGGTTGGAAATACATGTATATAGCAAATATAATTACACTGACTTTTTTGAGGTTTTGGGTTCGAAAATGCTATAGTCTGGTTCCCTGACTCCATTTAAGAAGAAACAGAGCAGTTTACATATATTGGGGAATTGTAAGGTCAGGGAACCAGTCTAGCTGGCTTGTACCCGTTCATAGGTGTGTAATCGATTGCAAACAAGTGCGATGGTCAACTGGGGCCAGTATTTGAAAAAAAAGCCAATTTTTCCAACGCTGATCGGCCGATCAGCGTTGGAAATTGATACAAAAATACCACTTTTCTTGAAAATGACAGTATACCAGGTGCCATGATTTTACAGGATGCTTTACACTGTCATTCACTAACAGTCCAGCAAGGTATTTCAAAATGATTTGGTAGTTTTATTTTTTGATGTTTGCAAATGTTGTATTTTCCCTTTAAGTTAATTATAAGGATATTTCATCAATGACATTTTGCAACTTTTAGATGTCCTTTTGGCGAACAGTTGGTAGACTTTTTTGAACTAAGCTGTATGCAAAGTGTGTCAGTCTGTCACTATTAGTGTCAGATAAAACTTGCAAGCAGCGATCAATGTTATGGGCAGCTGGAGTGTTCTGCAGTAAGTATTGCATAACTGTTGAGGGCTCTAACCTGCTAAAAGGATGAGAATGAACTGCTGTCGACAAAAAAGTTGTTTCTGACAACAAAGCGCTTCAAATTTACAAACAAAATAACATTACAGATCTGACGTGCTTTTTTTTTTCTTCTTTCAAATATTCGAATTGGCAAAAAGCTATTAGAATATTCTTTCAATGAACGAATATTTGACTCTACAGTATATTTGGGATAGCCCTAGTACCTACATTTCGAGCTTTGCACAAAAGTTTCTGGTTTTGACAGAACACATCACAGGAATACCTTTTCAATTGAGCCACATGAATCTCCCTGGACACGGTCGCAGCTTCCAATGTTGGCACGCGTGAACAGTCCATCGAAGCACATGTTCCTCTGCAGTTGCTTGATGCAGCAGGATCGCATCATGACGTGGCAGTCTTGGATGTCTTCGTCTTCCATTGGTCCCATGTCCGGGACCGGTTCCGAGTCAATGGCTTCACAGGATGAGTGCTCGTTGGCGTACTCTGCCCCAACATCGCAGCAGATGGAGATAGAATGCTGCAGCTGAACAGCTGGTACACAATAAAGAAATAAAAACAGCTGCTTTCATTTTGTTTCATTACACATTAGAAATCTGTCCTACCTGTTACACCTTGCATGCCCTCATGCCACTCGGTGTTTTTTAAAGATTCATTAGACTAAGGAGTAAATTCAATGAAAAACAATGCCATACTAGTTGCTATCAATGATTTAAACAGGCAGAAGAATGTAACTTAGGGAGAGGAGGTAAGCAGCCAATAATTATTGGGTTATTCTAAGTTCGACTTGGGTAATTATCAGCATCCAGACTCCAACCAGTCTTAAACACAGTGTTTAATACCCGCCAAGCACATATTTATTCCAATTCATAAACACCTTTCAGTAAAAAAAAAATCAAAGGTTTTCGGTCCAAAAGTCAAAACAAGTGAAAAATTATAAATTTCCAATGATTTTAAATTTAATGAACAATATTACTTTATGTTTTTCGAAATACCCTTCTAGACTTCACTGAGAGAAGTCGTACACAACTCCTTACATGTATATGGAGATTGGTGCACGCGTCGTGCGTACTGCATGAGTGGCGCAGAATGCAGCTGTGCCGGTGTAGTGTGAATTTAGGACTACGAGTACTGACTCAGTGGTAGAATTGTGCATGCCTAAGTGTGATTGTGAAGGTTCAACTAATAAAAAGCTAAGTAAAGGCACTGGATTTCATAGGAGGCCAAATTTCATGTGACACTGGAAAATGTTTAAGACCGGAGAGCCAGTCTTTATCAACTGTTTAAAATTAAAACCGGCCGCATGATGGACTCTCGACAAAGAGTAATGAGTAAACTGTTAGGTATTTATTAATATATTTTTATAAGTTATTCATAAATACCTGAGACAGTTTACACATTCCTCATGTTCCTACTGGTCAAGAGTCCGGAACGAAGGTGATTTCGCGGATAAAACACCGGCTGGTTTTAAACACAATTCCTGCGTTCTTCTCCCATGTGCAGTATGCGCTGCACATGCCACAGTTCCCATCTTAGCACATCGTACATGAGGCACATACCCATAATCATAGACATGGCCAGGGGTGTTTCACAAAACATGAAGTAAATTGTTGAACACAATTGTTGGATATTTGTGAATTTTTGACTTGTTCTGACTTTTTGACCGAAAGGTATTTATGGGCCATTAAAGACCATTATCATGTTGCAGCCATTTGATTTTTTCCCATTCAAATCAATGTAAGTGAGGCTGGATAGCAAGGCTGGAAGGAAAAATAGTCTGGTTCCTTTTTGCACAAAAACTTATCAGTCAGTACAGTTGTTGGATACAGGGAACATGACTGAAATGGTGGCACTGGCAGCATGATAAAGGTCCATTGGCGACCAGGCCCCCTACTAGCTGGTTTTAAACCTATGTACTTGCACATATTTATTCCCTTATTATGTCACTCAGTAAAAATGAAGCATTTATCTCCGAAGGTGTAAAAGCATGTTCCCCCCCCCCCCCAAGCCAAAACATCATATATCAAAAATTTCACATTAGGCCAAAAAAAAAAGTCTTTGGTTTCTGGTATGCGCGCGCGTCGCCGCAGCTATGCGCGTCGGCAAAATGAAAAAGTTTTTTTTTCAATACAAGATGATGTCTCAAAACCGCCAAACTCACTGGTTTGACTGGAATTCTGCTGCTGCACAATTTTAACGTGTTTTTAGATGGGGTTATGATCGAGAATAAGCTTTATGTGGCCTCTCTGGACTCCCATATATTTGCACAAAGTTTAGTCGGGCACCATTTGCAGTCATCAGCCGACATTTGAAGCAAAAAAAAAAAAAAAAAAGGTAAAAAAAAAAAAAAAGCCGCGTCGCCGCACCACTTTTGGGGCAAGCTCCATACCAGAAACCGGAGACTTTTTTTTTGGCCTTACACAAATGTTTTTATTAAAGGGAATGTACATCATTTGCAGTTGTTGTAATTATCAGAAATGGGTATGTGCACAAAGTACACTACCAGCTAAAGTAAAGATATATTGTGAAAGCTGGCAAGACAAATTTGGTTGGACTTGGACACCAATTGAAAACTAAAATTGAGAATTTTAGAGAACAATATCATTTGAAGAAAACTGACAAAGTCTGGATTTTTTCAGTATACAATCTGGACCTGGAAAACGTGGCTTTAAGATTGGCACAATAAAAAGTTAGCTATTTCATCAAGGAATCTCAGGAATTCCCAGTTTGTAGTAACAGGTGTGACACAGGTGTAGGTAAATAAACATCCTGGCTGGAGCCCCAGAGGGTCAAATCAAACACATGTGGATGTCATTAACAAATAGATGTAGCAGTCCAGGAGCTAGCTCGGGTTATGCAATGAGCGCTACAAGGCCATGAGCAGATGGTATATGGAGCACCACTACTGCATCCGTGCATTTGGGGAAACTTGGGTGAAATCCCTCTTTCTAGTTTTGGCATCATCACTGCATGTAGGTTGGATGGGGGGAGGACCAACTATTGCAAAAGATTTGCAGTATTTGCTGGATATTAACACTTGAAACTAATGTGCCTATCAAATGTTTCCCCCACCCCTCCCACCCCGCGCTGCCCCAGGTCCGATGTCGGATGTTGTTGTCTACAAGCCAATTTTATAATTACAGCAATAAGTTATACATGTGACGATGTATGATTATCATTGTTTGTCCCCCAAAAGCCCCAACATTTTTTTCTTCAAAATGAGTGTTCATCACAAAAGGGAAAGGGGCATTAAAGGGAAAATACAACATTTGCAAACATCAAAAAAAAAATTTAACTACCAAATCATTTTGAAATACCTTGCTGGACTGTTCGTGAATGACAGTGTAAAGCATCCTGTAAAATCATGGCACCTGGTATACTGTCATTTTCAAGAAAAGTGGTATTTTTGTATCAATTTCCAACGCGTTGGAAAAAACTGGCTTTTTTCAAATACTGGCCCCAATTGACCATCGCACTTGTTTGCAATCAATTACACACCTATGAACGGGTACAAGCCAGCTTGACTGGTTCCCTGGCTTACAATTCCCCAATGTAAGTAAACTGCTCTGTTTCTTCTTATATGGAGTCAGGGAACCAGACTACAGGAAAATGATTGTTTTTCTTGGTTTTTATAGCATTTTCGAACCCAAAACCTCAAAAAAGTCAGTGTAACTATATTTGCTATATATTTCCAACCCCCCAATTCCATCCATTTCTGAAAATTACAGCAAAAGCAAATGATGTATATTCCCTTTAATTGCATAAGCATTTTTTTTTTTAAAGATCATGACAATGGCAATATCAATATGCCCTCTCAACACACACGAGGAGACAAAAGAAATGGTTTGTAAAATGTTTGCTATCAACTACAGGTATTTCAATTTCATAAATCACCATTAAAACAATTTTTAAAAACAATTTTAAATGCCATTGGGCAAAAAACCGAAGGCTCAGTATCAGTTCATGACAAGGTTCAGTATCAGTTCAAGCCTACTGATACAATGTATGTGTGAAGCACTTCATTCAATTTCAATTACCTTGTCGCATTCTGTGAATTCCGTAGACGGAAAAAAAAACCTGGGCATTTTTGCTAGAGACTTTCTTAATGCCGGGAAACCAATGACACATTCCATATGTATGTTTTCAGCAGACATCATAGCCTTTGTTACTTTTAGTGGCTGGGCTGTACTTTCTACAGTCCTGCAAAAAAATCGCGTGATCATTTGAAGGATCTTGGGGATTACGGATTAATAAAAGTACAAGGAATTTGATTTGCAAGGAATTAAGGAAAGTAAAGAATAAAACTAAGGAAAAAAAGTTGCAACCTGATACCACTTTTTTCTTCATATATCATCTTAATGAAGGTCATTCATTGCAAAAATGATAATAAGACATGAATCTGGGACTGAGAAACATTTAAAATTTTGTTGGGAAATACTTAGACAATTTTCTTGACTCTCCGTAGACTTTGCACACAACCGCTGAAGTGGCGTCAGGTTGCAACATTTTTTTTCCGAATCAAAAAAATGAATGTGATGACAAATCTATTAAAACTGAAACTGAGAAGTAAAGAGATCTCTTAAAACTACTTTCAAAATAAATAAATTTAGCACAAAACAGAAAAAGTTTAATACAAACAGGGTGTCCTGAAAATAATGGTGCACGTACACCCCGCCATTTTCTCCATTACAACCGGAATTTACTGCAAATGTGTACACAATCTTCAAGGTTACAGATTTAGATTGAGAATACTGTTTGTTTAATTAAGATTGCTTTTGTAAATCCAGAGATATGTTTGAATAACTGCGAAGCCAAAAAAACATGCTATACCACTTTTAGGAAGCGAGTGCTTCAAAGATCAGACAATGCCAGTATGGCTTTTTTTATAACATTATCCCTATGGGTGTAAGACAAATATTCCATTCACACGACAATAATTGTTCTTATGTTGAAACAATTTGATAGTACAGACAGGTTCACTTCTTTAAAACTTCAATGAAAGAGTTCAATTAAATATAAATATATATTGCACACTCTGCTTAAAAATGTTAAAATCACTAACACTACAGTAAAGTGATTTGGTTTTAGACTACATGTAGGACTATACTGATTTTAACTGCTTCACAGAAAGTGGCACAAAATGGGTTTCTTGGCTTTGCCGTTATTCAAACATATCTTTGGATTTACAAAATTAATCTCAATGAAACAAACGGTATTCTCAAGCTAAATCTTATTACCTTGAAGATGGTGATGTACTCACTGGAAGAAGAAGAAAAACATCCGCAGAAAATTTTGGTTGTAAATTAGCAAAAATGGAGGGGTTTACATGCAGCATTTTTTTTTCAGGACGCCCTGTATGTATAAATTTGTCACCAGAATGAGAAAGGTAGGCATGTGGCACTCCATGGCGTAGTTAAATTACCAAAAAAACCAAAAAAGGGCACCCCAAATTCGATTCAATACAGCATGGGTAGTTTCCATGGATACAAGCACCACACATGCATGTACATGACATACATGTACAGTCCTTGCAAGGGCGAATCCAGGGGGGGGGGGGGAGCAACCATGCCCCCCCAAAAAACAAACCCAATTTTTTTTTTAAAGTGACGTTGTAATAAAGGCAGGCGCGCACTCTGCACAACACCATCTTTTCCTCAAAAGAATTTGGTCAAAGTGGTCAGAAATTGCCTCAGATCTTAGTTTACCACAGAGCATCTAGAATCCAAGAACTTCTAGAATCCAAACATTTGGATATTGTGTTCTGGATCCCCCCTTATTTTTGGACACTATCTGACCATTCCTTGCTCTTAGTAACCTTGAACATGTTGAAAGTTCCAGCTTACTAGGCAGGCTTATTAAATGGGGGGAGATTCGCCAGTAGATCTTCCATGTCATGAGCTTATAAGTCATAGTATTTAACTGGAAATTTCAAGCGACCATGCTCTTTGATCCGACTATCAATATCAATTATCATGATTATCACGACTGTCACCCTGCATGCCCTGTCAGAAACTTGTGAGCCGTATTTGAAAACACATGTACACAAAACCATGGAGTGACAAAACCATGAAACCATGAATTCACAGTCGATCAATAACAGCAATTATATGATTAATACATACAGACATGACAGAACCAACATATCTTCAACAACCACCTTAATAATAATATGCAACAATTGCACTTTAAATGACAAAACAATGACAGACAGACAGAAAAAAACAAACATACAAATAAATTGCTAAACTTACCATTGGCTGTTATGAGAAATGCCAGCAGAACTGAAGCTACTTGATGCCACATTTTTTTTATTCCCCGCACAGTGTATATCCACACAGTACACAAACTTCTTCCAGGCAGCTTGAGCAGTGTTCAGAACCTTGAAAAACTGAAATACACAGCAAATCTAATGCCGCTTGTCTGTAACAAAATGATTGAAGCTAGATTAACAGATCAGATTTACTCTCCAAAAAGATGTCACAAGACCTGTGTTTTTGTGAAAAGTTAGTTCACAAACTTGAACAAGTAGTAAAACAATTGAACATGTGGGAAAACAAATCCAAACTCATGTTATGAACTTGTCAAAATCTTAGGGAATGCTACAGTGACTTGCCCATGCGCATTGGCTAAAATCTGAGAGCACCCTACTGACTGCGCACCGTCTACAAAATAACTGAAGCCAACACCACTGCATGCACTGCACTCAGCATGGCCCATATGACACCAGTAAATCAATACATGTACACTGGGGTGTCAGAGCATAGAGCAAGCAGTCTCTGCATGTACCAAGTTGTAATTGTGGGTTTCTGGTTCCTGGTTTTATGGCCCCTTTGGGGTTGTCAGCTTGGACCAATAAACATTCCAAGGGCAGAGGCTTAAAAGTTTGTAGGATTGTGGTTATTAGACTGTGGCCAGGAAATGCATGCCCAATTAAACAATAGCCTGATTACAATGGGAACTTGTCAGACAAGCACATTCTTGAAATTGTTACAGTGTTTATTAGTGACAGTTCCTCACATCAAAGGTGTCATCAGGAACTTACTCCATGATACAATGTAATACAATGTAATACAATGTAAATTGTAATACAATGTAATACAATGTAATGCAATGTAATACAATGTAATACAATGTAATGCAATGTAATACAATGTAATGTGTATGTGCTAATGGGTTAAAATCAATTGCACAGGCTCATTCTAAAAATTGAATTCTAGTAAAGCTGGTCTCAGACCATTTTCGTCTACGAGGTCTACAAAGCCATCTGAGTCAAATTGGGGGGCAAGGGCAGGACTTAAAGTTAAACTAGTCTAATTCACAAGTGACACCATTCCTTCCTCCATGGTGACACTAAGTCGGTGATCAACTGATATAAGTGCAAAGAGGACTGTTCAACATTCAAAAGAATAGATATGCTTGCTGGTTGGAAGAAACAGTGTGTTGATCTCAACTTACACAATTGGGACAAAATCTATTGATTCTGGAACTTTCACCATGGGGCCTGCCCACCAGCTCAAGAAAGTTCTGCGATTCCAATAAGCAATGCACAACTGTCAATTACGTCAAGGCCGTTGTGATTTACTGCAAACTAGTGACCTCACTTCCTGCTGAAATACACCCAAGACGCAGGCGCCCCGACTTGGAGAAAGTGAAACAAGGTGAAACCAAAGGTCTTGACTTTGTGAACTGACACCAACTTTACATGCATACTCAATTACAAGTTGGTGGTACCATGGAGGAATGGTGGTACATGGCACAGTTGCTATGCAACACACAAGCCAATTTCTGTAGTATGTGGATGGTGGATGTGTCAGTGTGTAGTGAAGCCGTGACTTGTAACAATAAATCTCTTTTCTTTGTGGTTCTGACTTCTGAGAAGTGTAAACTCAACATTTCAGGAAATGTATGCAGTTGTGCAAGATCTTAAAACTCATAAAAGAAACTTATCATCACATGCAGTCACTGCACCCTTCCACTTTATATTGCTAATCTCATTGTGCAAACCCATTACTTATCCCATTGCTGGCATGTTGCCAACAAGTTCATTTGGTGTAAACCATCACGCAATTTTAAATTTTTTTTGAAACAAATCATTTTCAATATCTACAAAATACACATGACAAATTTGGCAAATTTTCAACACAGGTAAAGGTCTCTCTCAAAGATGGCCATCTCTGTAGGAGAACTGCAACTGCGTATTTTACACAATCAAGCACGCATTGCACAGTGTCGGGAATGTTCCAAACACGCGTGCTTGTTGCTCGAAATGTGTTCGAAATATGACACAGCCGATGCGCGTTATGCAAGTTGATGCTCAAAATGCCGATGCACGTGGCTGGTCTGTAGGAAATGACATCATTTGAGAGAGACCTATTGGGCTTAGGGTCTATTATGTCAAAGTGTTCCTAATTGTGAGTACAATGTAGATGGGTCACACAATAAATCGTGCAGTACATCAGAAGCTCAATGGCACATACATGTAATATGGTCAACATTTTTATTTGTGGAGTTCAACAAAGTTTTTAAACTAACAATGAACAAAAGGCATCTTCACACATAACATATACTACAGTGAAAGTTAAGAATCCTTCTTTGAAATGGTAAATTAATGTTAACCGAACTGAGAAAAGTTTGTATGGACAACATACATGTACTACCAAGAAACAGGGAGTATAACGAAATATGCTACCACAAAATTCGGACAAAGTTGACATATTTTGTTTTTTTAGGCTTTGGCATTTTCAAATTCCAAACCTTAAAAACAAAACTTGTCACACCTTTGTCTGGGTTTTGTAGGAGTAGGCAGTATTTAGAGTGCACTTCCAAAGAATAAAATTCTCTTGAAAAACAACTCTAAGTCTGAATTTAAACAGAAACAATCATGTGGAATAATTCTAAATGTAAGTATTGTCAAACCTAAAACTGACCTGCAGAAATTCTACAAAATGGCAAAATGTGGACTCAATGTCATTAAACATTTGTTTTTAAGCGGACTTTACAGCAACAACAAAGCCTATTTTACAGGTGTTAAAAACCGATATAATTGAAATCTGGAATATTTTTTTATTAATACTGTCGAATACAACCATCAAGTTTAATTTGCTTTAAAATGTACTTTGTAAAGTGATCAATGCTTGCCTATTTATGCTGCAAAATTAAAGGAAACGCAATTCAGGGAAACTTATTTCCTAGTGATTTGGCAAATGATGACACTACATTATAAATATGAATAAGGTCTTATTAAAAACATGACATAACAAACATTCACTTCCATTATTGAAGCGACTGTTTTATCACCAATGGAGATGGTCAATAACCCCTTTAAAAAAATTGGTAAATTTGACACACATAATCTACAAATATAAGACCTTTTTTGACCCCCGAAATAGAAATTCAAATGATACATTCATTTTTGGGCTCTTAAATGGAGCAACAAGTACAGCAGTTACAAATCTGCTTTTTCGAATAGTTCAGCAAGCTATGGTTCAAACACATAAATTTCATAATTTTTTTAACACCGTAATTTTGTTGCAAATTTCAAAAAGTTGTCATCATTGATCAAGGAGAAAACAAGCAACCAACTACATTAGGTTTAAAGCTTGAAATTTGCTCAGATACATTTACACAAATTATTGAGACCATGTTCTTTTCTGTGGGTGGACATTGCCTACTATTCAAATCGCCAAGTAGAATTATGTAGCTGTCTTAAAATTACTTTAATTGTATTTTATTATTTTTTTAAAGTAAAAACAGAGAGACACATTTCTATCTCAGCTTTGTTTTTGTGCATGCAGAACTTATCGAAGAAAACAGGGAACAAGAAGAAGCCGCAGCAATTGCACACCCAAAAAAGGCCACAGACAATTCCTGGGACACAACATAAACCAATTAAGACATTTCTTTGGAGCACAATGTTGTTGTGTCACTCAGTGGCACTTTGTTTTCATTGGGCCATGTACCATGCTGGGGCACCCCATGTTCAGCCAACCTCAGACTTTTCAAGATAAATCTGCAACACAGTTTCTGTGGTTCAACATGGTCCTCGCCCCAGGCACGGCTTTGTCTGAGGTTATTACAGTTGAAAAATGTTAAAGGAAACATTGCAGCAATGACACAAGTCCACAAACTGTGGCATGTGCTTTCCATGTTGGGCCTAATATGTGAAATGTTTGCCAAAAGCCGTTGGAATAAGTACCACCAATTAAAAGTCCAACATTGAGTTTTGATGTAGGGGGGGGGGGGGGACTGGCATTTAATCCCAACTCTTAATTCACCTGCTCAAAGAAGATTACAGTAATTTCTCTGATTTACTTAAAAGTTTCATTTTCTTTCCTCAAATCATCCAGATCATTAGAACTTTGATAAAGGGTCCTTATTGATGTCCAGTATAAAATATGATCACAGGTCCCTATGAAATGCCAGATGCTACAAAGTAAATGGTAGAATGAAGTTTTAATTTAATGGTTAATTGCATTTTCCAATCCAAAGAAAGGTTTCCTTTCATTCCGTTTGACTTTCCGACATATACAGGGTCATTCTCTGACGCAACCATCAGCTTCAAGAAGGCAAGAGCAAACACTTGCGTCTGACCCATAAGAGCAGCCTATTAAAATTCCATTCAACTTCTTACAAAACATTTAACACAATTAACATTCAAATTGTCAAAGATTTGACTTTTGAAAAGACTGAGGATTCTAAAAATTTTCAGCACAATTCAGGATTACCCCCTTATACCATCATTTACAAGTGAATGAACTTTTGAAAGATTCTGCCAGCTCAAAGGACCCTCCCTGTCTGTCAATCAAACACTGCACATGGACCAATTACATCACTGCTTTTGGTCAGGTGACCGCAGTAGCTTGGTCACAAGCACTGTGAGAAATGCACACATATTAGAGGTGGGCAGGGCTTCAGGCGATGTGCTCATGAATATGCAACAATGTGCTCATGAATATGAAAGATTTGAGTTGTAAGATATTTTGTAAATAAAACACCACCAAGTTTACATCAACGAGGAAGAATAACAATGCATGCACTGTCGTTTTAAGTTAAATCTGAACTACTGCAGCTATGCACCCTTTTGTAAACATGTTTTACATCTTGGCATGTTTATGAAGAATTTAAAGTTAAAAAGAAAATAACCAAACTTCTTACAGGACAACAAAATCACATCCCAACACGGTGATGTTTTTACCCAATATATTCCACCTTGCAAAAGATGAACTACACAAATGCTGAACTACGAGATAAAACAGAAGTTTTTACATGCAAACATGAATGTAATACAAAATATTAAATATGTACAAAGATTGGGCACAAGTACAGTACAGTTTTAGTAGGTCTGTCTGCGATAACTTCACAGTAAAAAGCGCCATCTTATTCATGGGACAAATGTCTTGCTCAAGAGGAGTTGTTGCTGGCTGCAATGGCACTGTATCCCGTCGACTGTGTTTACATGCACATACATGTAGTAGCAAGTGTTATTTTGCCTCGTGAGTAAGATGGTGTATATTACTATGATAAATTTGTTCAAGTAATATGTGATGTCTTCTGTCAAAACAAGATGCTTCAATCAAGGGAGAGGACACCATCCCGCCGCGTCCATGTCTGAAGACGAGATCTTGAAGACAAACCGTTACCCCGCACTGCAACTATATGTATGTCAGTCACACGGTACGAGTCAGGCTGACCGATCACCTAGTTGATTTTGCAACTTCCGCGTTCAAGGAGTTTCTTTATGTTATTGACCAGTTTTGGGTGATTGTTGGGGGGGGGGGGGCCAGTGGATATGCAGGGTATGAATATTTAGAAGTTTTATTTAACCTTCCACAGAGATATATGTTCAAGCATCATGAACGGTTCTTTTTTAGATGGCCAATCATTAACTTTCAACGTGGCGTTATGCACTTTTACTATGCATTTGCTGCATGGCTTCACACAACACATTCGGTCCCTGACTACTTGGGATCCTACTTCGTGAGCAGGGCTACATCACTAGTAATAATGAGCTAGCCCACTCATCTCAAACCCATCAAGGCGTAGGATTGCACCATAAACACGCCCACGTGAAAATGCACAGTGTATAACGTACATCACTCGCTGGGTACTTCAATTTTTGTATTCCCACCACTAAACAAGGAATTGATCAACAACGACATGGTCCAGGCTAACTTCAAATGGCAAAACTTTGTAAACTAAAGGTAAGTCCGTTTCCTAACCTTCAACACTCATTTTTAAGGGGAAGATCTGCATCTGAACAATACTTTTAAAACCCTATTTTGACAGGCTGCCTCGAACTCTGCTATGACAGAACACTTCACATATGTTACTTGCTAATTAAATGTTACACAAGTGGCAGTGCAGAAGAAAGATCTTGCTTTCAGCAATGATGTCATCCATCCCCCCCTCCCAATCCATGACGAGATCCATTCTCTTTCGATGCCTAACTCTGTGCCTGAGTCTGTGATTGAAGCTTGACACTTCCCCAGTTTTAGCGCACGGCTTTAGGACTGGCTTCCTGCGTTTCCCGGGCATACTCCGTCAGGTCAAGGGTCAGGACCTTACTGATAGTGCATTCACCTTGCTGTCATGGAAACAGAGAAACACACGATGTCTCAGCATGGTATATGAGATAATAAACAGTTGACTAAACTATCAGCATATCAGCATGTGAATTCCCTTACCACATGCTAAGACACGCAGACATGAACTATGATGCACTTTAATGTGAGTCAATGTACTTTGGACCTTTTCAACAAAACAAAGGAACATACTTTTTCTCAATGTTATACTCACCTAAAAGAGCTCAGTTTGAATAACTTTCCAATATTATTTTTACAATTGAATTTATTTTCTTTAGAAAAAGTCTATCCTCAAAGGTCGAAGGGCACATGAAATGGCTTTTTTTTTAAAATATAATAAAAGATTGGATGTTGGTATCACTGATCTCTACGCAAAAATAACTAAGACATCTACATTTTGATTTACTGTTGACAATGCTTGTGCTATTTCCTGCCAACTGAGGGCGCTGTTGCTGTTTAAACAAACTTGAGGAAATTCCCAGCTCTACACAGCTCTCTGAAGTGCTTTTTCAATTTTTTTTGGTTTATGGAATAGAAGAGAAGTCTCATAATAATAACCGGAAATAAAAAATATTGTGTGTTTACGGCTAACTCCCAACAAATTACCCAGGTACACATAGGTAGCAACATTTTTTATTTTGTAACTTTTTAAATGTCTGTCGTTCATTAATAAGGGAATAAATGTGTGCTCCGGAGGTTTTTATCACTCTGTTTAATACCACTTAGAGTCTGGGTGCTGATAATTACCCGAGCCGGAGGCGAGGGTAATTATCAGCACCCAGACTCTAAGTGGTATTAAACAGAGTGATAAATACCGACGGAGTACATATTTATTCCCATTCATAAATATCTTTTCGGTAAAAAAAAATCATATAATTCGTTCAAAACATCCCGATTTTGTTCAACAAATTCACTTTATGCTTTTTGAAACATCCCTCCTGCAAAATAATGGAGTGTTCAGCTGGCGAGTAAGATGAAAACAACCCTTTTATGGAGATTGACGCGCGCGTATCATGTTCTACGCGATGTCGCGCAGAACGCACCTGGCGCGTTGCGTTTTGAATTTTGAACTATAAAATTCTAACTCCCTGGTAGTGTTGCGCATGCCTACGTGAGGATTGTGAACGTTCAACCAATGAAACGATAAGAGGCACTGGATTTTTAGGAGTCCACATTTTATTGTGACACTGGAAAAGTGTTTAAGACCAGCTAGCCATGTCTTTATCATCCGTTTAATACCGGCCACGTGACGGGCTGTCGACCAATAGGAATGGCTAAACTGTGTGAGGTATTTATGAATACTTATTTTATTATCTATAGGGTACCCTTGAACAGTACTCTGTTTATTGTTTTATTAACCAATAACACTCAAAACCTGGCATAGGGAAGACTTTATATTTTCAAAATATAATTTATTTAAAACTTTTGGCCAAATGTGGCAATACAAATTTTGATGTCAGCAATTTAGCTTAAAAATCCAGGTGGGTTGAGTTACCGTCAACATACAATTTTTTTTTTGCCTCAGTGGAAACCAGCTGATCTGAGGGAAATTTGCATGCCTAATTAAGGGCCACAACCAATCACACTCATCAAAAATAATCAATTAACAAAATGTTGATTTAATGTATCAAATGATGGCTAAATAACCATGATCGAGTCAAATAGAAAACACATGGAAGCCATACACATGGATGATTCTGTGCCCACTTTCCTGGAATGTTTGAAATGTTGTCCGGTGACCAACACAGATTTGGATGAAACTTCAGGCCTACCCTCAAAATACAGCCAGACACCTACCTGAACTTTGTCTGTTGGCTCGTTGGCATCCAATTTGCATGATTCTGCTGTCAAAATTTCTTAATATTTGTTTTTGTATACAGGACTTCAATCGACTGATTAGGCAGTTGGAATGGAACAGCCCATAGTGACACATAATAATAAATGTTTGTGAGTGCAATGGTAAGAATAATTTTATGAGGTGAGAAATGGATTGTTCCATTCCATGAGGCGATGGAACATTCCATCTGTCATCGAATTAAATTATTCTTTCCATTGCATGAATGTGGAACATTAATTATATTTTTTATACAACACCTGAATAAATCCTCGTCATCTGGTTGGTCAGAACCACCAAAAGTGTGACTGTGCAATGGAACTTTCATTTACCGTGGAACGGAACTTCTATTTGTGCCGTGTGGCCGTGCCATGCATTGGGACGAATAATTCAACGACGCGTAATCAACGACCAATCAATCAGAAGATGGGATTTAGTTAGGCGTTGTATAATAAAAAATATACAAACAATTCGGGCGATTCACAATGCAGAGCGCCACCAATAGTTTGCCACGGAGAGTTAATTTTTCCCAGTGCATTGTGGGAGATGGTCGACAAATTCGCAGCGCGGGACATTTGAAATTGTTCGTTTTTTTTCGGTCAGTAGTTTCGTAAGCGTACGATTTGAGTATATGTTTGCCCTCTTCTTTTCTTTGTATCAATATGGTGATTTTTGGTAAGGCGGCAGAACGCTATGCCCCAATCTGTAACAAATTAGCTCAGGTGTCTACTGACACTCATTCAAATGGGCCATATTTTGTCGACCGTAAACTTGAAAAGTTGACTCTCCATGGCAAACTCTTGGTGGCGCACTGCACTGTGAATCGCCCGAATTGGAGGAAGTCATTGTATAAGCAATGTTAATAAGTATTTCACTCTTTAAAAGCCAAGCAATGAATAAATCAGTCAAGTAAGTGGTAAAAAAAAAGAGTGAAGGCATAGGCCGATGAATTGACTTACCTCAGGGTATATTCCAATGAGTGCATCAGCATGATTATAGAACTCTTCCTTGAGTGAGATGACAATGCATTGGAAATGGTCTTCGGACTGTTCTCGTATGTACTCAGCCACTTTGCCGATGTTGGTGTTGTCCAGAGCAGCATCTATCTCATCCAGGACGAAGAACGGAGCCGGCTGGAAACTAGAAATGGCAAACAGAAGATGGTGTTAGTGCAATAGATTGAATTTTGAAAGTGTACTCTAAATGCAACGCGTAAGTAGAACATACCAAGTCATGGCAAAAAGCATCTGCAGCGGAGGGACGCGCACGCGTTGCGCTGTTTGCGTAGAGCAAAATGAAGCGCTTATTTGCTGATCGTGCGTGTCGGCTTCGATGACGCACCGGTATGGAATATAAACGCAGATATGCAAATAGCCGTACAAAAGCCGCACAAAATTTCTAGTTCTCCATAGGTTTGTGTACAAACATGGATGTGCCCATCAGGCATTACTTTGTTCATCGAATAGCGCTCTAGTAATTTAATATAGCTCTATGGTTGCTACACTGATAGCTAAATACCTGTTGAGAGCAAAGAGGAGTGCCAGGGCAGCGACTGTCTTCTCCCCTCCTGAGAGGTTATCCATAGGCCTGAATCGTTTGCCTGGAGCTACACAGTTATAGTTGATGCCATCCAGGTAGGGCTCTTCAGGGTTCTCTGGCCCTAGGAAAGCCTGTGCACTCTGGTTTCTGGACAGAGCCTAAGTCAGATAAACAAACCAAACCAATCACTTATGAGTTATTACAGGTGTAAAAAATATGGATGGCAATCCAAGGGCAAGTTCAAGAGAGGACTATTGCCAACCATTGTTTGAGTAGACTTCACTCAAAACGCGGGATGGTTGGACAATGCTATTCGACTATTTGGAACCGGACCACAGGGCATGGTTGCGTCACTGGTTACCAATAGCTAGGAGCTATTTTGTAAATCTCTCACCTTGTAGATTTCGTCAATCCTCGTCGACACATGCTCAAAGCAGGAGTTGAAGCGGTCGAAGCGTTCCTTACGAACCACTTCAAAGTTCTGCTTGGCCTTCTTTGCGCGTTTACGAGCCGCCTCAAAGCTATCGGTGGTCTCCTGGAAACGTTCCTTGACTCCATCAAGCCTGCAGGGGAAAAAAATTCAAACACAGCTCAATTACTCGATTCCAGGCCACATTTTTCAATTTTTAATGTAAATGTGAAGTTTCTGGCAAAATCTGACAGAACTGGGCACAGGCCATAGTGGAGAAAAATGCAAAACAATGAATGGGGGTGATTTTTTTCAAGTTTCACATCCATTGATATTTGTAAACCTTGGATATGTCTACAACACATATTTTAAAGAAATAGTATGAAAATCGTGGAATAAAAGCTTTTTTTTAAAGAAAAACAATTGACATCTTTCATTTTCACGACTGCAAAACTCAAACTTTAAAGGCCATTCTCTCAGTATTTTACTTTTTGACACGTCGATAAATACAAATGTGTATCCTCTACCTGTGCCATATGTGCCAGGTTATTAAAGGAGTGTTGTGGTCCAATAGTGACAGCATCAACACGGTACCTGTGTTCTTGTGCAAGACACTTGACTACAATTGAGTTTAAATTGGTATCTGGGAGAGTACAGACCAGACTTTAACAATAATTGGGGGGGGGGAGGCTAATCACAGCTGAGAAGGTGAACTGCGAAGGACACGGCTACAGGCGCATTTGGCAGTCGCCATACGACCCATGTATGACCACGGATCACAGCCAGAGATAGAAAGTGTTTGATTTTTGCGGAGGGAGGAAAACAGAGTGCCTGGCAAAAAACTCTCATGCCACAGGAGAGAACCAACGCACAACTCTACTCACATATGGTCTGAGCCGGGAATCGAACCCGGACCACAGTGGTAAGAGGCGAGCGCTTTACACGCAAGCCGCCCATGCCAGCACAGATTATGCTTTGGGACTTTGGTATAAAATACCATATTAGCACCAAATTAATTGTCATTCATAAATACCTAAGACAGTTTACGCATTCCTATTGGTCGAGAGGCGGTCACATGGCCAATCTTAAATGGATTATAAAGACATGGCTGGCTGGTCTTAAACACTTTACCAGTGTCACATGAAATTTGGACTCCCATGAAATCCGGTGCCTTTTAACGTTTCATTGGTTGAAAGTTCACATTCCTCACGTATGCATGCGCAATACTACCAGTGAATCAGTATTTCATGGTCCAAAATTCACACTACACCAGCCCAGCTGCATTTTGCGCGACATCGTGCACGCCAATGTCTTTATAAGGTAACGAGTTGTGGAGGGGCATTCCATATTATAGTCAGAGGGGTATTTCGTGAAACAATGAAGAAAAATTGTTGAACAAAATGGTTGGCAACGTCTAGTTTTTTACTTGTTTTGATTTTTGACCGAAAAGGTATTTATGAATGGGAATAAATATGTGTTCGGTCGGTATTAAACACTCTGTTTATGACCGGTGGGAGTCTGGATGGGTGATAATTACCACCCATCCAGACTCCCACCGGTCTTAAACAGAGTGTTTAATACCGACCGAACACACCTTTATTCCCTTGTTATAGAGAGGGAGACGGTTAGTTTATGGTTTGTGTTGTCTATGATCTTACTTTTCCATGGCCTTCATATTAGGAGCGGCAATCCTTTGTAGAGTCACCTGCATACTGGCCATATTGGCCGATAACTTATCCCCTTGTTCCTTGATCTCATCTAGCGTGTCACACTAAAAATGAGAAACAAGATGGGAAAGGCATGTCACGAAAAGGTCAATTCAAATCAATTAAATATTGTCTTAACTCTTGCTCTTTTGGTGCAATTTAGTGCACATCAATTCACTCCATCTGACGTGTATTAGAGGATTAGAGGAAGTTTTGAATCAGCAACCATGTAAATTCTGGAAACAAAACAGTTAGAAGTGATCTTTTGAAGGCAATCTTCTCAAATTCTGGAATGAATAACAATCATGTTGAATTGACACAAAAATAACCCAATATCTAAATTTTGTTGTTTCTCGTACATGTAAAACATGCAAAAAAAATATGCAAACTGACCGCTGCTATGTACATCAGATTTGAACCAGCCAACCGATCCAGTTAGCTCGGTGGTCGAGTGGTAAGACATCTGCACTAGAAAGCAGGAGGTCGTTGGTTCGAGTCCCACCCGAGTGATTTTTTCCAACTTTCACTCGGGAGGTAACACATTGAGTATACAGTGTTTATACGTCGGTGAAGGGCAAAACCTAATTTGAATGACCAATCTTATTCACATATTTCCATCTCACCTCTTTCAGGTCATGGCTAAGCCGCTTGTAGTTGATGATAATATTGGCTTCCTTCTTGTAGATGATGCGTGCTCCCTGGCTGCTCATGCTGTCCATGCCGGTAATGCTGGTGCTTTCCTCACCAGCTGTACTCTCCTGCTGACTTGATGCCTATGTAATAATAACACGTAGTTGGTGCTTGTATCAGTTAATAATGACCACAATGGAGGTAATATTAATTTACTTCAAGGCTTTCTACATTTTTAGTATTTGCTAATTTACCAATTAGTTTCAATCTGACACAAGTCCTGGGCCCAATTTCTTGGCTCTGCTTACCATTAGCGAAAAATCCCCGCTTACTATAGCAGAAAAATCCCTGCTTACTATAGCAGAAAATTCCATGTTGACGACAAGCATATTTCACGGGTTAGCGTGGAATTTTGGCTTATGCACATGTGTACATCCAGTAGCTTAGGATTGTGTGCTTACAGGGTTAGCACAGAATTTTTCTGCTAGTACGGTTAGCACAGAATAGTATACAAATAATGAGTGGCTCAGCGTGGAATGGGAGGAATATTATCCCAAGGTAAAATCTGGACTTTTCCATTTCAAGAGGCGAAGCCGAGTGAACTGGAAAAGTTTAGATTTTACCGAGCTATAATATTCCTCCCATTTCACAATTTAAAGCCACCCAGTATTTGTTTTATATAACTGACATATAGATCCTTGTCATTTGATATATTTGAACTTGTAATTCAATACAAAACTGGAGGAAATTGTATTTCTCTCTTCCAAACCACCCCTTCACAAAAATGTTTGAACCCAACGCTGTAGCGCTGGCTCTTTGGGACAATACACGCTACTCGCAAGGCTAAACGCGCACACCAGCATGCAATTGCACACAAATACCACATCATGGAACAAGAATGATCCTAACTGTTCAATAGTATTTCCCATTCCCCATGGGCGGATAGTACTTTTTGAGCCGCGGCTTGAATGGGAGCAATAACGAATGTCACGTGTTGTGAGTTCCACCAATCAAATGACAAAGGATCTGTATGTCGGTTATATAATAGCAAACAGTGAATAGTCACCTTATGTGATATGCATTTCTTATGGCGCCGAATATGGTGAAAGTTCTGTACAAAATTTCCACGGCTTTATTCACTGCTGGAAACGCGTATAGGGAAGGCAACCATTGCGACAGCACTTGGATGTAAACAAACGGGGTTTTCCAGCATTTTCTCAGTTTACTCTAACAGTCCCAAATCCTTCTATTTTAATATGATTTTTCACACACCCTAGGGAGTTAGATGTAAGACGTATGGATTTTCTGCGACCCAGACTCTTGATATATGGCTAGTAAACAGTGTGACACACACCAACTTTGGATATGTATGAACAAAAGTCTCCTTATATTTTTTTCACTAGGCGACAAGGACTCTGCAGTTTTACTTTTTATTTTAAGTGCACACTGACATGCTTTAACCCTCCTGCTGTCTGAACAGTCACAGACGTTAAAAAAAAAAATCTTCTTCCCTGCCATGCCTTTTACACAGGCAAGTCACCAAACGTCAGATCATATTTTCAGCAAGCACTTTGACTAGTCAAATTCAGTCAATGGACAAAAGCAGGCAAGTGGCAGGCACAGCTGGCTTATCAATCACCTACAAAGCATAGCTGGATCAAGCTACATAAACAGTCACAGTCAGTCAATCTTGCTTTTATGTAGGATGGGAGCACTTCACTGTTCAAAACACTCAATTGACTGATTTTGACTGAGAGGACAACTTTGCAAAGAATGATGTTTGCATAGGAGGGTTAAAAAGATTTTTTGCAAGTGATGATTGTTTGAAATGATTAATCATCAGGGTGGACCTGATTTAATTTCACCGAAGATGAGAATATAAGCAACTCGTTTTGTTACCTCGCCTTCTTCAGTGATGTCATCCATGGTTCCCCGTTTCATTGGTAACTTGATGTCTTCCATCTTGCATGTCTTGAGCAGGCTGTGCCGATCGGCCCGTTTCTGCTCCAGTTTGGTCTCGGTGGCTGTTATTTGTTTCTGGACCGCTGCCAACGGGAACCACATTCAGAAGGAATCACAATGCATTCAAGACCATCAATAAGCCTCTGTACTGATGACGTCACACTTTGTTTACATGTGCACTTTCCTATGGAGCCAGTGGGGGTCCACGGTCCACTGAGCACCATAGGAAAGCACACACGTAAAGAAAGTGTGACGTCATCAGTACAGAGGCGTATTAACTCATTAGCACTGGTTTTAAAAAAGAGGTTTGGGGTACAAAATGAACATTTATTAATAATTAGAAAAAAAAATTGAATTTTTTAAAGAGCACAGGGAACACAACTTGTAAATGTAACCCCCTAGGCCATCTGGCTAGGATGCAACCTCAATCCTGCAAAATCCGACAATTGACACCAAAAAACATTGGATTCAACCTCAATCCTCCAAAATCATCACTTATTTCTTGAATTTAGTATGTGGAGGGTGACCAATACCTCGATCCTCCAAAATCCTCTGCCAGTTACTGCTATGGTTTGAGGCAGTGCGAATGGCGTTTAGAAGCAGTGCGGATGAAATACAAGAAAAACACCGGGCTGATTTATGCATGGCTGAACATAACCAATGCAGGATATGGCCTGCTGGCTCGACTCCACAAAAAAAGCGATACATCTTTGCCATTCATCCTCAATCTTCTAAAATCATCCAAAACCGGCAGGAGGATTTTGGAGGATTGAGGAGGGTTAGGGTTAAGATTTGGTCTTACTGCACAACAACAACAACTGAAAACACAGTACCTGCAATTTCTTTATTAGCAGTGGACAGCAGTTTGCGTATCTCTTCCACTTCGGCATTCTTGTCATCAATCTCAGATTTCTTAGTTGTCTTGGAGAACTTCAGCTTCTGCATCGCCTCGGACTCTTCATCTATGACCTGATATTATTGCACGCACCAAAACAAAGGCATATGATATATTCATGTAACTATTACACCTCATGCATATTTATGAACCAAAAGGGCTTTTTTCATTGGACGGTGTTCTGCATAGCCTCGGACTCTTCATCCATGACGTGATATTATTGCACGCACCAAAACAAAGGCATGTGATATATTCATAACTATTACCCCTCATGCATATTTATGAACCAAACGGGCTTCTTTCATTGGTCAGTGTTCCATTGCATCTGGAAAACAAAAGTCTGTAGTACCTGGAAGTAGTATCCTCAGTTTGACTCCCAACCATGCAACAGTAGCAATCATCACAAATCAATCTGTTTGCGGTACCCATACAAAACCTTTTTGACGGACAAAACTTTTGTGATGGACAAATTACAGACTTACTTGATAATGAAGTGGAATATGTACACTGTGTAATAAAAACGATTGTTGTACCTCTGTCTTGAATACTGTATTTTCAATGGCCGTTCCGATCACGTGTTAAGTTTATAAAAAGTCATGGCACACACCCTGTGGGATATTGCGTATGTGATATTCCACAGGGAGTGTGCTATGACTTTGTGCGTACAATACGAACGGTGTGAAACGCTTGTATCGTTGGTACCCATGCTATTTTCACCATGTTTTCACACATGACTGGGAGCAGTGAACTAGCAGACAATCAGCTGTTTCGAGCACGCAACATGCATGTGAGTTGACATTCGATTGTCATGATTGTTGTGTTTACTGCTGTTTGTTTTTGTGTTTTTTTAGATCACAATCCAACAAATCCAAGACGTTTTGATCACCCTCCGAGCGCAAAGCTATGCATGCTATGCGCCCCTCGGGCGTTAAAAACGTCATATCCCACATCGCAGCAGTCAACAATTGTTGAATATTACACATGCAGCTCCCCATGTTATTGTATGCCACATTGCAAGTGTGATGTAAAATCTGGAGTGCAAAGTGCACACCAAAAATCTCATACAGCTGGCTGTATGGTGCGAAAAACCAACTTAATCATGCGTACTTCGCCCCCTATGCAAACCAGTGCCCAATGCAGCGTCTCTCTGTCACTAGATCTCTAGAAGCACCATTTTACTGTTCACGTGTGAAGTCTATACACACCAGACAAAACCGTTCATCCCTACCTTCATGTGTTTGGCCTCCTCTTTCTTGAGTTTTTCAAGTTCCTTCTCATCATGGGCGACTTCTTTGGTCCATTTCTTGACGTTTGCTGAGGAAGTGAATATCCAAAAACAAGGCAAGTAGTGAAAAGTTTGACAATGTCCAACTAATTCATTAGGATTTTTTTCTGACAGATGACCTGTCTTGTGCCTTTCAACGAATCCATTTTTTTCTTCTCCTGGCGAATTAAACATCTTATTTTATTTCGGACTATAAGCTTTTATTTTGGGTTGCTTCTGTGCGCTGACAGACCCTGCATGTATGTAGACTTGTTTGCTAGTCACTACATAATTGATTCTGCATGCGACAGAACTTTGATTTTACCCCACCAAAAAACAAATCAGAACGATCAAAATGAAGGTAAATTTGCTGAATATCATTATTTTTTTGCCATGACAATTGTTTAACCCTAATGTACCTGAATCAATCAAAATCCACACCCCTGTTTTAGAGGTTTTCAGTGGATTCAGGATACCTCCATCTTGAAAAAGTTGGGGTATTTTGATGGATGCAGGACAAGTAAGCCTAGCGGTACTGCAGGATTTTGATGGATTCAGGATACCTCCATATTGAGCAGTTGGGGACTTTGATAGATTCAGGATCTAACGCCTTGGCTATATGTTTGGTGTGTACATGTATTACAATGGTAGATTATCATGGACTCACTGGTGGATTCTGATGGACTTAGGACACCAACATTTTTTGCATGAAATAATTGGTGGATTTTGGTGGATTCAGGATACTTTCTAGTAAAAGTGCTCAAAGGGTTAGGGTTAAAGGACAAAGTACTTGTCTGTTGGGTAATTTGTTCAAGAGTTTTACCTGTTCAAAGGAACAAATTGATTCAGGACAAAAATCAGGACAACTATTATATGTTGAGGCCTGAACAAGGAGAACTATTAACCCTAACCCCCTAGGCCTTTTTGCTAGGAACCATTCTCAATCCTCCAAAATTTTACAACAGCGCCTAAATTCTTCAAAAGTTTCAGACAGTCCTGCCTCAAAATGCATTCATCCTCAATCCTCCAAAATCCTCCTCATCCAAAAATGTTGCACTTGTGTTCAAATGAAGGGTACCCAGCCCCTCAATCCTTCAAAATCGTCAGACAGTCCTGCCTCAAAATATCATTCAGCCTCAATCCTCCAAAATCCTTTTCTGAAAAAAATACCATTCAGACCCAATCCTCCAAAATCCTTTTCTGAAAAATACCATTCAGCCTCAATCCTCCAAAATTCTCCAAAAACCACAAGAAGGATTTTGGAGGAATGAGGAGGGTTAGGGTTAACATATCTCTGCAATGTTACCTTCCGTGTCCCTGGATTTCTCATACTCCAGCTGGTTGACCAGCCGTGATTTCTGGTTCTCAAACTCCAGGCGTTTCTTGGCGCGTTCCTGCTGGGCTCGGAGCTCCTTCTCCTCGTACTGACGGATGTTCTCCACGCCGATGGAGCGACAGAAGTCCAAGAACACCTCGTCCTCTACGCTGTTCATCTGGGTGCGTTTGGCCATGATCAGCTCGGCTCGCTGGGTGATCTGCTCCTCAATGGCCTCCATTCTTGGCTATGGGTGAAAATGTTAAGTGAAACTTGTACACGCCATTAACCCTAACTTCCTAGGCCTTTTTGCTGGGATGTAGCCTCAATCCTGCAAAATCTTCCCATTGGCCTCACGCAAAAATAGCAGATAGCCTCAATCCTGCAAATTCCTCCATTATTTCTTGAATATGGTCCGTTGAGGGGTGACCACTGCCTGAATCCTGCAAAATCCTGTGGCAGTGACTGTCAATATGTTGAGGCCTGGCCAGTGACATCCTGGAGCAGTACGGAGGATTTCAAGCATAATCCAGGCCTATATTTATGCATGGCTGAGAAAAAACAACACAAGGTCCGGCCCAAGACCTTGACAGAGTGCATCCTACAAAATCAGTAACACACTTTTGCCATGTAACCTCAATCCTCCGAATTCCTCCACTTTGGCAAAGAGGATTTTGAAGGATTCAGGGCGGTTAGGGTTAATACAACTATAAAGGCTGCTTCTAGCAGAGGTCAGGGTGTGATATTTTATCAGTGATTTGACAAGTCTATGAAAACCTTAAGTCCTTTTACAAGTCAGGTCACGCGTCACAGTGGATGAACTGTAACGAATGAGAGTTTCACCGTTCATTTGGATAGTTTCTGCTTTGGACTGGATGACTTGTAATGGACTTGTGATGGACTTGAGACCACCACTCTAGATTTTACAGGTTACACTGGAACCAGATGCCCATTATTCATCACAATGACTGCGCAAAAAGTTTACTCATGTTGATCAAAGTGGTAAAAACCATTGCCCTCTATCTCTGCCTTGAAGCATAAGGGCCAATTCACATACTGTCACGTGACAATGCCGTGTGTTTTTATAAGTAAAAAAAACAATGAATGATTTTGTTGCGCCAGTGCAACAATGTCATAACTTGATTCTGCAACAACGTCGTATCTCGCGCGAATACACTCCATGCAACAAGGTCGTATCTTGCGTATCGCGACGTCCATCGACTTTGTGTGTACATCTGGGTTATTTTAAGCGAGGTATGACCTTTTGACTCGCGGTTCATGTACATGATGTCACACGCCATTTTAGGAGATACGACCTTGTTGCACGGATATGACGACTTATAAGACGTACGACTTAGTCATGCAAATGTAAACGTACTCATTGATTTGTGCGTATTTATAAAAACGCGCAACAAAGTCACATATGTGCAAATCGGCCTTAAGGTCTATTACCACAGGTTTCCCTGAAAACGGCCACGCTGTATGCTGCCACAAGAAAGATAGTGTAAATATCTTCTTGGACACTCTAGCAACTGGACTATTTCAAGTATTATTTGTATATAATTGTTAATTTTTTACTTTTCGACCTCGACTGTTGGATTAAAAGTTGTGCTTCCCTTTCAGAGATTGTGTGGGAACCTACAACGTCTTCAGTTATATTGAAACCACAAAAAAACAAACCAAAAAACCCCAGAAGCCTGTAAGTTTCTGTGAGGTATTAGGTGTCTGAGAACAGCAATAGCAAGGATTCTGCATAATTCCTATTCTCAGAGTGACATCATGAATTATAAGTGTTATATATCCCTTTAACCAGTTCACACCCGGAATATTTTGACAAAAATGGAACGAGGCACAGGATTACTTTTCACTCCACCTCAAGCCAGGCGGGTTGAAGCCATCACCCTCGGGCAGCACACTCATATTTCCGGCCTCGCTCGCTGCGAGCGGGTCGCTAACAGATATTTCCAGCCTTGCTACCTGCGTGTTTATCCCTCATCTGTTCCGAATACCGCAAAACTTTTGCGTCTATACACGTCACCCGACGCAAACTGGTTACGTCAGGTGTTTCAGAGTCACATTTAACAAAATGATTCGTAAAGTCTAAAATTATGTTTGACGTTTGAAAGAGAAGTGAATACACATGCCAAAAGATAACAGATTGATTGTTACAGTCGTTTGAAACAACTCACGTCAGTGAAAAATTATTACACTTTGATTTGCTTGTCTAAAACCAAAGTCTTCTTGGGTTGAACCAAGTTCCTCCCGATACTTTTTTGGTGCAGCAAAGACTCTGGATCCTCAGTTTTTGTGAAATGCAATATCTGAAAGCATTGAACAACATGAATCACAATAAAAGCAAGGCGTCTCACCTCATATCCTTCCAGCTCCTGTTGAAGCTTCTGAATAGCTTTGTTGTTGGTTGACACAATCTTCTTTTGCTGTGATTTCAGAGATAACGAGACAAGTTACAAGTTAATACCTTGTTTCCTCAATCCGGCCTCCAAAATAAAACCTAAAACCACTGACAAAATCAAATCTGATTTTACTCTTTTTACATGTAGAGCTACATTGAGTTTTAGAGCAACTCCCACAACGTTGTTGAGGCCACCACGATTCCATCCCAAATATTGTCACTACATGGTATTATTAAAATATAGTCCAAGCTTTGCACAACACAACTAGAAAAGACCAATGTAGCACAGAGGTGCATACCAGTGATGAAAGAATTGGAATTCAGCATTAGAAATGGGTATTTATTACTTCTTTACTACTTCTTTAAGAGTCAAAACGGTTATTTCAAATAATAATGTTGTACAAGGAAACAATTTTTGTCCGTTGTGATATAGTCAGTGGGTTTTGTACACTCTTTGAGGACAAACCGCATGTCACCTCGGGTGCCATGGACTACAACACAGCAGACAGCATTTGTACAGTGTACAGACCGTGTTGTCCCTGTCGTTGATGGAGTATTTGAGTCTGGTTTCCAGGCCGTTCATCTGGGAGCGGATGTTGTTCAGCTCAGACTCTTTGCGTTTCATCTTCTGTTGTTCCTTCAGCTCCTCCGTCAGTTCGGACTTGCGAGTCTTGAGATTGTTGAGAGACTTCTCATCCCAGCGACGTGCCTTGGCCTTCAAATCACTGCTCCAGGGAAACAAGAACACTAGGAAATAATAAACACTTCACATATGATCATTACTCAACCGCTCCTTAGCGGATACGACGTTTACACATTTCCAAAAAATCCCAAGAGCGTCAACGGAACCCACATTTTCAGAATTAGACCTTCTATACATGCTATCTGCTTTCAACATTGATTTTACAAAGAATCAATGATGCCTGCTGAACAATTAATTAATGCATTGCAAGAAGCCTATCACATAATCACATCCCTGAATTTCACTTTGGGCGAAGAGGCAGTTTTTGTAAGGTGTTGGAAGAACGTTAAAACAGTGCGTGAAAGTTTTGCTGAACAGAAATTTAATAAAACTGCTGCAACTGCTTACTGACTGGATTGACCTGAGATTTACAAATAAAAATTAAAATTAGGGGGCCTAAAGTTTTGGATCCTGGCAGGACCTTGCTCAATGCAAAATAACAGCAGTACAGAAACAAGAAAGTACGGGTCACATAAGCATGCCAGGTGGAAACAAAAACATAAAAGAGGGATTGGGCAAGGGGGCTGGAAGGTGGCTAGAAGGGACCAAAGGTGTGTGGCAGTGGGTAAAGACCAAAGGGGACGAAGACAGGATCAAGAAGTGGTGGGGCGGGGGAAGAGAAGAACGGTGCAGAGGGAGAAGCAAAGAAGAGCGGTAGTGGATTAGGTGTTAGAAAGTATTTCTGTGTAATTGTCATTTTGCCTTTGATATTAATAATAATAATTTCGATTTGCGGTAACACCATGTGGTAATAACTACTGCTTAGAAGATATTTAGTTCTGAAAAGAACTTGTCCTGCTTATTATCAACTTTCGCTAAGTAGTTTTTGTTCTGATAAGAACAGTCCTGCTTTAAGTTCTAAAAGAACTTGTCTTTGGTCTCTAGATCTTAAAACAGGACTGTTCTTATCAGAACAAAACTACTTAGCAAAAGTTGATAATAAGCAGGACAAGTTCTTTTCAGAACTAAATATCTTCTAAGCAGTAGTTATTACCACATTACCGCAAACCGAAACGATACCGATACTCCACCATGCAAAGCCTCAAATCTTACATAATAATAATAATACCGGAGTCTTATATGGCACACATATCCACCAACAATTAGGTACTCAAGGTGCTGGGAATAATATTTATCATTAAAGAAAGGTAAATAAAGTTTATGAGAAATATGAGACCCATTATGTAGCACCTTATAATGGTTTACAAGGTGCTGCGGCGCATATTGCAGCCACTGCCAGAAACACTGGGGCAAACCCCTTCTCTTAGCGATAAGTATTACTGGGTTCTTTAACATGCATTACACAACACACAGGACCTACGGCTTTGCTTCCCATCCGAAGGATGAAGCAATCATGGTAAAGTGCCTTGCTCAAGAGCACAAACACCATGTTCCAACGGTCAGGATTCGAACTCATGTGCCACGGCACACGAGTCGAACACTGTAACCATTGGAACACAGCACCCCTTTGAGAAATTTCCTGCCACAATGTGAAACATTAGGCCCTCGAATTTTAAAGAATTGAACCTGTACTCCCATCTTTATACTCCTCTCATTCAATAAACTACCAGCATATCACCATCCGTCTGTCTCCCATTGACTCAATTCCTACTGACCTGGCTCCTCCAGAGATGACCCCTGATTTCTGGAACATGGTGCCATCCAGTGCTACGGCCTTGTGACGCTCAGCCCCACCAAATGCAATCTTCCTGGCATCTTCCACAGTCTCACAGACTAGAGCGTTACCGCAGGCATACTGCAGAGCCTTCTTGATGTTGGGAGGATCGTAGCGTAGGACATCAATTACGAGCTTGACACCTCGGGGATCGCGAATTTCTCTGTTAAATACCAAGCATGCAACTGGGAATTTTATAAAACAACCAGGACATTCCAATTTTTTTGCTATTTTTCTAGCAATACAAAAGTTATTCACTTTTAATGCGACATCAACCGAAAAAAATTGGCCCATGTTTAGTTATTCAAATTATCACATTACAATTTTAAATTATTGACAGCCAGAAAATAATTCCGTTCTCGCGGGGTAGGCTGATTTCTGCCCAACAATTAGTATCGACAATGTACGGACCGGGAGCGAGTCTGATCGCAATGCCTGGGTGGGGGGGGGGGGGGGAGGGAAATGGGGCTTTTTGGTTGGAATACCAAACACAAGTTGAAAATTAAAAAAAAACAATTGAGTTTGTTTGAAGAGGACAGGGAATGCAACATTATGAAAGGCCTGTGTGTTCATAACCTACAGGGTTTTCCCTCAACCATTATTATTTTATGAGCACTTTAAACTCTGTGCTGACTGCTGTACGCACTGCTATATTTAGATTGGTTCGGTTTGCATTAGAAAGCTGATGGTTAGAATAGTCTGAATCCCGCATAACAAATCTGATGGAAGTTTTTTCTTGCAGGCCTTTGGACATACATGTAATAATATTTAGCAACTCAAGGGCAAACCCAAACATTACAAAATGAAATTGCCCATTCCCCAATATTTCATTGTGCGAGTCACAATAACGATCTTGTTTATTTGCACAAAGTTCTGATATATCTTGGGCCAATTTCATTTGAAGCACAGAAATTTGCTAAGCATGAAAAATATTTGCTTAGGAAAACAGGTTACCAGCCAAACTGTCACGCTATGTACATTGCTTGTAACTGGTACTTGCCTGATTTATGCTTAGCACATAAAATTTGTTAAGCATGAAAAATATTTGCTTAAAAAAACAGGTTACCAGCCAAACTGTCACACTATGTACATTGCTTGTAACTGGTACGTGGCTGATTTATGCTTAGCACATAAACCCACTAAGCGCTATTTTCTGCTTAGGAAATTTGGCCCCAGGCCTTTCCTACCTCAATCTGTCATTGGTGGGCCTGACCTCGATGAAATCCAACGGTAAGAAAGTCTCGGGATCCGAGCGTTGCTCCTTCATGTACTGGATGCAGTCACGGGCAGTCTTCTGGGAGTCAACGATGATAGCATCCATGTTCTTACCAAGGACCTTGGTGATTGCAATCTGGTACTTCTTGTTGGTCGGCTCACAGAGGTCAATCAAGCGGCCATACTGGAGTGGATTGAAGGGCATAATATATCAGCAATTTTGATGTGTTAGTTTTCACCAATCCTACTAACATCAAAATCTGCCGATTTTCAACAACTAGATTTCGAGGCACTGCTTGACAATAAGAAGATAACTTGTGCTAGCAGAAGAGTCCCGCTAACTATAGCAAAGAAATTGTGCTGATGCTGAGCATATTTAAAGCTACAGTCCATCATTTGCAGATATCCAAAAAGTAACTGATGTAATTATTGTTGAAAAACCATTCTTAGGTGAAAGATAGTAAGGGGACTAAACTCCCTGTGAATTTATTCTTTCTGGCAAACTGTAATTTTGAAGAAATCAACAAAAGAAGGCCTTTCCAAAGACGCACCATTGGAAATTTCCGTTAGTAGTTTGTTTTTTTAATTTGGCGAAGCGCGTGCCAGCGTTGGCACGTCATACACACGGTTGCTATTATTCGTCAGATCGGTGCGCGACACCGTGTAGCTGCAATCGGCTCAGTAAAAACGTGTCTCGGACACTGAATTCAGCCCAATTCAAAACATGATTCAGCAACTTTTTAATTAAAATCGAGATCCTAGAATGCTGTTTTTCTCGGAATACACAGCTGAAGCTGAGCTGAAACTTCATCAGGTTAGTCGTTCAGCACCCTTCTTTTGATTTTGAGCACGTTTGTTGCTTCAAACGAACAAAATGCACAAATTACAAAAGATGGCCTGTACCTTTAATGGTCTAAACCTGCTAATGTTTACGCACCCTAGTGCTGCAGCTGAACTGAGAACCATACCAAAATTTACTGAACTTAGCGTCTCCGAACCAAACTCAATTGTTCAGTTTGGTATATTCAGAAACACAATCATCGTTATGTCATTTCAATTTTCATCTATAACACATCCCTATCTTTGTACATAACAAGTTTTAACCCAACCGGACTTTTAGTTCTCTAAATATAACTCTGAAATACAAGTATGCATCTCCAAAATGGAGTTACGTGACTCATGATGACGTCATCATAAAATACATCTCCGGACTAAGGCCTTTCCTTGTGGTGAGGTTGATTAAGATCTAAGCTTTAGAAGTAGTGAAAGTGACTGGCAGAAAAATCTGTACAAAATCTATGGGATTTGGGATAGACCAAAAAGAAGTGAAGAGGAAGAAGAAACACAACAAAATCAGAACAAAAACAAAGGCTGTTCCGAAGATTGTGGAAAAGCCAAAAAAGATCTGGTGTAAAAATGGTAACAGTGGCAACGCTGCTTACCACTCCAGAGAAGAGTCTCTTCAAGTTATCAATCAGCTCTGCCTTCTTGTGACTCCGGGCGTTCTCGTGTTTGTCCACTTTAGCCTCGCCTAGCTGGTCCACAATGTTGGTCAGCTCTGTGTTGATGTTGCGGATGCGGTCGTTGGCGCCCTCCACGTCACCTTCCAGTGATTCGCGCAAACGCTGCTGTTCTTTGATGGCCTGTTCACTGGTCCTGATTGGATACAGAATAGTGACGATGGAAATATGTGACCTCCATGCAACAGAAATCGTTCTAAATGTCAAATTTTCTCCAAAAGTATTGAGCCTGAAGACTTTGGGCTTGTTGCGTGTCGTAGCCTTACTCTCCGCTTTCTAACCATGTATAACTTGCCAGTGATTTCTCATTTCCAGATACATTTTTATAAAGTTAAGCCAGTATCGTGCAGGCCAGGGCCGAGGCAACCGGCTTACATATGTTATTTTCTACACGTAACAGAAATCGGCCAAGAAGTTTGTTCTGATTATCAAACTTTCTCCAGAACTATTGGGACTGAAGACTTTGGGCTTGTTCGCTGATCCTGAATGGATACAGAATGGTGATGACGATAATAAGTGACCATATAACCATGGTTCGACCTTAGTGGTAGCCCGCTAGCCAAATGCGAGTCAAAACAGCGGCAGGCCAGTCAAAACCATTCTCTAGTACACCCGCCTGGCGAGTCAAAATGATTGAGATAAGGTATGAAACTTTTCCGCGTTTGTTTTTTTTCAAGAAAAATATTCCTCTTATACAGACAGTATCCGCTTTTTCCACGAAGTTGCATCACAGGATATATTGCACCGAAATCGCTAGCGTATAAATTAATGTTGAAAAGAAAAACCAAAAAAAGCAAAGAATCACAAACAACTTTATTGCAGACTAGTGAAAAGGCCCGCAGGCCAGTTTTAAGCCTGGTTCACTAGTCCCACTGGCTAAATAAGAAAAAATTGTATTTTCTGCTTTATGTATAACAGAAAACCGACCACTGAAATGTACAACTGTACTGTATATACAGTAATAATTTGTCAAAAACGTGGCGCAGACTTGGTATCAACTCATCACAAGTAATTCAGTGTACAGCCAAGTGGCAAGCAACACAAATGAATTGTGACACAGCCATTCCATCCTTTATATTATTCATCCCCATGTTACTTGTGACTGGACTCATAATTTGTCTTGGAATTTACTTGTGATTATTTTGATTTCATTGAGGAATTGGCAAGCCTTTATGCCTAAATGTTGCCACATTTCCAAAATTGAACTCTTTGAGTATGGAATTCATTGCTTTAAACAGACAGAAATAAAAACGTAACGCTATAACATTCAGGGTTATGCCTCAGCTTACTATCAATAGGGGGCGCCATTTTGAGTCATTATATCGGCTAGCCGTGTACAAAGAATTAATGTGATTGTTGACAATTGTTAAAAAAAAAAATTCAATTTGAATTTTTTTTCTCGAACAAATTTCTCAAGCATACTAAAGTAATTTTGCAGGGCCAGCTTTGAGTGCTAAAGCTTGAAGGTTACTAACAGTCAAAAGTTAGGCAAGTTAGATCTACAAATCCAACCATTTGTTTTACCTGATGTATTCATTCAGTTTCTCCAACCTCTTCTGGTTTTCCTCCCTGTATGGAAGACACAGAAAAGCAAGCTTAAATATCACTAATCACATTTACATTTGTATTTATAACACCTGACTTAAAGCGCATCACATAGTATTCACATTATTACATCTTACTATGCATGGACAAAAATACACACAGCAACCAATGTACATGATCTGTTACGCGGTACCCTCTGGAGACATGGGTATAATAGGGAACAAAATATTGAATAAAGAGCAATTTCTAAAGGCGAATACAACTCCACAAGGTTATCACGAAATAGATATATGGATTTTACTCAAAAAATAGGAATTTCCAAGGTGTGTTGATCGGTCGCAAGTTGAAGTATTTTATGTAAGGGATATTAAGTCCGAATTTCAGCCCAGGAAATTAATTCTGGTTAAAATAGGAACATTTTGAAACGACACTTTCAAACTCAAAAAGTTTAGTACACGAGAACAAAGAAATGACTCCACAAGGATACAAATTCCAGTATGTATGCATACGGGCGTGTGTGCATTGGACATATTGTTCTCAAGGGCTACAGCATTTTATACAAACATTTCATGGGGTTAGTTTGGGAAAGTGAAAGTAAATGTGCGACTCGTTTTAAAATTGAAAAGGAAGTACATTTGAATTGGATTTTGGTTAAATTAATTAATGAAAAAAACTTAAGCAGTATCTGTGGGTGAGGCATTATAAAACATATTCATAAATACCTCAGACAGTTTAGCTATTCCTATTGGTCGAGAGCCCGTCACGTGGCCGGTCTTAAACGGAAGATAAAGACATGGCTAGCTGGTCTTAAACACTTTTCCAGTGTCACAATAAAATGTGGACTCCTAAAAATCCAGTGCCTCTTACCGTTTCATTGGTTGAACGTTCACAATCCTCACGTAGGCATGCGCAACACTACAAGCGAGTCAGAATTTTATAGTTCTAAATTCAAAATGCAACGCCCCCGGTGCGTTCTGCGTGACATCGCGCAGAACATGTTACGCGCGCGTCAATCTCCATAAAAGGGTTGTTTACATCTTACTCGCCAGCTGAACACTCCATTATTTTGCTAGAGGGATGTTTCAAAAAGCATGAAGTGAACTTGTTGAACAAAATCGGGATTTTTTGAACGAATTATTTGATATTTTTTTACGGATAAGGTATTTATGAATGGGAATAAATATGTGCTCGGTCGGTATTTATCACACTGTTTAATACCGCTTAGAGTCTGGGTGCTGATAATTACCCTCGCCTCCGGCTCGGGTAATTATCAGCACCCAGACTCTAAGCGGTATTAAACGAGTGATAAAAACCTCCGGAGCACACATTTATTCCCTTATTATAAATTGCCTTAACTTTATACGATACAATAAAACTAGCCTTCCACAGTGATATACTCATAGCAGTCAGTACTTGTAAAAATTTAACATGTTTGGGAACTTAAAGGTACAGGATCATTTGCATTTGTCATAATTTCATGAAATGGACAGATATAAGGGCTATTAACCCTTACCCTACTTGACCCTCCAATGCATGCCAATTGTGCCTCAAGAAAATCTCCTATGTTTTTTGCATGGCCCTCCAATATCTGCCATGTCATTTCAAGGGTAACTGGACAGGCACTCCAATACATGCCACAGAGAACAATGAGAGTCCTCTGATAACAAAGTGAGTGCCCCCAGCTGGTCAGTATCAGGCACCCTCCAGGGCCTCCAACTCCTGCCAATTGGAGCCTTCACTGTTAAGACTTGTTATCTGCCAAATAACTGCAGCTGGAGGGCATTGGCATAACCAACTGACATGCAGTAAACTACCCTCAGAGAGTAAGGGTTAATTTATAACAGACGTCGTTCCACTGAGCTGTTTAATGTTTTTGTGTCCATTGGTGCTGGAAAACTCAAACAAAAAACACAGTTCATTTCAACCGTCAAAATGCAGAGGGAAAGTAATAGGTCTTGTTCAAATGACGTCATTTCCTACAGACCATCCATGTGCATCGGCTTTTTTAACTTCAACTTGCATAACGCGCATCAGCCGCGTCATATTTCGAACACATTCCGAGCAACAAGCGCACGTGTATGGAACATTTTCAACACTGCGCAATGCGTGCTAGATTACGTAAAATATGCAGTTGCACTTCTCCTACAGAAATGGCCGTCATTGAACGAGCCCTATACATACACATAGTGTACCCGAGAGTACGCATGACGTTAACAGCTGGCTCGCGGCCATTTCACGAATGTAGTATTTCAGAAAACTGTTCGTTCTCAGCGATGATTAGGTTCTAACCACCGTTAGTACTGACACAAAACTCCTCTTAACTTGAGAATGACAGCGTACCAGGCTCCACGATTTCGCAGGACGTTTCATACTATGGTCTTCTTTCAATCAAGTGGACTTTTTTATATTATATAACTGGCATACATATATCCTTGTCATTTGATTGGTGGAACTCACATCACGTGACATTCGTTATTGCTCCCATTCACGCCGCGGCTCAAAATGTACTATCCGCCCATGGGGAATGGGAAATACTATTGAACAGTTAGGATCATTCTTGTTCCATGGCACGGTATTTGTGTGCAAATGCATGCTGGTGTGCGCGTTCAGCTATAGCGTTGGGTTCAAACGTTTTCGTGAAGGGGTGGTTTGGAAGAGAGAAATACATTTTCCTCAAGTTTTGTATTGAAATAAAAGTTCAAATATGTCAAATGACAAGCATCTATATGTCAGTTATATAAAACAAATATTGAGTGGCTTTCAATTGTGAAATGGGAGGAATATTATTGCTCGGTAAAATCTGGACTTTTCCAGTTTCACTCTGAGCCACTCAATATTTGTACAGTTTTGTTTTTGAGTGTCAGTAAATGATCCTATATGCCTTAAAAAAAAGACTGCCAACCTCTCATGTTCTTTCTGTCTGATCTTGGCCTGTAGTTCACTCTTGCGATGTTTCTCATTCTCTAAGCGGTCCTGGTCAGACTTCTGGTCTCGATTCAGCTTGTCTAATTCCTGGTGGAGCTGAGAAGCTCGGATGCCTGCCTCTTTCTTCAAGCGGTGATACTCATTCACCTGGATAAGAACCAAAAAGTATTAGTCAGAGGTTAACATCAAAGTATTCAAACATCAAACATCAATTGCCTTGCTCCATCCAGAAGTACATGGGTACATGGGTCTGAACCCAGATAAGGGGAACATGGTGTTTGTGTTTTTGGGCAAGATACTTTACTACAATGGTCTCTCTTCACCCAGGAGTATAAATGGGTACCTGTGACGGTAGAGACCAGATTGCACTGATCTCGAGCTGCTACAGAAATAATGGTCTCATAGCCTGACAAAAAGGGACAATTGTGAAGCACTTTGAGACCTTTGGTATAGCACCATGTTATTGTTGTACTACTTATTTGGACACCAAAATAGTCTTGTTGGGACATTTGGTGAGAGACAGCTGGCTGCCTTGTATCTCGGACCTACCTGTTCCTCTTCTAGCTCCAGATCACGTCCCTGGCTCTGACTCTCCTCTTCAATTCTCTCCTCATACTCCAATCGCTTGGCTTCCACTGCCTCCAATTCCGACTCCAGCTCCCTGATCTCTCCCATGTGACTCTCATTGGCCTTCTTGGCACTCTTCAAGGATTTCCTGCAATTTACATACAAGTATATCAATACATCACTTTGATAGTTTTTTAACAGTACATCTCTAATTTTGACCAATGTCGGAGCAAAACCTGAGATAAAACCAAAGTTTCACTTTGCGTTAACTATTACGCAGAACTTTGGTAAAAACACCTAGCAGATGTCTATTGGGTACCATGCAGCATATTTTAAGTCTTTGGATCTTCATAATAAACTGGTGCCCTGTGTTCCATCTTCTATTCCGTAATTTATTAGACAAATATCAGTGACTCGAATTGACTTTAGCATAAAATTTGACTCGACCTTATGACTCGACTCGAGTCACCTCCTTAAAATGACTCGACTTTAGTCACAAACTTTGTTGACTTGTTACAACTCTGAGAATCAAACAAGTAAAGTGTTCTTCGAACCAACTATTAGATACTTTTGGATTAGGCGAGGATTAATCAATTCCAAAATAAAATAAAGAAAATACTGAGCACAAACGAGTTGCTTACTTGGCGGTTTCCAGTTTCTTGATCATATGAGAGGTTTTCTCTTTAGCTTTGATGAAGAGCGGTTTCTTCTTGTTCAACTCCACTTCCTAGGGGGATGGTAAAATTAACATGCTTCTTATACACACTGCATCACATCCTATGTTTCAACTCTCTTGAATAAAGATACAGTCACTTATGTTATAGTCTTCTTAAAAAAATAATAATTCAGTCAGAAGCATTTGAGGAGCCACTTTAACTTTGTTAAGAACCTGAACATGTTTCAGCTCCTCCTTCTGATCTCAAAATGTAATTGTTGTAACATCTAGTATTGTTTTGTGATTACAATCATTAATATTCCCATCTATGAAAAAGTTTGAATAAGTGCTCTTCCCTAGCCATAGTCAGTGAAAAACAAGAGCTGTTTGGATACCCTAAGTTGAAAACATGAAATTCTGTGCGAATGCACATTTGTGTGAAACTAATGTTCAAACACCAACAAGACATCGGACTACAAGCTCATAAAGGTTCAGCATGAAAAAAAAGGGAAAGCAATTACAAGTTGATGACATTGGTATCAATATTGAGGAGGAGAAGGCTCAATATTATTTTAGTATACACGCATGATCATACGTAAAAAGGAAAGAAACCAACTCGAAGCTTTAAAGTGTTATAATGGGAGTTTAAAAAAAAATGATTTAAAAAAGAACCCACATAATTATGATAAAATCTTTGCTTGGCCATTAAAAAGGATGTTTTCCAGATGTTAAGACAGCTTAATACATTCAAACAAAATAGAAAGTTCCCCCTTCCAATACTTTTTTTCTCTATCTCAAAAAATACTGATCACCTCTCACTTAAATAACGACTAATCAGTACAGAAATTCCTAAGCAAACCAGCCATACTCTTTATTTGGCCCAAAACAGTGATAATGTGTACGAATTTATGCAATTTATGACAAATGATACCAAAAACAGTTGCACTTTTGTATACGTGCAAGTTGTGGTTCACACTCACCTTGCACGTATGCAAAAGTGCAACTTTTTTTCGGTACCATCTGTCATGAATTGCATATTTTTGTACACATTATCACTGTTTTGGGCCAAACAAAGAATATGGCTGGATTGCTAAGGAATTTCTGTACTGATCAGTCATAATTTGAGCAAGATGTGCCCAGTAGTTTTTTGAGTTAGACAAAAAAGTATTGAGGGGGGGGGGACTTTCTTTTTTGGTTGAGTGTATGATCTCATTACCTTTTTAGAGATATGGTGGACACAATAGGAGGGCCCTAACTTTCCCAATATTACCAAAAGCAAATAGCACCCTCTTCTTGTGTACGCCGAATCTCCAATAAGCTAACTCATGCGATCTAAGTTTATCAAACAAACCTTTTCACGTGTGTCTTTCTCTATTGCAGCTAGTTCTCGTGTCAGTTGTCCCAACTCTTTCTTCTTATCTCGGATCCTGTCCTCCACTTTGTCTCTCCTATCGCTGGCTCGGTGGAGTTCGTCGTTTCGTCCCTTCAGCTCCTCGCTGAATCGCTTGATGTCATTCTGGTTGTGGTAGAGCTTGAACAGCTGGTACTCCAGTTGCATGTCAAGCTGGGTGGAATTTGGAAATAGATGTCAAACATATTTGGAAAAAACTGACATGGCGCCATTGAGAGACGACTAGGCCAAAGCTACGTGCTTTACAGCATATCTGTCTTTAACTCTAACTCCCTAGGCATTTTTGCTAGGATGCAACCTCAATCCTGCAAAATCCTCCAACTGCCTCCATGTACAAATTGCATACAGTCTCAATCCTGCAACATCCTACAGCAATTGCCATCAATTTGTTGAGACAGAGCCAGTGACATCCTGGAGAAGTGCAGAGGATTTCAAGCATAATGTAGGCCTAAATTTATGCACAGCTGAGCATAAACAACACATGGTCCTGCCTAAGACCTTGACACACTGCATCCTCCAAAAGTCGGCAATACATTTTTGGCATGCACATGTAGCCTCAATCCTGCAAAATCCTCCATTTTGCAAAGAGGAATTTGCAGGATTTTGGAAGGCTAGGATTAAACATGGTTTGGTAGAGATGCGCCAAAAATTGAAACATGACGATCACAATGCGCGTGAAGCTAATGAACAACTTGCAGCAACGTACTTGTACATCACTCCATGATTTCTAAATCTGCCAACAGAAAATTTCATTTATCATTGATTTTAAAAGGGAAAAAATCCACAACCCTGAACTCACTTTTTTCTTTACACATGGGATCACATTGTATGATGATGAAAATTAGCAGTGCTTAACCTACATTCTCTACATGTAGTTCACCTTCTTCAACATCAATGGCCATTGCATAAAACCCTCAAAGTTTATTCTAGAGTAAGCTCAGAAAATTGTCCGTCCCTGACAAAGCCACAAATATCCGTCTCTTTAGTTTTAATCAGTGACGTAGTTGAGTGTGGAGTGCTGTGGCTTCGTGGTTGAGGGCACTGGATTCATGGTCTGCAGATAAAGCTGCAGGTTGTGGGCTCGAGTCCAGCCTGGGGTCGTGGTGCATGTGCCCTTGGGCAAGACACTTTGTCACGCATTGCTTCTCTCCACCCAGGAGTAAATGGGTACCTCCGAAGGTACGGGCCATATGCGCTGATATCGAGCTGCTGCAGAAGTGGTCTCTTGGCCTGATGAACAGGGGTAATAATTGTAAAGCGCTCTGACACCTTTGGGGAAAGGCGCTAAAGTCCATCACAAGTAGGCTCACAAGTCCAGTCACAAGCAGGGCCTAAATCACAAGTCCTTTCACAAGTCAAGTCACAAATACCAGGAATGTTTTTTTTTAACTGTTGATTTGAATAGCTTGTGACATGACTTGGAGACTGGATGACTGTGATGGACTTGTGATGACTTGTGATGGACCTAGTAAAGCAATGATTTCAATGATTTGCTCTCTCATTTTACAAGTGACGGAACCCTTGCAACTCACCAAGTCTTCCTTGAGTTTCTGATAGCGATCCATCTCTTCTTTCTCCAGCCTGGCCTCCTTGCGCTCGGCAGCAATGCCTTTCTTCTTGTGATAGTTGAACTGCGTGTCTTCCTCTGCCTTCAGCATCTCCGCCTTTCTCTTGTCATAATCGCTCTTCAGCTCCCCCGATCGGCTGATCTCCTCAAAGAGCGCCGTGCGTTCCTTGGGGTTCTTCATGGCGATAGACTCCACTGCACCCTGCAATGGTAGTTAGTTTCATTAAGAACGTTTTGATTCTTCCAAAGTGCACCACTGTGATACATTCTTTTAGGGCTGTTGATATTCGCTTCACAGGAAGAAGTACTGGAATTCACGTTTGAAGAAAAAAAAATTGTGTAATTGTGTAATTTCTTGGTAGTGGTCCGTTTAATATTTGGTAAATGTATGAAATGTACTGAACCGAAAATAAAATTGTATCCAATTTTGCAAATGTGCAAAATTCATGGATGTGGAGTGGAACATCTGTAACCTCATGCAACTATTCTTTCCATAGCACATACGTGAAACATTCATTATTTGTTTTATACAACTCCTAAATAAATCCTGATTATCTGATTGGTTATAGTGTGACCATGCAATGGAACTTCTATTTCCCATGGAATGGAACTTCTATTTCCCGTGGAATGGAACCTGGGTTGGGACCCATACTTCAATGACATGTGATCAGCAACCCACCAATCAGATGATAGGGAATTTATTCAGGCGTTGTATAATCATCCATGTCCATGCCAATAATTTACCAAAATGGTGAATATTAGCCAATTCGATATGCTGATCCAATAGCCCTATTTGCTAAGCAACTTGGCGCCCTCTAGAATTCCTATACACAGTTAAAACTTTCTTTTCCAAGGATTCCTGCATTGATCGAGCAGCAATAAGGCAACCATTATAATCATCATGTCACTAACCTGGAAAACCAGAAAGTTTCTGGCTTTGATGAGGATGCCAATTTTCTCCAGCTTTTCTGTGTAGTCGGCCGCAGAAACCACTTTGTTGTTGATACGGTGTTCCGAAGAGGCTCCCATAATGCTGTAGAAAAACAGTACAAAGGATTGTCAAGTAGAGTCCAATGTTACTTACATGTATATACCATTTCTTCTGTAGATGTTCACACATGGATCACTACCTATCAAATCAATAATGGGGAGACTAAGAACTGACCAGACACCGAAACCGACCCGACTGAACGCGACAAACGCGGTAAAACCAAGCAATTAAGAGCACCGGACTCATGCTCTGGTGTTTCAGAGGCAACAGTGAGGTGGATTCGAGCCCGCCGGCGGACACTTGTGCTCTTAAGCAAGGCACTTAGCCATTATTGCTTCGTCCTTCGGATGGGACGTTAAGCCGTAGGTCCCGTGTGTTGCATAAATGAACCCAGTAAACACTTATCGCTAAGAGAAGGGGTTTGCCCCGGTGTTTCTGGCCTCCTGTATAAACTCCAACATGGAGAATTTAGGAGAAGAACCAACCAAAACCGACATGACGTGAAGTCTGATTCAGGATGGGTTTGCACAACATTATTGCAGACGCCAATGGTAATAAAAATGTTGGTTTTTTTGGTCATTAAAATAAAACATACAATTTGTTCATTAGGGGAAAAAACAATTTGTTGAAGAGTGGACATTACATTTTTTAAGCAAAGTGTAATGGGCTCTGTGCACAAGTACACCGACCATGGTATGAAAGGGAGAGACCACGGTTGGGAGAGACATTCAAACGCACTGCCGATGACAACCGACACTCACACAAAGACGCTATGGCTTTGTACACATTCACAATAGAGTTAGTCGTGCGTACTTCGCGCCATACGCACTCAAACAATTATGCACATGCGGTGTCTCCGCACACTAAAACTCTCGAAAGGGGAAAAAAGCACCCTCTCTCATTGGCGCATGAAGCCCTTAATTTTACCCTAACTCCCTTGGCCTTTTTGCTAGGATGTAGCCTCAATCCTGCAAAATCCTCCAATTGGCCTCATGGAAAAATAGCATATAGCCTCAATCCTGCAAATTCCTCCATTATTTCTTGAATATGGTCCATGGAGGGGTGACCACTGCCTGAATCCTGCAAAATCCTCCGGCTATGACTGTCAATAGGCTGAGGCAGAGGCAGTGACATCCTGGAGCAGTGCAGAGGATTTCAAGTATAATCAAGGACTAAATTTATGCATGGCTGAGCATAAACAACACAAGGTCTGGCCCAAGACCTTGACACAGTGCGTACTCCGAAATCCGCAACGCACTTTTGCCATGTAACCTCAATCCTGCAAAATCCTCCAATTTGCAAAAAGGATTTTGGAGGATTCAGGGCGGTTAGGGTTAAAGAGAACAAAGATGTTGCTTTTACATTCTGGTGAAGTTGGTCTCTGTTCCGTCCTCCTCAGCATAGACAGCAGTTACAGTTGCTCGGTTGGAGGCTGGCTTGCCAATGGGGGCGCCGTGGATGAGATCAGACAGACGCTTCACTCGCAGATTAGAAGTTCTCTCCCCAAGGACAAAGCTGATTGCATCCATAAGGTTGGATTTGCCTGAAGTAATTAAACGGGAAAACAATGTTTATCGCACATTCAGGGGTCAAAACACTAGTGTTCTCCAACCTGTAAAAATAACCTGGTGCCCCGCCATGCTTTCTGAGACACCCGCCAAGCTTCAAAAGTTGTTGCCATGCTTAAAAGTTGCCCACCATGTTTTACAAAAAAATAATAAAAAAGACAAACAAGTAGGACTTCCCTTACCCTCCAGGGTATATTTTGGCCAGAAATTCTGCCAAAAGCAATAACATGTAACACTTGTCAAAATGACAAGCCTGCCCATGGTAGCAATCCATCAGGTAAAACTCTCAAGGCCAAACTGCCTCAGAGTCCCTGGTCTCTGATGTCTTAAAAAAGATGATGCTGAGCCAGTATTGTACTTAACTCTTACTGTTTTAGAACGGCCTAAAAGCTGTTATCCATACACAAATGTTCATCTGCAATTAGCGCCCCCTAGCATAAAGAACTGTATGACTGCAAATAGCGCCCCTAACATATAACGCCCCCCCCCTTACGCCTTTTGACGGTGCACCGACCTTTAATTTTCAAAGTTGGAGAACACTGAAACACCATTCATAAATATCTGGGAAAGTTTATCCATTCTTATTGGTCAAGAGCCTGCCATCTGGGGAGGGGGGGGGGGTAACCATGCATTGGGGCACCTCGTCTGAGTATCATCCGTAGTTTAACAGACCCTGCAGTCTCTGCAACAATGTGTGATATATATATGTGAGCATGCAAATTTTATGCGACCACGCACACCATCCAATTGGGGTTGGCGTTAGAAATTGTGACGTCTTTTCAAGCAGCAATTCTGACTAAGCTGTTGATTGTTCAATTGGCTGCCATGTTTGTGTAATACAACAGGTTACAGCTGACGCGATATAGAAGGCGCTTGCTGAATGGTCAGAATCTGTAAGTCAAGACACAGTCTTGTTTTGCATAATCAACTGCCAAATCTGTCCACATGATCGACATCAAAAAAATAGCCAAATTTTTTTTAAAATTCCCTACCTACCTTCCCTATTTTCAAATGCCACGAAAATCAGAAACAGAACAATTGGGGTTTTTTTTGGCCTAAAAGATAATGGGATACGTTTATTCCAGAATTTAGACGAAAAAGGGCTTCAAATGTTCTAGAGCCAGAATTAAGGCCAAAGCTGAAGAATTTTTTGGAGAAAGATGCAAGTAATTTGTCTATCCTACTGCATAGCAGGCAGCAGACCCAAAAAATGATAGTGCTAGAAGGCACACGGATGCCTTCTACGTGTAGTACTAATTCTACAAGTCATTGCAAACTTGTTGAAAAGCCATGAATCTGGGACTGAGAAACATTTCCAATATTGTTAAGAAAAACTTTCAAATTGCACTCAATTCCCCATAGTAATTTGTACACAACCAAAGAAGTGGCATCTAGATACAGTCGTTTTCCTAGTTCCAGATTTGTCCTAGTAGTTCCGGATAGCTTCAAATAAAAACCTACATCTTTTCAATTGGTTTTCAATATTTTTTTTTGACGAAGTGCATTTTGAAAAGGAAAACGTAAGCTTCTTGATACACAAAAGATCTTTTCAATAAAATCTATAGAGAAGGAATTTTGACCAATTTTCTGACTCGCATTTTGTTTACCATCATTATTTTCCCAGAATATTAATCTGCCAGAGCCACAACAGTTTACTTCTAATTTTATCAGAATCCGCTCTACAGTAAATTTTTCTAACGCAGAATAGTCGTATTCTGTGTACCACATTGGTGCGAAACCCAATCTGCCCACGCGTACAGAGTACGGTGAACACGCGGTACATATACAATACGTGCATACCATTTATACTATAGCATGCGGTTAGGCCGAACAAACAAAATGGTGTGTTTACGGTAACGGTCTGAAAAAATCCGGGTAGGTAGGTAGGGAAATAATTTTATTTTGTAATTTTTTTTTTTATTTCAGTTCTGCAGGCTCATGCATGTTCTTTCGCAAAATATTTGTATAAAAACATTATTCAAGCATTCAAGATACTCAATTGATACATTTCATTCCAAATTAATTCGTACCGTCCCAGGGTTCTCCCCAGGATTTTTTCAAACCTGTGGGGGAAGTTTTGCTGTGATTCAACAACCTGCGAAGCCATGGTGTGGGGTTCGGGGCCCGCTTTTTAAGGGCCCTGAAAATTTTTGAGAGAAGATCTTGTAGGCCCTATTTTTGTAATTAAAGAAAAAAATCAAAACTACATTTACTAGTATAAGTTTCAAATTAAGAAATTAAGGTGAAGAAAAAATCCTTTTGCTTCCGTTTACATGCCTTTCAAAATAGCGTCAATAGGCCGGAAAAATTATATCGCCAATTTTTTTGGGATGCTGATTAATGGAGCATCATTGAGCAAGGAATCATGTTTATTTTGTGCCTGGATTATTTTCATTTGCCCCACGAAAATTATCAAGACTGGCCATCAAAAGTGATTAAAACGTGCCTCACCTAATGTGAGGTGGGTGATTCCACTATATGCTTAACATACATCACGGCCGCTGGTGCCGCCGACATTCAGTCTGGCCGGCCGTACATCGCGCCGTGCTCACGGCCCAGTATCAGTGTGCATTACTGCACTGTGTACAGCCCATCCCATGTGGCCGAAAATCTTGCACTACTGCAGAAACACGCTACGATGTTACGCCACAAGTTCGAGCTTTGCAATCTCGTCATTTTAATGGAAAACACATACACAGAAAATAAAGATCACATTCTGTGAATTAATTCGCAGAAATTCTCTTTCTCCATCGATGTTTGTTTGGTATTTTTACGATCCAACTTCGGCCGATGGCACAACATCATCGTGGTACGACGTTTGTGTATAGGCAGTAGTCACTGGTGACTGGTTCCAGTCCTTCATTATAGTATTGATTCCGTTAGCACGCGAAGGGAACCAGTGCACCATGCTGTATGCGCTGCATGCCTGTCAGCAGGCGGTCGACAGAACCCGTCATCGTGTGCATTTTGATCACACATGCATCAGAAAAACAGGATTTTTGTCAAGATTTTGCATGTCAAGATGAAATAATGGCGTATGTAACGATTATATTGTGCATTTTAATGGCGTGAATAATGATTATATTGTGCGTATCTGGGGCTGAAAAATGTGATCGGCATTTTTGTCGGGCCGATTTGCAGAACGCACGTTTGTACGTGGGGAGAACCCTGCCGTCCGGCAGGCGCACCAGTTCACCACGATGCGTTTGTGCAAAAATAATCGTACTTCATGTAGGCCTAGTTTGAGAATTCAAGTTTTGAGATCGTCGCGATTATCGCACGTTTGACACAGGTATGTTTGTGCCAAATCATGGTCAGTTTCAAGTGTGGAAAATGGTCTATGTTCGTAGCAAATAATTAAAAGTACTTGCAATTTTTTTTAATTTGTTCATTAAAAATGATCAATATCAATCTTCAAAATGGCAATAAAAAGTTTGAGGTCGGCAATTTGGCTGAAAAAATTCCAGGTCAGTCGGGCTACCGTAAACACACCATTTTTTTTGTTTGGCCTTACCAGCACTTGCAGTAGCACTGCATGATGCCAACGACTGACTGTGGCCGTTTTCCCAAACACTTTCTTAATATCTATGTTATTGTTAGTACATGATAGACTAAGTGACATCATGTCTGTCAAGATGCTTTTTTTTCATTATTCTGAAGCACTAACCAGAATCAGGTAAAATCATACATGACAGTGTCATGTATGATTTTACCTGATTCTGGTTAGTGCTTCAGAATAATGAAAAAAAAGCATCATTGTTTTTCAAAATCAGCAGGATGGTATTCTATGACTTTCATTCCATCGGCCCAATGTCACTTGAATTCGTGGATTAGTTGAGACTTGAGCCGAAAGGCGAAAGCTGACTGAATCAGTGAATGAATGATTCATCATGTTCATTGATTGTGATCCGGAACTAGAAAAAACGACTGTACGACATTCTTTCCATGCACTTTTGGTCAAATGACTAATGTCTAGTCAACTGAACGGAGAAGAGGCTTGAAAAAAAGTTTGCATCAAAATATAACAAAGAATCCATATCACAACCGGTTAATGGCACGTTCCGTGAGTTTTACCTGCTCCATTGGGTCCAATGATGGCGGTGAACGGCTTGAAAGGTCCGATTGTTTGTTTGCCGCTGTATGACTTAAAATTCTCTAAAAGAAGTAGCTTCAGGTACCCCATGATTTGTTTTAGGGTACTCCCGTAGACACAGCTATCTTCAGTCGATAAAATTGAATTGTTTCGCAGAATGAGCTAATTTCTTGGACAATTTCGGCACATTTTAGATCCAACTCCATTCGCGGGAAACAGCGGACAACGCATGCGCATGCGCGGTAGCATTTTTTTCACCTCATACTCGGTGAGTTCGAGTAGCTCACCCGCATCGATCTGGTAAAGGCAGACGGGTTAGCCACGACAGCCGCGCTAATCGAACGCTAAACCGCCGGTCATCACGATATCCCACGTCACGTAGCCACTGACAATACGCCGTGTCTGAGCTGACTGGGTCTTCGTTTGAGATTAACTGCTTTTCAGTCAATCGCAAAACTCAAAACAGTTGGGTTGGAATTACAGCCTCGGCGCAATTAACTCAATAAATAATTTTAACTCGGACTTCAATTAAAGTTGATTTTTGGTCTACATGAGATTTCCGCTGCCCTGCCGCCATATTTGCAGGGGGGGGGGGGTTGTTGTTGTCAAACCCCCACCCCTCCCAACCTATTGATTTTCCAAGGCCAAGTGCCCGGAGAAAAAAACCTGTCTACATTTCAGATTGTTTTGCTGATGAAAAACTCCCTGCAAAAATTCCTGGATCCGCCCCTAATTTGTCCGTTTTTTGTTTAATGAACATTGTATCTGTGTGACTAACCATAGAGCAAGGACAATCCAAAGGCAGGGTCCGTCCGCGTGATGGGGTGTACGTGTACGCTATATAAGGTTTTGAACTTTACTTCCCTAGAAACATGAGAAAAATATATATCTAAATGGGAAAAAGAAATGTATTCAAACCTTATGAAATTCGGACTTTATTTCCCTTTGAAAAAAATCCTCCAAAGCTTAAAAGCCGCAAATTAGAAAAGAAAAACAAAGGTACAATGTGGTTTCGAACTCACACCCTCCGATCCGATCTCAAAACCATGCTACCAGGCAGCAGGCCCATCATAGTGTCATGGCCTAGCGATTCACCGCGCCGGACGCGTAATTTTTATTCCTAGGAGGGTTAGGGGCAATGTCATGAATAATTCATGTTTATCCATGAGAACGGACAATGATATCAACAGCATTGTTGTTAGTTACTCAACTAGTTACAATACATTAAAGCATTTTAAAGAACGGTTGTCGTCGAGCTACCACACAGTAGCCTAGTGGATAGCGAGATGAGCTATGGATACAAAGATCCCTGGTTCGAATCCACGTCGTCGCTGCTCATTTTCATCAGCAATTTTTGTTCTTCAAATTTATCACTGAGATAATTTTAAATTAAGGGGAAAATAGAACGAGAACCTAAGTCTTGCAATGATTCAAAGAAAAAACTGAATTATTCATGACATTGCCCCTAACCCTCCTAGGAAAAAAAATTACGCGCACCGGACTCATGCTCTGGTGTTTCAGAGGCAGCAGAATGTGGGTTCGAGCCATACACTTGTGCCGTTAGGATAGTGCCCTTAAGGTACTTAACCATTATGCACCTATCAACAGTGGCGTCGCCAAGGGGGGGGGGGGGGGCCAGGGGGGGCACGTGCCCCCCCCCCCTGGAAAACCTAGTGCCCCCCATCAAATGCTGGTGCCCCCCTATCCTCTGCAAAATTCTGCGCGTTGTTAAAATCATTACCTCAAAAATAGCAATTTCTGGAGAGATCTCTTCAGATCGAATTTAGCATCAAATGTGGCACCATTTTGCATCTAGCCCATCCTCCGTATGCGAAAATTTTCCAAAGGGGAGGGGGGCACCCCCTCCCCTTAGACCTCTCCCCCAGGACGGCGATTCGTATCCACCTAAGTGCCCCCCCCCCCCCCCATCAAATGCTGGTGCCCCCCTGTGCCCCCCCCAGACTGAAAAGTCTGGTGACGCCACTGCCTATCAAATGTCCCCCCCCCCCCCACCCCTCGCTGCTGGTCACGTTTGGTCACGTATACGGGAAAAAAATCGCGAACGGCACGGGGCTAACCTGAGTCGATCCGGGTGAGATACTCGAACGCACCTACACAAAATCAAAGATCCTTTAGCGCCGCGCCGTAGGCGATATGAGGGCGCTAAATACAGCCATTTTTTCCCAGTACATTTTTGGAACTTTGGTACATTGAGCTCACGCGAGATACTCGCTGCATGTGGAGAGACGATACCACACTCAATCCTACGAGGGAAATCCTTACATCCGTACTTACCCATTGAAATGTGCACAAAACACCTCATTGTTGCTATGAGACAAGTCTTTTGAAAAGGCCATCTCAAGTTGACGCGCGCTGGCATTCGAACTGAAGTTTTTAACCGAAGCCGGGACTCCACTTTTATAATGATCACTTCAAAATAAATCTCCAAGCAAAAAGTTATAAATCAAAGTTGTATTGTATTACGTTTAGTGAGTTGAACCCGTTCAGCTTTTACACGGTTTAATTAGTGATCATGTAAATAACGCAGCACTTGTTTAGTTATACATTGCACTACATTAATTATCGTCCAGGTTCAAGGCTTGAAATGAAGTGGACACTGAAACATATTTTGTGCAAAATACCCGTGTATGAAAAAAAAAACTATCACACCATATTGTTTGATTGATTACTCTTGCAAGTTCACTTTCTTGTTTACATGTCCCGTGCTGCAAGCTCGAAGTTGACAACAGAGCGGGACGCTGTTGCTGTGATGTCACTTTGGGCACACATTCTACACTTTAGGGATTTTATAGTATATAAATTATTATCCCAAAGTGTGGCTCAATGAAAACACTTGTACCGACTGTTTGCTAAATAACTGCTTTTATGTATTGAATAAAAAATGAAACACCAAAAACAGAACAATATGAAAGAACTTAATGCTGGCGGCGGCGATGGAAACATTTGGTATTGAAGCAGCCGACCCCGACGCCTCTAGGATGACATCATCGTTTGACAATTAATATGCAAATTAGTATTCAAATAAAAATCAAAGAGGCACGAAAATCACTTACACAAGCAGGACATAAAATGAAAAATAAAGTTAAATTTTTCTCCAGGATGCATTTCAAGGACTGCATTTTTTTGCATTAAAAATGAGTCGCTTACATGCCCAAATGGTTCTGCTCAGTCTACAATAGATACTACACAAACCCACATCAAAGTTGCGTATCACCAGCAACATGCAGAAATGTTGAGGGCTGACAACACGCTATTATTCGACAAATAACGAAGCCTTTCAATGGTCAAGATCCAGTTCAAACTATTACAGTTTTCTTGAATAAGTTTTTATCAAAAACTTGTCATTGCGCGCGAGCGCCATTGGTTCATGTCGCAAGAGGGCGCTGTTCGACGTTAGCGGTTGCAAAAGTGCCATGCCGCGCGCGCGGCGGACGACGTACGTACGATCGACCACCCCATCCACTTTTGACAAGCACATGAGTTAAGTAGGGCGTAATCCAGGCCTTCACTATTCCATGGAGGTAGAATTAGACTATTCCAACATGCAACTGTGAAATAGTAAGTTTTTTTAAGTGTTCGTTTGATAGCAAAATACAACAATACATTAATTGATTGCTTTGGGCAACTCTGTAGAGCGCCAATAATCATATGGAACGAATTTACAAAATGTCCAAAAAGTGCACGTGCTGTTGCTGACACTGTGAGTGACACTGACAGGGACATGATTTGTGCACGTGTGAATAGACATGATACTTGATAGAGCCGGCCTGATAAACTGGAGGTCAACTGCCCCATAATAAATGTCAACTTCACGACTCATCACTGGACTTCCTCCGTTGGAAATAATGTACTATGTAGTATCCATCAGACGCCACTTCAGCGGTTATTTCTGTGGAGAGTCTAGCTCAAGAAATCTGGACAATTTGCTGGGGAAAAATGTTGCAACCTGACGCAACTTTTTTCTTCATATCATCTCAATGATTGAAGGTCATTCATTGCAAACAAGACATGAATCTGGGACTGAGAAACATTTCCAATTTTGTTAGGATATAGGCCTACTTAGAAAATTTTCTTGACACTCCATAGACTTTGTACACAATCATGGAAGTGGTGTCGGGCTGCAACATTTTTTCCTTCCTAACAAAATTGAAAATGTTTCTCAGTCATGTCAGTCCCGGATTCAATTCATGTCTTTTCAACATTTTTGCAATGATTGACCTAATTCATTTTCATTGATGATATCTAATGAAAAAAGGGCATCAGGATGCAACATTCTTTTCCCTCAATTTTAAAGCCACACAGCCATGGCAGCGAAGCATATGCTATGATTTTCCTAAGTTTCCTGAAAAGTTGTCTGAATTTGAAATCAAGACTTTTTAATTTTATTTGATCATGTTGATAGGCCTGTTTGAGATTGAACTTGAAGCTACATATTATTATAACCCCCTAAATCAATTAGTAGGGCCTTCTGTAAAAACTGGAGAAATTAAAAGGTCAGCTGCTAGAAAAGTATCCTGCTGCTGTCACCCTTTTTACCAATGAAAAGCCCTATAAACCACGCAAAAGAACTACTTGGTTTTCAAGCTAGCGATGATAATCAGTATTCCAAAACGTGAAATAAGTCTATCTCATCAGCAGTCTACCGGTATTTAATTCGAAAATTTATAAGTGGTTGGCCCTAGTGTAATTTAGGACCCTGTTCAATGTCAAGAAAACATTACATCTTGCATGTCTCCAACTGCTAAAATAGGGATGAATTTTGCATTTTCTTTAAAAGAATGCTCAAACATGTCAAAATGACTGGTTGAGGCTGGAATTAAAAAAAAATTGGATTGATAAACACCGTTTAAAAAGTATTTTAAAAATTTGGAAAAAATATACATTTAAAGCCTTTTTAGAGGGGTCTCAAACTGGACAGATATGCCATCCCTACATTATGATAGGGGACAGGAGACAGTCATGTCTGCAGGAACTGAATTTTATATTCTTTGGCTTCAAATGATTCAAAATATTTTAATTAAAGCAGTTTTCCATATTTTTTTCATTTGATGTCTCATTCAAATGTAAATAACTTGGGTATTGCTTGAAAAAATAGCATTTGATGGAAAAAACACGACGTTCAAGTGTGCGCACTTAAATACCCCCGTGCTACAGTTCCACGGTTGCTTCATAAAGCACATAGTAGACTACATGTACCACACGGGTAATTCAGTTTAGGGACACTATGTTTAACATGTAACATTTTTTGGAAATCAATGTTGTTGGCAGTCAGTTTTAAAGTATTTCAGGTCTCTTAGTGAGTCTTAGTGTCCTTTTGATACATAATTGAGATACGTTAAATCCATTATCCAATTAAAGGTATCCGGCGGAGTAGATCATTTCCAAAAAGTACATGTAACTGACCAAATCATTGTTAAAAAGCTTACTTGGTAATCCTAACCCCTAATAGTTCCCAGGACTACCCTGCTATATCTGACACAGTCGATTGGCGATGGTTACTCATCATGAGTTTCCTGCTCAATCCAACACAGCCCCACACAACCCAACTTGCCAAGTTGTTGGGTAACTGGAAATATAACATGACTGGCCTGCTCAATACAACAGAATCCAACTGTGTCTTATTTTTCAGTTTCCTGCTGGATCCAACAGAGTCCAACTTGGCATTAATTACCAGTCCCAACAGAATTCCACTCTGACTGTTTTCAGTTGCCTGCTATACAAGGGGTTTTTATGCTCAATCCAACAGGACCCTACAGATATGTACAATAGTTGGATCCTGTTGGATTGAGCAGGGTTAGGGATTATAATAATTATTATTATCTTCAAATAAACTTGAATCCTCGATCCTGATTGGTCGATCCATGGCAACAAGCCGTGCTACATATAACCATGTAGCACGGCCTCAGTCCCTACCGCACTCTGCGTATTGCGCTTTTCTAAGATGCAAGCGCCATTCCGTACAACACGCACGTGCAATAGGATAACCACTGAAAAGTTTGTGTACAGCAGGCCCTGGTGTACAGCATGCGTGCTCAATCTTTACTGTGCATCAACTTTGCTTGAAGATAAATTCGTTATCACGCTCGCGCTCATGGAACAAGGAAAATGTAGTGCGTCTGTGTCCCACATACCACTCGGCCTTCGGCCTCGTGGTAAGTGGGACACAGACGCACTACATTATTCCGTGTTTCACTCGTGCTCGCGGGATAACTTATATGATAGTAATGGCACTAAACCCCCTGCAAAATTATTCCTTCATTCATTTTGAGGAAAACAATAAAAGAAAGCCATTTCCAAAGATGAGTCAGGTGACGCATTTTTGGAAATTGCCGTGATTAGTTTGTTTGTAATTGGGCAAAGCCGTGAATGAGTGCGCGAAAGCGTTGACACAACGCACACCCACGCGCGGTTGCTATTATTCATCGGTTCAGTGCATGACATTGCATAGAGCTGCATCAGCTGAATGAGAATGTGTTCTGCAGGCTGATTTGAGGTACAATTCACAATACGACTCTACCTTTTGAATTGAAATCGAGATCTTAGAATATTGTTTTCTCAGAATATACAGCATTCACAGAGCTAAAACTTCATCAGGTTAGTTGTCAAGCACCTGTCTTTAGGTTTTGAGCACTTTTGTTGCTTCAAACGAAACAAATGCACAAATGACAAATGATCTACTCTACCTTTAGTTGCAAACCTTCCAGGTTACCAAAACTCGATTCGAGCATAGTGCGACAGGTTAAATTTCCCTTCATTCTTTTCAAAGAGATCTGCAAAAGTTACGAATCCCCTTATATTGTAGTCAATCCAGAAGTATTTTTTTTTTACCCTCAGGTTATTCATTTGTCTTGGAGAAATCCCAATGCAACACATGGCATCCAATCGAGATGACAAAGGAGAGCTCTCCTTCTCTGAGTGGTGTGATAGGAAGTTCACCAACATGTACAGCCATGATGAGTTTGCTTCTCCATGCCACAAATCCATCGGACAGACTCCCATCAAAGCACGACTTCAGATGACCCCAGCTAAACAAGATGGAAGAAATGCAGATACCGGTACTCTTGGGCATAAGGGGCACAGGAGAGTAACGCAGCCCCCATTTTTTAGCTGCTCTGATGGCAAGAAGACCAGACCTCGAGACGAGGCTCACTTGCGAGCAACGCAATCAACCAACCCTGAAAGATGGCCTAGAATCTCTCCCAAAGTGTCGCAAAAGGATGTGAAGCCTCCGTCTGCCCGATGCTGTGACAAGATGAAAAGTCTCTCGGTCAGTGACGAGGCAGGCGGGAGCGCACTTGTACATGATGATACACAGCCTGAGACAAACAAGATCTCACCAAGGAATCCAGTTAAGAAGATTGAAAAGATCAAATGCACAGTCTCTGAAGACGTTCTTGATGAGATGGGGGCAAACGAGAAAAAAGCCCGCAGAGTGTCTGTTGACAGTGGGAGCTCTGGCCAGGAGAGTCACGCCTCCAAGCGAACCTTCAGTGAACTGTCCCCAGGTAGGAAACACACCAGAAGCAGAAAGGGAAAGAAGAGGTTGAGAGGATCAGGAATCTGTCCAAAGAAAACAGAGGAGGTGCAACAACAGGCTGTTTGTAGTCCTGATGTCACATCACATGATTGGGACAATTCCAAAATGAGCAGTGGCAGTGACGTGACTAGAGTGATGACAGTTGAGGACATCAGTAACAAGAAGGCTAGTATCCAGACACAAGAAACTCTCTGCACTGCCACTAAGGAGAGATCTAGGACTAAGCCAGGAAAGAACAAAACGGTTGAAAGTGTTTCAATGCAGCCTACTGGCAAAGATAGCTCAGGAAAAGTAAAGTTTCAGATCAAGAGCAAAACAGTGTTCAGTAAAAGCATGTATGTTGATTCGTCAAGAAAATGTGGAGATGTAAGCACATCGACTGGACAGAAACTACATGTAGTGGTAGCAGGGTCAAAAATATCAAGAAAAGATTCTACAGTCGCAAAAGTGGAAGAAACACAATGGAAGGGAGACAGCATATTGACAAGTACATGTATGCATTCATCAAGTTCAAGAAGCCGAGTTGAAGCTGTTACAGGAAAGAAACAAAATGCCAATGAGGAAGGACAAAGATCTGAGTATGCCAAAGAGAAGCCTACCGAGGATAACACAGTTGCAAAAGTGAAGTACCGTAAGGACAGTAAAAAGTCAAGAAGTGGCAAGTGTCCAGAAGAGGTGCGAGTTCCATCAGGTGAATATGATGTTGAGTCTTCAGTGGACAGTGAGGGTACCAAATATGAGACTCAGTTTGCCAAAGCATGGGAGGCAGCTTTTGATGATGGTCCTCAGATATCTAGTAGAGGTGAAAAGGTCGCCAAAGAAGATTGCACTTCAAAATCAGGACCAGCCCAACCTTCTTGTGAAAAGTTATCAAAGAGTAGCAGTAGTACAGGAAAATCAGTGGATAAAGCAAAGGTACACATCGCTGAGCAGAGAAGCAAGAGTGAGGAGTGTGTAAGCAACACCAAGGAAATCCATGTAAAATGCAAAATGGAAAAACACAAGCTTAGTCCACCTACTGCAACAAGCCGTCATGGTGGCCTAGTGGCAGAAAAGAGCTCAGTGAATTCCATCCCAAGAGCAAAAGGTGCCGGCACCAAAGAAGTCCAGGATGGCAAGAAGGTTACAAAAGACAAAAGAGCTGATTGCCGATCTCCATCACCAAAAGACAAGTCATCTGTCGGGGCCAGTTTCTTCACCAAATGTGTGCTTGATTCTGTTCTAAAACCACTGTCCTTGCCTAGATCAGCAGCAAAGGTACGGCCCAAATCAGCAGAGTCAGCCAAGACCACCAGGCGCACTGACCGAACAGGGCATGTGCAGAGGAAGCCGTCACGGCCGACAAGTAAGGTACGACTGGAGCACATCTACCAGGCCTTTGATAATGCAGTAAGCATTGGTTCTGAGGAAGAAGTGGAGGCAGAACCTTTAATTGGCAAGAAATTGGAAACCAAACCTGGAAGTCAACTGAGTAAAGAATCTCAGCCAGAAACCTTTGGCATTCCGGACCACAGGCAGTCTCAAAAGTTCCACCATATATCTCAACATCAGACAGAAAACCAGATAAAGCCGCAACCAGAATCTCTGAATCGGTATTCTAATAAAGAAGCTGAGGATGAAACCATGGAATGCTGCACTAACTCTCAACCATTAACCGGGTTCAAAGTCGATTCCAGGTCTGCAAATCTGGAGGAATCTGTACAAGCTGCAAGCTGTACATCACAGTTTATTCCAAGGAGTGTATCAAGGAATCGAGAAAAAGTATCTCTTGCTGAGGGCAAAAGTAAAGTGTCATCTACACCAGCTATTGATGAGAAGAGTTCTGAAGAGGTTGCTGGAGTTTGTGTCGATGAGAAGACCATGGCCAAGACTGATTACATTGTCGATTGGCTGGATAAGCAGGATCAACCTCGGACAGAATCCAGCAAGGTCACCGGAAGGCAGGACCTGGAACCTGGCGAGGTACCGGATGACTCCTCCTCATCTGATGAAGCCTGGGAACAGCTTGTGGACAGCATCATGAAGGGAAACAATGAAGAAATCTTCAGTAGCCCTTACTGCAAGCGGGTGTCACAGCAGAAACGGCACGCCTCTGGCATCAGGTCTGTTGCCCCATTTAGATCTAGCTCTTTTCCTGTAGAGCTAGAATTCAAGCCGAGAATTTCTACAAGTCAGAAGAACGTGGCAACTGTGTCGCCCTACTACGTCCATCCTCCTGCTCCTCAGCCCATGAAATCCTCAGCGTGCACCTGGTCTGGACCAATGCCAGACTTCCTGGATGAAAACAACTCTTTGAACCCTTCCGCACGACCATTTCATCCATTCAATTCAACCCAGAAACCTTCAGATGTCACCCATTCCATGAACACCATGGGTAGCTTCTCTGCGTTGCAAGGGAAGCGAGAAAATACCAAGACAACACCAGCCAGGGTTCTTGAAAGAGCCCCTGGGGATTATCCAGGCAACAGAGACTCTAGTCCAACAATCATGCACGGCGATGCTCTCCCGGCCTCTAGTAATGCCCAAAAAATCCAACCTGTATTTAACGTCCCACCACGATTTCTCCGTCTTGCTCAGCTCCAATCTTGCAAAGGTCAGCCAGTAAACGTGCACGTAAGCTCTCGTCTGCCTTCCAGTCCAGAGTGTGTCTACTCTAAAGGAATCTGTCGAGAGAACTTGGTGTCCACATCAAGGACTCCATCATTGATACCGCAGTCATCAACCTCAAGCCTGTCAGTGATGACTTCCAAAGCATCGTCAAGATCCTGGACATTGGGCTCGCTTGGCTGGTCTTCCTCACTTACCCGGACCCCCGGCACCATCACTCCAACTAGGTTCACTCCCTGGACCAATGAGGTCTCCACTCCAAGTCCCTGGAAGACGTGCCACGCTCCCAAAGATACGTCAGTGGAGCTCTGTCCCATAGTCGATTATCCTGTCTGCTCGGTCCCCTACATAGACACCCACTGCCACATTGACTTCCTGTTCCAGCGCTCGGAGTTCCATGGCACTTTTGAGAAGTTCTCAAGGATTCATAACTTCCCTCCAAACTACGCGGGCTGTCTTGCGGTGTTCTGCACACCAGAGGGGTTTGAGCAGGGAGCACTGTGGAAGGATCTTGTGATGGAGAAGAACATCTGGATGGCTTTTGGATGCCATCCTCATCATGCAAAGAGCTACGATGGCATAGTGGAGGAGAATATCATCAGACGCATGAGACATCCGAAGGTCAGTTTGAAGATTTACTCTAAATAGAACTCCCTTGTAATACTAATAGGTGTCCCTTTTCAAAATGACAATGGGCTTCAGGGCTGCTTTTAGGAAGGATCATCTTTAGAGGGCATTATCTCCCAAAAATCATTGCTTAACCCCCCAAAAAAGAACAGAAAATGAAAGATGATAGAATAAGCTTTTAATTGACCTTGGAGAGTTGTGAGTATTTTAAATAATTTTTGGAAGTACGCATAATTATAAATTGGGTCAATAGGAGTCAATTTGCAGGTCTGCATCCTAGCAAATAATGTTATTGCCATGATACAGCGCCCTCATTGGCTAAACTATATGTTTTTATCCAATTGACATTCTTATCCAGTTGCACATTTCAGAAGTGAGCCCTCTTGTGGTCTCTTGCATTTTCGCATATTTTTTTTCTCAATTTTATATTCAAGAGTTGAAGGATAGTCAGTGGTAGAACTGGTGGTGGGAAGTTGGAGGGGGCTAGACCCCAAGGGCTTGGAGAATTTGTCTTTATTGAAAAAAAAAGTACATGTAATTTTGAAGGAAAACTAAAGGAAATTTTACGCGACAACATATTTTTTTCATGAACTCTGTCTTTAATCTACTTTATGAGACCATTCAACTGTTTTCCTCTTAAAAGAAGGGTGAAGAGATATGTGATGCAGTAATCTTGTAATTTTTTTTTCAACCTCGTCCCCAGTGCTTTCTTTATTTCCAACCTCGTTTCCAATAGTAAGCCCTGGATAGGAAACTTTCTTCCTGTATCCTGATTCGATACCGCAATTTATATAATATTAATAATACCAGATTTTCATAAACTCTGTCTTACAGAGGTAGATCAGAAATGAAGCATATGTAGGCATAATCATTTCTGGCAAAAATGACATACTCTGTAGCACAGGTAATTTTTAACAGCCGCATACATTAATAATGCTCTTAATTAACAAAATTTGTTCCGACAAAAGGGTAAATTGGTAATAGTAAATGTCTGAAGTCCAACTGTAAGTTCACTCTGGGTCTGATTGATCCGATAAACCAGATATTCAGGATAATTAAAGAAATTGAACTTTATTTTGTTTGATTAAGGGTTGATCATACAATGTGCGTGTATCTGATTAAAATTTTAAGTGGGCTTTTTTTAAACTTACATGTAGATGACAATGTATTCCTCCTTTGTGCAGTAACATTTTTCTGCTTTAGAATATTCAGGATAATTAAAGAAATTGAACTTTATTTTGTTTGATTAAGGGTTAATCATACAATGCGTGTGTATCTGGTTAAAATTTTAAGTGGGCTTTGTTGAAACTTAGCTTTGTTGAAACTTAGATGACAATGTCTTCCTACTTCGTGCAAATTGTTCCTCTTTAGAATATTAACTCAGCATAATGTAGCATCAAAATGCAATATACTATTTAATATCATGTCCCAGTGTTTCAGTTGGTCTCTTACAAATCTGCTGATTTGTAATGTTTGTTTTGCAAATTTGCAACCTCCATTTTTACCCAAAGCTTTACAGAAACAAAAACATGCCTTGAATCAAGGACCATAATATTCAAACCAAGGAAATGTTAGGCAGGGTGGTCCAACAAAAGTTTACACTTTTTCAGAGGCAGATTTCTCAAATTTGAAGCTCTAGACATGTTGAAATTGTTCCTAAACGATATTCCTAAAAGATATTCCTAAACTACAAGATCTTGGTCGTATATATGGTGAAAACGGCGTTGAAAATAAAGCTCAAGTTAAGAAATAGCGGTCCTTTACAAAAGAATAGTCCAAAACTAGTTTGTCCACCCTATGGCAGTCATTTAGACATAATTATTGCAGTTGTTAATGCGTGCAATGCTATTGTGTTGACTGTAACTTATAGACTTGTGTGCAGACAAACTGGTTTTTGACCATCTTTCTTTAAACCATTGCCATTTCTTAACTTAGGCTGCATTTTCAGCACCGTTTTCACCATATACCACAAAGATACAGTATAGTTTAGGAATAACTTAAAACAATTTTAACATGTCTTCCCGATTCCGATTATTCTGCATCTGAAAAAGTGTAAATGTTTTTTTGGGGTCACCCTTTACAGTGTAAGTATTTCTGCAGTGTCATAGTCAAAATGACCTCAAGTCTGGCAAAAGCAAATCACAAATTGTTAAAAAAGTCCAGTCACAAGTACGGTAAAGGGGGATGAGCAGATAACAGAGAAATACATTTGGCATTGTTTGATGCGAATAATATGTGCCATGACTGAGACTGAAGGACTTGCGATGCCATTGTGAGAACTTGTCTGGACTGCAACACTGCAATGCAGATTTTGTTAAGCATTCATTAATTTAGTTTATTTTAATGAATGGGAGGTTTGCGGTAACACCATGTGAATGAAATCTCTTAGTGAGTTGTGTGGTTCTGAGAAGAACCAGTTGGCAATCCTTCTGATTTGAGGTGTGATCACACCCCCACACCATCGCACACCTACATGTAAAAAGCTTCCTGAGAAGTGGGAATAATTGCACGCCTGAATTTCCCTGGACCACAGATCACACACCTAAAAAGCCACACACCTAGAAAACACACACACCTAGAAAAATCCAGGTGTGCCTTTTTCCACACACCTGTGATTTTCAAATCAGAAGGACTGCGTTGGTTCAACTCGACGTTTCGAACAGTATGCTCTGCTTGTTGTCAGTCTCCTGATCTATCATTCACATGGTGTTACCGCAAACCTCCCATTCATGGATCATGTCCACCATGCAATCCCTCAAGTCTTATTCAGTTTATTTAAGTTTGTTTTCTTGACTTCTTTTTTCGACCAGGCCATAGCATTAGGAGAGATAGGCTTAGACTATTCCAACCGTTGCACGTCCGACAGACCCTTGCAGATCGAGGTGTTTCGGAGGCAGTTGAGGATTGCCCTGCAGATGGGCAAGCCACTAGTGATCCATAGCCGGGACGCGGAACACGACACACTCAGCATCATGAAAGAAATTGTGCCGAGAAACTACAAGATCCATCGACACTGCTTCACTGGCTCCCCGCAAGAGGCTAGGTATTCTGTTGTCTGTATACATGTACTTGCCAGTGTTGTAGTCAATACCTCCTCTGAGACCTCACGAAATAAGTACTTACATAATAATAAATGATTCGAGTTCATTAAAATGTGCATGAAGAAAGACTCACAATTTTTGGCTTGTTTTCATGTAAAAGTTTGATTTTAAAATAATCCCTTTATTGACAAAATTGGATCTAAAACTGGCCTTGAAAAGATGCTTAACCCTAACTCTCCACTGTTTTTTACTAAGTACTGGACCAAGCCTGCCAAAATCCATCAATCACACAGCTTCCACTGCATGCTTTGCTTTAAGCCTCCAGTATCAAGTCCATCATATTCCATCAATATTTAGTCAAACCAGGCCTGCAGGACCAAGTCCCGGCCCCAAAATCTATCAAAATGGGGGGAGGGGGGGGGGGTGGATTTTGATGGAGTTGGGGAGGCCCTGACTCCGAAGGAAAAAAAACAGGTTGAAAGTTGACTGCAAAATTATATCGTTTTTCTTTCATCAAAGTTTCATGGCACAAAATGTATTGAAAGACTGATAGTTTGTTGTTGAATATTGTACCCGGTAGCAATTGAAAAAAAATAAAATAATGAAGTCTCGTCTCGACAGCTCTTGAAACAAATGTCTCGACTGCAAAACTGATACATGTATATTTGTCAGAATTATATTATAAACTGACTTGTGTAGGCCAAAAAAAGGGCTTCTGTTTCTGGTATGGAGCTTGCCCTAAAAGTGGTGCGGCAACGCAACGCTTTGGGTTTTTTTACCCTTTTTTTTCCTTTAAATGTTGGCTGATGACTGCATATGGTTATTATTGTTATTATTAAACAAAACAAACCAGGTAGGGTGGGAAAAGTGCAAGCACTATAAGTTGCTTTACTGGGCGACCCCTACACACCTGAAGCATCGACGAAGAACACAGAATCAAGAGAAAACAATAAAAAAAACTAAAAAAAAAAAAACTGAGAAAACAAGAACATGTGTGATCGACAAAAAACTGGACAATAATGAGCCCGACAAAATTTAGTGCAAAATATATGGAAGCCAAGAGAGGCCACATAAAGCTTACATCGTAACCCCGTCTAAAAACATGTTAAAATTGTGCAGCAGCAGGATTCCAGTCAAACCAGTGAGTTTGGCGGTTTTGAGACATCATCTTACATTTAATTTAAAAAAAAACTTTTAATTTTGCCGACGCGCATGGCTACGGTGAAGCGTGTGCATACGAGAAACCAGAGACTTTTGGGGGCGTTAAGTTTCAGCTCAGTGGATACAATTTGATTTCTAGACAAAGAGAAAAGCAATCACAATTTTGGGGCGGTCTCTGGATTCAATTATTGTTTTCCTCCCAGTGAAACCATTTCAGAAGGAATAATTTCACAGGATATTTGGTACCAGTCCCATCTTCACTTTGAGCAAAGATTTTCTCATTAAATCGTTAGGTTCATTCCAGCGTAATTGCAAATGTCCCTACATGCGGTGTTTCTTACTAGATTACGTATGCGGTTAATGTCATGTCCATGCAATCAGTTTGTTTTGTCTCCGATCCGTCAATTTGGTCTTCCTGTATCTGTTTGTCTGTTGTGTGTGTGCGTATGTGTGCTTGTCAGTCTGTCTGATTTAAATATCTCATCATTTCACAGCATTTCTTTATTTAGTTATTATTTAAAGGCATCTATAGATACAAGCTTCTGCTTACAGAATATGACTTCATGTATGTGCCACAATTGTATATTTCCTTATTATAATATTGTTATTTCTTGTATATTCAATTGTGCTGTGCAGAATGGAAATAAATGTGAACTGAAAAAAAAATGTTATTACTCGCTGAATTAGTCCATAACAGTTGTTAAATTTTGTTTTGTAACTATCGACTAAAGGTGAAATTTGTCCCTCTGCAATTATTTTATATTTTGGTGTGGCAGGAACTTCTTCCAAGCCTTTCCGAATTCCTTTATTGGCTTGACGGCACTGGTCACCTTCCCCTCAGCGTTCCCAGTTCATCGCACGGCTACGGAAATCCCGCTCGGCAAAATCCTACTGGAGACGGATGCTCCGTACTTTCTCCCAAAGCAGGTACAGAAAGTACTTCAATTTACTCAAATAGAATCAATTAGAATCAGTCTTTAGCATGCGAGGATACATTGTCTAGAGGATAGAGTGGGGAAATCCTTATTAGCGACTTCTTAATATCTGGCAGGACAGATTTGTAAAAATAAGTGGCCTTTCAAAGAGCTAAAAATAAAATGAAAATCTTACTTTCTTCATTTTGGACATTTAAAATGCATTGTCTGTGCTGCTAAATTTGTGCATTAATTTTTACAAAAGCTCCTTTCTTTTCTATTTTTTTGCATCTGCAATCCTCTTAAAAAGGCTTTTATTGTTGGTTGCTTATGTGCGTGAAGGGAGTAGACTGGTTTGTGGTTATCGCATTAGCAATTCTGATTGAGGCCGGAACTAGTCTACCCTGTGTAAAGTAAAGTAAATATTACTAAACAGGGGACGATTTTTGTTGGTGGTGGTGGTGGTGTCTCATTCCAAAGTGAACAACTTTTGCATGACTAGACAACTTAGTAATTTAAGATAAGTATTTGCCTCTGAAGAAGGCCTTGCTAAGACTGAATTATCAGGACACTTTAATTCTTTGATTTTGAAGATAAATGTTGTTTGTTCAGGGTAAAATTAGAAGAAAGGGAAAACACAAGTGCCCAGGGAAATACAAGTGCCCTTCACACTCTTGAGTTTGTTAACATAGTTCATGCACTCGGGAGCAGGATGATAATGAATTTAAGAAGGCCTTGCTAAGGCTGAATTATCAGGACACTTTAATTCTTTGATTGTGAAGATAAATGTTGTTTGTTCAGGGTGAAATTAGAAGATAGCGCTGAACAGTGCACATGGTCCAGGGAAATACAATTGCCCTTCACTTGATTTCACTCGAGTTTTTTAACATAGTTTATGCACTCGGGAGCAGGATGATAATGAAGAATAAATTCAGTTTGTACAAGTCCCGGTATAGACCTACACAATTGAGAGCGATGTAGGATGTGTATTAATTCCCTCAGGACTGGATCACTCAAAATGAATCAGATTTGGTCCTAGGATCTATTTCCCCCCCCCCCCCCCCCAAAAGACTCCAATCCCGTCTTGGAAATTTTGACCCAGGAATTTCTGAGCATACATGTACATGTACTTCACTCCGTATGCACACAAGCTATGCTCGGAACTTGATCAGGTGCGAGTGCCCAGGTTCCAACAGACTGCGTATGATGTTGATAGCACCTGCCTCTACCGCCATACAGCGGCTTGGCTGCAACTGGGTCAAGACTACTACAGATTTGGAAAGTAGGGGCTGGGGATATCATTGGACACATGAGGTGCTGGAGTTGGGTAAATTTGCTAACAAATACAACTACACGCAAGTTGTGTTGAAGCATTCCCACTTTAGCAACACCTTTTTGAGTCAGATTTTCCTTCATGTGTTTCGTTCTTTATTTCATTCCACAGTGTCCTCGCGTCATGCGCTGGGCCAACCCCAGCATGGCTGTGTTTGTAGCGGTCCGCATCGCTCAGCTGAGAGGCATTCCCTTAGATGAGGTTCTCTACGCCGTCCGTAGGAACACCACAGAGATGTATGGTATCTAGGAAAAAAAACCACATCAGGTGCAGGAAGCGTTGTGCTAGTGAAGATAGATTAGGCTTGGGCAACTCCTTAATTTTTGGAATCGATTCCAATTCCATTCAGGAGTCAAGATTCCATCCGGAATTAATACCAAATTTACCCATCAACAAAAGCCGTGCGAAAAAACCTCTGTACATGACTAATGAGCTACATGTATATTGTTGAATCACTAACGCAAATTAGTCATTTAGAGGGGTAATCCTCTTAAAATATGCAAATCTTTCGTTTCAAATTGCCTGGAATCTCTTTGGTGGACTGGAACTGTTACTACTGGCAATCGATTCATCAAAAAAGTGGAGTCTCAATTTTCATTTTATTCTAGAGTTGCCAAAGTGTAAGGAGTCATCTTATTACAGGGGTGTGAAATCTCAGCTTTAAAGCTGATTTCAGCATTTTTTGTTTTGGATTTTTGCTTTTTTTCCCCTCACTTGCTGTGTACAAAATATTAGGAGATTTCCAAAGTTCAGCTTTTTTACACCTTTTTTGGCTGTTTTCAGCTATTTTTATCAGTGGTCACTCACACCCCTGTTACTATTCCGGAAAGATTGCTGTGGTAAAGTTACTGGCACTGTTGAAAATGATAACTTTGTTCAGGGAAGTTTCCTAGGAAGTTGTTCAGAATTCTTCAACAATTCCCAATACAATTTTGCCATGCTGATAAATGTTACACAACTTATTCCAAATACTTTTTGAGTTGCCTCAAATGTAGCCAGAATGACACCAGTACGCATAGTGATGGCACACGACTAACTGATGAAGCCAATTCCAAATTCATTTGGAAAATATGTTTGTTGCCTTTTCTTACTTTATTACCTAATGGTTAAAAAGGGGCCTCCGATTGCCCAAGTACTTAATTTTCACAGTTGAAATGACAGCAAATCAGTAACTCTGTAATTACTACGATGATATCACCATTAAAGCCAGAGTCCATCATTTGCAGCTATCCAAAAAATAACTGTATTTATTGTTGAAAAACATACTTGGTTGAAAGATAGTAAGGGGACTATGCTCCCTGTGAAATTATTCTTTCTGACAAGCTGTCATTTTGAAGAAATCAATGAAAGAAGGCCTTTCCAACGGTGCGTCTTAAGAAGCACCGTTGAAAATTAGTAGTTCGTTTTTTTCAATAGGGAAAGTGCGCGCAAGCGTTGGCACAACGCACACACACGCGGGGTTGCTATAATTCGTCGGATCGGTGCGCGACATCGCATAGCTGCAACGGCTCAGTGAGAACGTGTCTCGGGCGCTGAATTCAGGCCCAATTCAAAACATGATTCAGCAACTTTTGATTTGAAATCAAGATCCTAGAATGTTGTTTTTCTCGAAATATACAGCTGAAGCTGAGCTGAAACTTCATCAGGTTAGCTGTTCAGCCCCCTTCTTTAGAATTTGAGCACTATTGTTGCTTCAAACGAACAAAATGCACAAATTACAAATGATGGACTATCCCTTAAAATGATATTCATTTATAATTTGTTCATCATACAGACTTTCATGTACTATTCTCAGAATCCAGGCTGCCCCAATTACACTTTTGTAAAGGTTACTGCTTCCAAAGATGACTTTGTAGACATTTGTACAGAGATTTTGAGAACAACATTGTTGTGTATTGTGCTTTAGATAATATTTGTTCACTGTGCACATTGTTTGAAGACAAAAGTTAAAGTGAAAATGTTGAAAGGCTGTTGGCATATTGAAAGCTTTCTAATTCTGTGTTTATTTGAATTGAGTGGGAAAATAATGCAATGTATAATGGGTTGAAAATGCAACATATAATGGGTTGACAAAACTTCAATATTCATGAAGGAAAGTTGTATTCACCGCGGGCAAAAAATAATCACAATGTTGAGTTTGCTGTATTCCAGTGTTTTTCAACGAAATCTTGTTTGCCATGATTGGAAATGAAGGCTGTACATGATGTATGCTTGTTGTTTGATCATTTGCAATGCATGCATACACTCATTATAAGCAGCCATTACCAATGGCAGGCATCAGGCCACAGTGGCTGGTATTTTTTAACTTGCAGGACATCGGACAATAATTGGGAAGAGTTTTGACAGCCCAAGATTGTTTTTATATCTAGCAAATTGACGAATGTCCTTAAAACCCTCCTATGCAAACATAAAATCTGTGCCAAGTAGTCCTTTCAGTCAAAATCAAACAAGTGACTGTTTTCAACAGTTAAGAATACCCAGCCTACTTAAAGTAGGATTGCATGACTGGCTGGGACTGTTTAAGTAACTTGATACAGCTATGCTTTGACCCCCAGTGAGTGAAGCCTGCTTTGTCTGTTGACCCAGCACGAATGACTAGTCACAGTGCTTGCTTTGACATGATCTGACTGTTGGTGACTAGCCTTTGTTAAAACTATAGCCTGATATAGCAAGGGAAGTGGAAGTGAATTTCGACTAGTGTTTAAAAGGAATATACATCATTTGCTTTTGCTGTAATTTTTAGCAATGGATGGAATTGGGGGGTTGGAAATATATAGCAAATATAGTTACACTGACTTTTTTGAGGTTTTGGGTTCGAAAATGCTATAAAAACCAAGAAAAACAATAATTTTCCTGTAGTCTGGTTCCCTGACTCCATATACGAAGAAACAGAGCAGTTTACATACATTGGGGAATTGTACCTGGCTGTACCCGTTCATAGGTGTGTAATCGATTGCAAACAATTGTGATGGTCAATTGGGGCCAGTATTTGAAAAAAAAACCCAGTTTTTTCCAACGCTGGTGGTCCGTTGGAAATTGATACAAAAATACCACTTTTCTTGAAAATGACAGTATGCTTTACACTGTCATTCACTAACAGTCCAGCAAGGTATTTCAAAATGATTTGGTAGTTTTATTTTTTGATGTTTGCAAATGTTGTATTTTCCCTTTAAATAGCAGGAGGGTTAATCTTCATTAAAAACCTTCCATGATGTAGGACACAATTCAGAGAAACGTGCCTTCTTTAATTCTGTCAGTGATTTTTTTTGCAATGGTCTATGTATATCATCAAGGAATGATGTGCCTTATGTTGTACACGAAAAATACTTGATGTCTTTGCCAGTGGCCAGGTATTACCACTTTGTATAAAAGTAAAACAAAAGATTTTGCACAGGGTATTTAAACCCAAAAAATGTAGAAATAAGAAAACTTCAAAATGTATGTTCCACTTTTTCTAGTGTTAATCCCACAGTTCAAAAGCATTCAAAAACTGATTTTTAATGTTTAGTTTTATGAAATCTGTCCAACATTTTCTGAATTTTCTCCGTCCGCTTACGATTGTCTTCTAGTTGAGTTACATGTACTGTACTGTTTATACAAATAATCAATAGCTAATGTAAAGATTCATAATATGCACTAGGGTGAAGTTCTTGTCCTTGTTCAGTTTATTACCTAAGTACTTTTGGGCACTTGCTTTTTATCATGATATTGACGAATACATGTATTGACAGTAGTTCTGCCCATTAATTTTTTTTTAGTTGTTGAAAGCTAAGTGGCTTTGTAAACATTTCTTTTCTTTGCCTTTTTTTTCTCATCAGAGAGCCGTTGTTGATGAATTTATTAAACAATAATGTTCTTTCGAAAATGATACTACATGTACTCTATGCAAATATACTGATACAAGCAAGACCATTTGCCACATTCATAACAGTAGGAGACAGAGATCTCAAAGAATAACTCAAAGTATTTATTTTCCCAAAATATTAGTTTTACTTTTGTTTTACTTTTTGCCATGTTCATAACAGAAGACAGATCTCAAAACAGTACCAAAGTGTTTATTTTCCAAAAGGTTACTTTTACTTTTTTTATATTAAGTTTATTTAATATAATCACATTCCGTTCACTTGCCATTTCCATTTTGATTAAAAAAAAAACATTTTCATTTTGAAAAACAACAAGCGATAATTGTAGCTGCCCATTTTGTTCTTGTACAGTATTGGAAGCCGAGTGCCTTTGTGAAAATATCTTTGCAATTTTTGGTGCGGTTGATGAATTTAACTTTATGCAAATATAATTGCATCTTATTTGCCAAGGTCAATGACAGTAGGACACACATGTCTCAAAGCAACTGGAAGTTATTTTCCAAAAAGGTTACTTTTAATACTTTTTAGTACCTTTAACTGTCAGTTCACCTGCCAATTTCATTCTGAACATTTCAGTGTCCGACAAAAACGGTGTTTGAACACACGTTTGTCCACATTTACCATAAAAAGGAGCCTGCACTGTCTTGTACACTTTATCATTGTAATGCTGGTGAAATTGACACCATATGGTATTAACTGGAGAAAACAAAAATGAAACTAGTTACCCTATTTTCAACACCAGCCAACCGAATCTAATTAAACTTTCACTGGTTGAACAGAACAGAATTAGTCTTGTTGAGTAACTGCTATAATGTGGATGTAGTGTAGCTATATTGTACTTTGGTTTCCCTAATGCTGATAATGATCTGTGGTAAATGTAATATCATGGCTCTATGATGAGATTGAGCCATGCGGCAGTACAATTGAAGTGATCATCAACAACAAAAATGAATCAAATCTAGTCTTGGGAACTTTGACCAAAAGAAAAGCTCAGCAGAGGTCATGCAAGTTGTATTAATTATATATTCAAGCTAATGTGCCAGTGTGAGGGGTGTTTTGGGATTTCCTGGGTCTGAGTGCTGAAGTTCCAAAAGATTAATCTAATTCAATTTGTTTTTAATAGCGCCCTCTAACTTAGTCTGAGTATCACCAGTAATATCCACGGATTGTCTATATGCTTTCGCCATGGTCTATTATATAGACTACCTCTACCTCTGCAGCCCCTTGAACTGGTGAAAATCATTCAATGAAGCTGATAATTAAGGAGTTCATCTTTACCTTAACTTTTACATGTGCGTTTTCTTGTACATGTATATAGGATTACAATGCTCCCCTAAGCTCCCATAATAAAGCACACAGTTACGGGTGACAAAATGTATACGTTACATCCGACTAGAGGGCCATTAATTTATTCAAAGAGGAGCATTCTTGTGTTTGCTTGATAAACCTTGCAAGGTGGTACTGTTAATTCGTTAGAACTGATTTTGTCTGATTTCGAAGTTTGTGTTTTGTGGTTATTAGAATTACCACTGCACAACACCAGTTGAGTTAAAACGACGGAACATGCAGTTTTTTTTGCACAATGTGAACTCGGGCCATTTATGTTATATTTGAATGGAGACTTTTATATGGAAAGCATGATGTTTTTATATTGCCATGGTAGATGCAGCAGCTGCAAACGTGGATGCAAATTGGTATTCTGGTAATTTTCGTCCAACCACAGTCCACGTATTGCATCTTGATTTGCAAAATTCAGGGCCTGCGCTTGATGAAGCAGGCTAATTCTCGCGGGATTGCAAACTCATTAATTTTCAAAGTACAAGTAGTTGCTGCTGAACTTGCTGTTTTTCGAATAAAGCTATAAACCGCTTGCAAATTTGTTCTCAAGATTGAACATTTATAGTCCTGGAAAGGTTTTCTTTTAGAGTAAAATTGTTGATCTTTTAAACATCTCTATGTTTCCCTCAGCTAGGTCGGTCAATTCATTCTCTGATGCAATTTCCTGGCATTCTTTGCTAAGCCCTCTATTTTGAAGTGTTGGCCTACCTTTCCAGTTTGGCACAACATACACTTTTTATTTAAAATATTCACAATTAGAATACGTTTCTCTTCTGTTTGAATTTAACTTAAATTAAAAGGCTTAAAATGCATTGCCCCCTCCCCCCCCCCCCCCCCCCCCCCCCCCGTTCTGGAAATGCAGTGAATCATTACTTCCCTTTTTCAGAATTTCCCGTAGTTTTATAAAACTAGTATTCTCGGAAGTGGCGCTTAACAATTTCTCCAGTGTATGCTCGGCTTTTGGACTATGGCCCTCCATAGGGTGAAGAGGATTTGTTGTATTCTGAACATCTGAACAGCCAAGCAAACATCATCTAAATTCCCGACCTTTGGATGAAACCGCAAATCGCATTACAGGCGACCGCAAAATAACAAAAGCACGCCATTGTTTGCATACAGGCAAGGCGGCGTGTGTTAATTCCCCCCACCCCCCAAAGGAACATACCATTTATTCGCTAAGGGTTTTCTGGTTATCTGAAATTTAATGGAAGAGAAAAGAAGCAACGATCTCATTTTTTTGTCTTTAAATCTTGGGGACCCCCTTGGACTTAATTTTTCATGAGTCATCAGCCGCAATACAGAACATAATGACTCATCTTTTAATGCGTGCTGGAGACCAAATTCTTGGCCACGTTGTCATGCATGCGCACTCAGGTGCACGGCCGGGTCGTCAGCGGCAATTTCCCCGTACAAAAAAGTGCTCCGCTCCGCTGCGTCCGATCGACCGGATACAATACATACGCATGAATAGGACAATCATTTTATCATTTTTATGTATGTTAATGCGATAAACTGTGGACGAGATTTTAGTCTGAATCTGCATCTACCTTTACCTGTTCCTTGCACTATGCTTGTACTAAACAAGGATTTGTATCTTAGACTTCGGAAATAGGCCTACATCAAAGATCCATTGTTTTGCTCTCGGTGTGCAAACCAGACGTGACCGGCATGTTGTTTTGTTTATTCAATTCGCATGGTTTCCACATGTTTCAGAGTCATTATCAAGCCATTGTATTCATGTGAAGTCATAGTGAGTTCGTGTTTACAGAGGAAACTCTTGATCGATTGGGAAATCACCTGACAGTGTCCTGACAGTACCCTCAGCCTTGATTTTGAATACGATACAGTTATGAGGGCTGCAGACATTGACGGAACAGCTCGTGAAACAACGACGTCATCCATGAACTCTGCTGGTCGACGCCATAGCCAACCAGCAACCATTACCCATACAGGAAACACCAACAACAGCAATACTGCCCACGAAACGAGCGCCAATTCCACCGGGCTTTTAGCGTCTCTCTGGACGAAAATGTCCGAATATGTGGAGCTGAGGACGTTGGAGTCACATCCCAGTGTCTCGTCAACTGACTCTGGAAGGTTCTCTGCCGGGTCGGACTTGTTCGATTCGGGGGAGTCTATCAACGGCTTGCTGGCCGACAAGCAGGCCGTGCAATCGGCTGAACGACCAGTGCAACATCGAAACGGACACCAGCACAAGGAACATGGGCACACTCACAGGAACAGCATATGGAATTATTTCTTTGGCGGTGGTGGTGGTGGTGGCGGTGGGACTAGCTCGGATACCAAACAGTCCAGCAGTGTAACAAAATCTAAACCTCCATCAAGGAAGAACTCTTCAACTTCATCGCTTGAGGCATCCGGGCATCGTCCAAGGAGTGCATCATACTCCTCCCCATCTCTGTCCGCCTCGGCTAATCACACCAAAGTCAAAGAAAGCATTCCCACCGCTGCAGAGACTGAATTTGCTGCCAATGGTACAAACACGTGGCTGGAGTGGAATCCCTTGGGTGATGAGGATGACTCCGACAGCTCTGATTCGTCGTCGCTAGTTGCCGAGGATGAGCTGTTGCACCAGGGAACAGGGGAGGGGCATAACTTTGTTCCAGTGTTTTCAAACTTCACTTGGTGCGATCAGTGTGGTGGGGTCATATGGGGCTTTCGACAATGCCTACGGTGTTCATGTAAGTATGAAAAAAGAAAGGGAACTTGCATTTCCCCTTCTCCCCCTATTTCTAGAAAACACCCACGTGCCTTCAAGTTCTACCCGTATTTCATATTAACAGTTTAACACACTCATCTTCCTTCTTCTGCGGTACTTGTTCTGGAAAAATTCCCATATCTGGCCATCACTATTTTTCCCTTCACTGACCTATCAGCCATCAGAAAGTGATATGTCCTAAAAAGTCAATATTATTACTAGCAGGGAAAATATTGAAGTTTTTACTAAGACTAAAGAGTAAGAAAACACTTAGAAATTTTCAGACCAGTCTCATTGGGTTTGTGCACAGGTGACAAGTGATGGCCAGACATGGGAATCTTTCCGTTGTTCTGCCCAGCACATTCCCCTATCCTGCACACATCTCCATGAGGTCCTTGACCTAATTCATTGGTCTCTTGCCAGAAAGTCATCCATCTTTACCATTACATTTCCTGTAATCATGGTATTATTACATGTACATCATTTTAATATTCATGATGATGTATACAGTACATGTATTGTACAGTGCACTTGCACTGGGAAACAAAATGAAAATATGCTCACAAGCATTTATAATTATAGGCCTATGATCAATGCAAAAATATGTACGTGTACGGTACATTGTACGTGTGTGTAGAACCATTGAGGAAGGAATAGATGGGAGAACCATGGAGGAAGGAATGGTAGAACTACATACTGTATGTACATATAGTGTACGGACGGTAGATTAAATTCCTTGCTCTGTGGCAGTATGGTGATACCGGTACAACGTACATCATTTTTGTATCATGGAAGGTTAAATTCATGCATACACACTTGGATTCAGCCTACATGTACTTCAGAATCTACTGGAGATCCATGACGTTCGACAAACAAATTAAATGTTTCAAGATGAATAAAAACTGTCTGCACATGGACATTATCATGCAGTGATGTCATTACAAAAAAATACAAGTATAGGCCTACAGTGTTCATTCGTAATTGGCATGAGTTTGATTGCAGTTTGTACACAATTTACATGTGGGCAGTATTCTATTCAATCTTTGTGAAAATCAATGATCCATTCAGTGTACATGTGCAGACGAACATGTGTGTGATACCTCCACGTCATCTGTGGTTACGTGGAGCAGGTTTTTATATGAATGCCTGTTCTTTTGTATCAAATTGACTGATTGGTGGCACACATACATGCGGTGCATGATGTGATACGATTGCAAGTTATTGCACATTGTGTGAATGTCATGACAAATTTGAGGATGGCATGCCACGGAAACTTGCAAGGCCATGCTGCAAATGGACTTGGTGCACAAGTACTGGTTCCTCAACAGTGAGAAAGGGATAGGTGAAGGAGACCACTGGTATATAATTTGTACCAATTGAAACATACCCGCACAGTCGTGTGTACTTGGTGTAAATGGGCACTGGACTGGTTTGCCAAAAGTGGTCATCTACATGTACATGTTCTTGCAAAGAGTCCACATTACACTCCACAATGCTGTAGACACTTGACAACAAGTGTGAAACTCAGGCCAAGAAAACAAGTGTGGATAATATTTTCTTTAAAAGAAAAGGGGGGGGGGTGGGTGGGTTGATATAATTTTTTTTGAACTACATTTTTTTTTAACAGAAAAAAATAGGCTGGGACGATGGTCAATTGCAAGTTTTATTTTGTGTACATGCAGTCATTCAACTGTTTAGTCTGCATTTGCTGCACTGTTTAGGCTTCGTTTTACGACGGAGCAATTACCCCAACCAATTGAAACGTACCCCCCTCCCGCCCCCCCCCCCCCCCAAAAAAAAAAGGAAAAAGAAATAATAATTTGAAAAGGCATGCAGGATTATATGTACCAAAACTAGGATAGGGGCAGCACCTTAAGTTTTTTTAAAAAAAATTAATTTTTTTTCCGAAAGATTTTTTAGGATGGAACATGGGAACAACCGAAACCACATTTGTCATGCTGATGAGATACAGACCACAGAGTTTGAATATCACCCATTGTCCAACCATGGAGGAGCCTTCCTCCATGGTCCAACGGAGCCATCTCTGTCTCCCGTCCAACGTCTAAGCTTGCAAATTTATGCTACCCCCGCAAGCCAGCCAATCTTTGTCGACATGACATCATTTCATTCCGAAATCTGGACTAACCTTTTGATTGGTCAATTTGGATGCCATAACAACGGGCATAGATCTAATAAAACCTGACATTGGCTTTTAACTTAAGACAGGTTACCGAAGACCTGATGTAGAAGGCGCATGCTGAATGGTCAGAATCTCGAGGTCAAGGTCTTACGCAGTCTAGACCTCGCAAATTTTTAATCGCCAAATCTGCTCTTATATCATAGATTCTTGCTGTGCAAGGGGATATTCCACAGACTATAGTGTTTAACAAGCTTTCATCGCATTTAAACCCCTGCAGAGAAATTGAGTGGCATGTTTATGGTCAATCTAAACTTTCCTTTTAAACATGTGTCTACCATGTACAAATTGTACATGTAGTGTACTCATTGTCTGTCACCACTGTAAGTACTACATACATGTACGTGATGTATGTGATGTGCCAACCTTTCCTGTAATTGTTGTAACATGTACATGTACACATGCAGGAACCCCACTGAGGTTTATTTAATAAATATTAGAGGGGCACTAGGTCCTGAAATCCCCGAAAATTTCATGTTTTGGATTGTTTACTTATCCTATTTCAAACATGTGGTTGAAAGGAAACCAACCTAATGTCTTACCGTTCCCGAGAAAAGAAAAAAAAACAACCAGTTGTTTACATCGGACATGACGGAGTATGAATATGTCGTTCTCATACAGTGTACGATATACACGTTGTGTGTCTCGGGAACAGCGGTGACCAATCACCAATGCAAAAGAATTGTGGTTTCTTCAACGCCAAATCACAAATAGCATCCAAACGGCTCAAATTTATGGGGTCGCAAAAGTGGATCCCGAAATTCGTTCTCGTAGGCATAATACAGGAATAACACAAAAACGCCCAGTTTAGTTTTGAAAGGATACTTGTGTGGATGTTTATACATGTATATCCTACTTTCAAATGTTATTTCCGATTAACATCATCTCGTTCAAAGTGCGTTTTGTAGCCCAATTGGGCTGTTCCAGGACCTAGTGTCCCTTTAAGTCAAATCAAATCATAAAGTTTAATCGTGCACTCCACAAACTTGCTTTTTTGGCTCTACACTGTAAACCACCTTGTCATCTTATAATAAACATGTACTTGTGGTTATAAATACTGGTACACCTCCAATGTAAAATGGTCTGTGAAGTGTGTACATGTACTGTACGTATTTATCTTCAAGTATAAATCCTCGTTCTTGATTGGTTGATCCATGTCAACAAGCTGTGGTACATACATGACGTCACCTCATTTTTTTTTATCTGTAACACATCCCGGTCTACCCACATACCAAGTTTCAACCCAATTGGACGTACTGTTCTGTAGATATAGGACTTCAAAATATGCACGTTTGTGAAGATGTCACGTGACCCCTGATGATGTAATCATGACGTCACTCTTCGGGACACAACTTTGCTATAACGACAATGCATGCTTAATTTGAATGATGTACATGTATGACAAAGTTCAATGCCAAAAGTGGCGTGTACTAAAATCGTGTACAAAGTCTATGGGATTTGTGGCACGAAAAGAAGAACCCCCCCCCCCTAGTTCAGAACAAAAACAAAGGCTTTTTCGCAAATATGCGAAAAAGCCAATGAAGAATCAATGTTCCGGTATCATACGTTTAAACCCTAGTAGTATTACCGGTACACACCAGCACATGAACATAAATTAAAATTTTACTTAGCAATTTAATACCAGATTTAACTTGTTGAGAACTTTTTGTGTCATGTACGTGTGTACATGTATGTAGCTTAAAACAGCATGCACAGTTGGCTTGTTGGTGGGCGGGCTGTCATCGCTTAAAGGGGAAGTTTGTTATTGTTTATGTTAGGCAAATAAGGACCGAGTTATGAGGACTTTCTGCTGTCCCCACAGCGTCTTCGGTCCCCATAATACAACCATGGGAGTGGACTGTAGGGACAACACATACGGTACCAGTACATGTGTAGTCCCAACAGTTACGGAAGTAGATTGCGTGTATTAAGCTGAGTGTACTATCCATGTTCTGAAAGAATTTTGTATATTTTCATTCTCACTGCTTTGCTCGAGATCGGCTGCATTGCCCCCTTCCAAAACTCACTACATGCGTTAAACAGTTGACATCATAATATGTAAATCTGGGTTTATTGTCTGATCACTTTTGTCTGTGTTTATGTATACCGATATATGTAGGCCTATAATTTGTAGTTTACATACTGCACAGCTGTCTATACCGGTACTTTTGGATTTTCTACATGTATACAGTACATGTACATGGTTTGTACGGGTACATGTGTCGCGTCAGGCAACCTGCTGCCAGCAGGCCGATCCAGGAACAAATATTTGGGGGAGGGGTGGATTGAAAGGAACTGACTGAATGGCCGGTTGTTAAGGGGGGGGGGGGGGGGTGTGCTACCCCTACCGGTACATGTACAGTAGATGTGTAATTTGACGACGAGGGACAATTTGTTTCCCCCATTTTCCTTTTCTGTACAACATGTACTGGTAGGCCTACTGTACATTTCATGAATTGATGTAGTGGAAGGGAATGAAAAGACTACAATCTAAATTAGTGTCTTCACTCCTTTTCCGGCTAAGTATCAACGCAAAAGTATTTTTAGGGGGCGTGTGATCTGCTTGGCCGCATCACATCTTCCAGTATAATACCGGCTGCCATTTGAAGTGGTTGTGATATAATTACAGGGACATGTAATGGGCTGTTGCAAGTCTAGTTCAGCTTTGGCTGGGTGATACCGGTGATACATTGCAGTTTCCTGTCCACTTCCAGCTTGTTTGTCAGATAGCAGATCTATCCAAGCTTTGGCTGTTATTCACAGTGAATGGGGCATAATTGCGAGTT